CGTCAAAATTCTTAGAATTCTTCCCTTTAAACATATCTTTAATTGAGAGAAATATGACAACCTCGATTGAACCGCTTCCGTGTGAATCCGCCGTGGACTATGTGGACTGGCTCATAAATAGCAGTGATCGAAGAAAAAATTATGCTAGAACGGTAAAATGAGTTTGATCGTATAACAATAATTTGTAGACTGATATCATTGTTTCACTTAATTTTAGTGTTTTCAAATAAAAATACTGATTGTCGAATTCACTCTAGATTAATCAACGGAACCTTCAGTAGTTCTTGGTTCCCATTCGGACTGATGTTGAGTGATTGAGTCGCGACTGGAGTGTGCATCCCTATTCCCATGGAAGCGGTGGCAATCACTGAAATCACGAAATCAGTTTGTTCCCCCTTGTATCAATGTATAATATCTACTCATGAAAGCCGATTCTCAACAATCTATATGCAGTCACCAAGGACATCTATCAATTCTTGCATTGTTGATTCTCATGGTTTAGCAAGAACAAACAAAGAAAGGAATTACACTGCAGGAATCGATATCATATAAGTAATAAACAAGGCAACACTTTTCCAAGTGCTGCGGCAACAACTAGACTTGCATATAAAAGCTAACTCTTCGATACGTTGTGTTTTTTAAATGGAGATTATCTAAATATCGATAATTGTGTTCATTTTACTATATCTAGACTTTAAACCGTATTGAATGTGTTCTTTCACAAAGTTTATGAATATAGATATCCAAATATATGCCATTAACATGTATTATATTAGTCAGAGTTAATCATATATCGAATAATTCAACAGTCGAGAAAGACAAATTGAAATCGTATTGCTTCCTTTTACTGCGCATTATGAATATGAGTCTTCTATATTCTTTTCTTTTAAAACATACTAATAATTGCTGCCACCTCAAAAGTTCGTTTTTCTTTTTATCAACAATGTTCGACACGTAACTTTTGTTTGCCTTTTTAATATGACACATACTTTTGCGTTTGCTGTTCGACAACCTATACGCAACCGCCATGAAAACAAAAACAAAACAAATTCTACTGGTTGATTGAATTACGATTACATTATATTTGTTCCGTATACCTTACAATAAGAATAGCTCAGTTCGTGTATGCCAAGGAAAGTCAATATTCGGGAACCTTTTAGTCTGTTCCGAAGATTTTTCAGTTGATCTGAATATTCCAACTTTGATCAATTCACAATATAAATCCCACCATTATCAGATGCATACAATTAAACATAGAGACATATTTGCTAGGAAATCTTATAGCGCCGTATAGATAAAGAGCACAAAAGAAAAATAGTATCGGAGCCAAGCCTATCTGCGCCAGTTTATATGTTTTGACTCTCGTATCATTCATGTAAATATTGCAAAAATTTCTATTGATGAATCAAGCGTGATTTATTATATTGTGAAGACTTATCCAATCAGTCGCTAAGAGCTTTGGTGAATTCTACAAATTCTGATTTGCTTGTCGATAGTTTGTAAATAATGAGTCATGACCTATCTCACTTGGTTTAGTATATAGGCGTGCTGCTTTTGCCATAAGCTACCCAACTGATAAATTTTTCTCTGGAAGGCAAATTTTTGTTCTTGTTGTTCTTGTTTTACTCGATTTTAATCAAAATGTTACTCTGTAAAGAGAATGAAACGACGACATTAGTTTTCGACAGATGAAATTTTGAATAATATTTACCTTTGTATTTCAATCGTTTTTTTTTCTTCATTAAGACAAAAACAATATTCAAGTGAAACAATGTTAACCCAATCACGTATGAGACTCGCCCAAATTTATCAATATCTATCAAAATCCTTGTTATTACAACAACCATGTTCAAGCAGAAAAACGACAATAATCTATCAAAGTAGACAAATAAAATATCTAATTTGTTTTCCTAGTCTTATTATTTTGTAGTTGCTTTTAAAAGAGAAGTTCTCCGACACTTGTATTTACAATCTATTGTATATATGTAGCCTAAACAGGGGGAATGGCTCGCATGATATGCTTCCTTTTTATTTGTTACACTTTATGCATCTTAAGTTTTACAATTATCCAACTACTCGAAAATTCTTTTGATCTCATTTGTTTAAACCAAAAAAAGAATAAACATTTTTTTGTTTGTTTTTCATGATATTTTTATTTGATATCAAGAGAAATATATTGAGGATTCTGATTACTCGATCTATTTGGATAATTATTATTTTTGAGAACAAAACATACAAATACTACTTAGTACTTCTCATAATAGTATCAAGATTTATCTATCAGCTATGTGAATGATTGATCAATGCATTGTAATTCATTTGCCTATTTCATTTTAAAATTCTAAAAGAATTTTCCACCTAATATTTGCTAGCATCACGCTTAAGTATGAGCATGAATTATTTTTATGATTCTCTACTTTTAAATGGTTTTAATGTGTTGCTAGAGATGGGAACAACTGCTAGTAGTGATGAGCTATCTACAAAAGGGTATGCAAATGGTATTGATGTCATATTGAGTCGACGTGCTAATAAAGTAAATTTTCTATGATCTAACATATTAATAACTATTCAATACATTCTCTTGATCAGGGACAGGCATTTTCCATGGAAGAACGTGATGCATATCGTGTTCGAGGTTTGCTACCGGCAACTTTCTCATCGCCTCATCTCCAAGTTGAACGATTTATGGAAAATTTACGAAGAATGCCTGATGACTTATCAAGATATATGGCACTAGCTTCATTACAAGATATAAATGAAAAATTATTTTATCGTATAGCACTTGAACATACGCAAGAAATCATGCCACTTGTTTATACACCAACGGTTGGTTTAGCTTGTCAAAAATATAGTTTAATCTTTGCAAAACCAAAGTAATTTTATTTTTTAAGTTTCATTGATTAAACAATTTTGTTCTTATGGATTGCAGAGGTTTATTTATATCAATCTTTGACAAAGGCCGTATTTACGATGTTCTCTGCAATTGGCCAGTTAACGACATTCGAGTCAGTTTATCATACTCCTTTCATTATTGTCCAATTTTTAATAGAATATTTAGGCTATTGTCGTGACTGATGGTGAACGTATCTTAGGTTTAGGTGATCTGGGTTGTAATGGCATGGGTATATCTGTCGGTAAATTAAGTTTATACACCGCATTAGCTGGCGTGCGACCTGAATATTGTTTACCAATCACACTTGATGTTGGTACCAATAGTGAAGTAAATAGACCTTTCTTTTTCTTTTTATTAACTTGAGATTGATTTTTATTCTTTCTTTCTTATTCTTCTTCTTCGGTTTTAATCAGTTCTATCTTAATGATAGATACTATTTGGGTGTAAGACAGAAACGTGCTCAAGGAAAAGAATACGACGAGTTTGTTGATGAATTTATGCAAGCAGTTGTGAAACGGTAAATCAAGATTATTAAGATTATAAAAAAAAGATGTTGTTTTCTATGAATCAATTAGATTTGGAAAACAATGTTTGATTCAATTTGAAGATTTTGCTGTAAGTAAATAACTGAAATAGAGAAATTAAACAAAAAGTTTGACATGATTTTTTTCAACTGAAAATAGAATCATAATGCTTTTCGTCTACTTGCAAAATATCGTGATACATATTGTACATTTAATGATGATATTCAAGGTACAGCTAGCGTTGCTGTTGCTGGAATTCTTGGTGCGATTAAAATAACTGGGAAAAAATTAGCTGACAATAGATTTTTATTTTATGGAGCTGGTGAAGTAAGATTTTATTTTCGGAAATAATTTTTTGATTTTAACAATTATTCAATTAGGCCTCAATAGGTATTGCGGAGTTGCTATGTCTCGCGTTGACACGTGAAGGATTATCGCAAGAAGAAGCACGAAAAAAGATTTTCTTAGTCGATTCAAAAGGACTTATTGTTAAGGTAGATCATTGTATTCTTTTTTTGTAGTTTGTGATAAGCTAGTCTTATTCAGAATCGTCCTGGAGGCAAATTAAATGAAGAAAAAAAAAAATTTGCACACGAACATGAACCCATTACGAAATTAATCGATGTTGTACACACAGTGAGGCCATCATTCCTTATTGGTATTTAGAAATCGAATCTCTCATTTCGTTTTTGACTATTTTTTGTTTGCTTTGATAATTTAGGTGCCGCTGGTCAAGGAGCAGCATTTACTACCGATGTTCTTGAAGCAATGGGTTCGATAAATAAACGTCCTGTTATATTTGCTTTATCAAATCCAACTTCAAAAGCTGAATGTACAGCACGCGAAGCTTACGAAGCAACAGATGGTCAATGCGTATTTGCGTCGGGTTCACCTTTTCCTCGTTTTGAATATAATGGGAAAATATTTATACCCGGTCAAGGAAATAATTCTTATATATTTCCTGGCGTCGGTCTTGCTATTGTTACATTTGGTATTCGACATATACCAGATGAGTTATTTTATTTGGCTGCTAAAACACTATCAGAGCAAGTCACAGAAGCTGATTTATCGATTGGTCTTGTTTATCCACCTATTGAAAAAATTCGACAAGTTTCAAGAAAAATAGCCGTAAAAATATCCGAGTATGCTTATGACAAGAATTTAGCAACAGTTTGGCCGAAACCAGATAATCTAGATAAATTTCTTTTCGAGAAGCAGTATTCAGTTGAATATGACGACGACTTACCACCTCGTTGGGAAAAACCAAATTATTCAACTTGAAAATCGTGAATTCTTCCCTATTAGTTGCTATATTTTATTTTCTTAGCACAGAAAAAAATTTCTTTTGAAGTAATTTTACCGCTTAATTTATTTGAATCATATTTTGTATGAATACTTCAAGAGTAAAATAAAAGAATAATAGATGACTTTTTCTTATTGAAAATGATTTATGTGTATATTAATTGCGTTACATGCGACGGAAAAGAACTGAAGAAAAAGCCAAAGAACAATTGAATATAAGCTACTTTTGTTAGATTTTGTGTTGTAGAACTGTGATGAACATTGAAAGAACGAGGGACGTTTTGGGGTCATTTCAAATGACCCTAAAGCGTCCTTCGTCCTTTACAAATATATTTTCAAATTCTTATTGTTTAAAAACATTTTATTTAAAAAGCAAATAACCAATAGACTGAATCATTCATAATCATGTTGAGTCTTGTATCTAAATCTCACTTTTCTTCATATATCGATATTTTCTCAAAATTGGCTATTTCAATCGAATCTCTTGAAATTTAATTGATTGAAGCACTTGACGAAAATAAAGCTGTGTGGCTAAGATCTGCAGTTGTCTAATTTTGGTCTCTTGCAAATTTACTAATCAAATCAGCAATCATGTTCTTAATTTATCTTGCTGAGTTATTCATGCACCATTCAGTTATGTAGAAAATTGAAATTTGAAACAAACTATCCACCAGACAAAAAATGGCTCAGATAGATGAACAAAAAAATATTTATTTTACAAACATACTAAGAATCATTTGTTGGTTTACTTACGATGAGACTTGCTTACAGAACACTACGAGAAGAAAAATTAGATATAGCATTACTGCAGAGGTTGCTGTAAAAATGTTCTATGTTGTAGTAGCTATCGTTGATACCGAAGTTAGTTTGTTTTTCATTGAAGTCCAGCTAACTATTTTTGGTGTCTCTATGCTCAGTGCGACATGATAATTATGAAATATCCATTCAGTATGAAAAGAGACTAGATGTTTAGTCAGTACTGTATTATGCATTCTAATCGATCCTGGTTCATATCTCATTTCATGAAAGCAATAGATCCAAGCGACTTGGAGTCTTAAATCTTAAGCAATTTCAAACAAAACTAGATTATAACCGTCATGATAGGACGTAATCAATGTTAATATATTCTTTGAGCATAGAAGAGTTATAAAATGAAAAAAATAATCATTAGAAAATAGAAAAACAATGACGCACTTGACATGATACAATCCACTAGTGACTATAATACGTTTCTCATTTTGAACGTTCCAGATGATACGAATATCTGTAACCTGTGAGTTATTCAATCGGTTAAACAAGTAAAATAACAGTATCGAAGAAACAAGTTGGTTCTTATAATTACGCAGTGAAATGATTTTCGTTCATCTGGTGCACCTTTCGTGCCTGTTTCTATTTGTGTACATTAATAACAATAGTACAAAATCTCCTTAAATCTAGTCGGAAATAAAACTAAAACCTTTTAGAATTGAATTATAGCTCAAACTTTTGCTGTAGCCAAACCATAGTGGTTATCTTTCAAATTTGTTCAGACGAAAATCGAATAAAACACTAGAAACTATCATCGATTATGAATTGAGATAAAACAATCTGTAAACCTGTAAATAACTCGCTGTTTAACATTTTAATGATACGAAAAAGATAGTAAATTTTGTTTCATAAAATATATTATTTCCCTTTCTCTTGTTTGAATATTTGTTGTCAAAATAGTTGTCTAGCCAGATACGAATACATGGTGAGTTTTGTATATGATTCGCGATAAAAATTATAGTTTCTTCTCTAATTGATTTTTAATTTAGCTTGATAATTACTTCAAATTCATTAAATTCCTTTCAAATCTATGTAAAGTTCATATTTTAGTATGGCAAAATGTGTGTGGTTCATAGTTTGTTTCGAACCACAATTCTCTACATGACTGAATGGTTCATGAAAAACTCAGCAAGATAAATTAAGGACACGATTGTTGATTTGGTTAACAAATTTACAAGAGATTGCAATCAGAGACGTTCATATCTTAGTCAGAGAGATCTATTTTCGTTAATCGTTTCAATCAATTAAATTTCAAGAGATTTGATTGAAATAGTTAATTTTAAGAAAATATCGGCAAGTGAACAAAAGCGAAATTTAGATACAAGATCCAACATGGCTATGAATGATTGTATGGATTAGCTATTTTCTTTTAAATAAAAGATTTTGAAATGATAAGAATTTGAATATGGCAGTACATTATAGTACTCTTCACTGTTCCACAGTAGAAAATCTGGCAAAAATAGTTTATACCCAATCGTAATGTGAAACCATCTGATATAGGTTCTCATAAGAATACACATGCTAATTTGACTAACTTGCTCGACATCGAAAGGAAGAAAAAATGTTGCTTCTCTATATAAAACAAGCTGTTTGATTATAAGGTGCGGGTAATTCAAAATTATAACACCTTTTCTTTTGTTTTAACATGCATCATTATATCTACTTAGTTTTTCGATTTGACAAAACATTCGTGGAGAAAAACGCAAGATACTAAGAGGGTCTACAAATCAATCAGCATAAAAATTGTTTTTCAACAAACACAATGTATTTCTCTAATGNAGATATCATATTCCGAATCGGCATAAAAGCTACATCGAATAAGGTATATTCTATCGAAAATAAATTTTCGTCAAAATTCGACCGTACTCCCCCGAGCTACTTTTAGTTCAGTTTTTCACTGTGGTACCCTACAGATCGAATTTTGACGAAATTTATTTTCGATAAAATATACCTTATTCGATGTACGTTTTATGCCGATTCCGAATATGATATCTATTTGACTCAGAGAGAAATCTGTTGTAGTGTAAAAGTGAAACAAAATGCCTCTTTTTTCGACAATTCAACCGCTGGCATGAGAAAAATAGGTTTCTCAGCACAGCAAAGCAGTATAAAAGAAGCCAAGCAATACTTTCGTAGCGCAGCAAATGGCGCTTCGAATGACGAATTGAATCGAAGCTCTCTACACCAACAAAACAAAAACTAGATAGGTTTGGAAAATTCACTAGTACAAAACGGAGTGACTCTAAATGTTTGTTGACCAGGTTGAACATGTAATATCCGATAAAGCTATATATATATATATATTGCTACTAGACTCACTTTTTCCATGAGGAATTCGAAGATCATGTTGGTGAGAATGAAAAGTGTAACATTAGAGAAATACATTGTGTTTGTTGAAAAACAATTTTTATGCTGATTGATTTGTAGACCCTCTTAGTATCTTGCGTTTTTCTCCACGAATGTTTTGTCAAATCGAAAAACTAAGTAGATATTCATGATCAACTCGAAAAAGGGAATCTAATGATGCATGTTTAAACAAAAGAAAAGGTGTTGTAATTTTGAATTAGCCGTACCTTATGAATATATGCAAAATTATTACGCTTGGGAATACTTCGGTTCAAAATTAATATAAATAGTAACATGATTAGTTATGTACGTCATAGACAAGGTGAGTAGTACGTAAACTGAATTAGAACCAATGATTGTATCCCAAGCAGGTTCTCTAGAGAATTTCGAGGAACTATTTTATTCAACAGACTTTTATTTTCATGTTTGCATTCGATATGTTGTCTGCAATCATACTCGTTGTGCTTTTCTCGCATGCAGGTAATGCTGCTTCTGCTGTTGTTGATAATAATCAGTATTTGTTGAAATTAAATGAAGAAATTTTAAATAAATTACGAATATCCTCGGATCGTCTACTAACAGCAAATGCCTATCAAGAATTTGAATTATTCAATGATTATCAGTGTGCTATCGAATGTATTAAAGATAAAAACAGCTGTACTGACTATGCATTTAACGATCAAACTCACATATGTTTATTATTCGACGATTCAACTGAAACAATCGATGAGAATGTGATCAAATTGGTATGCGATCTCTCATATAATCATTTTTCTAATCGTTGTTTTCATTAAATTTAGCGTAAAATCTTGAAACCAAAGCCGTGTGATAGTGTTAAATGTAAATCTGACGCTATTTGTCTCGAAGATGAAAAGCCAAGATGCGTATGTCTAAACGGAGAACCCACACCCGAAAACTGCGATAAGATAGGTAGAATATTTTTGTTTTTAGTTTTTAATTATTAATATTTTCTATTCTCAATTCCATTGCTTACATAGAAATTGGTACATGGACAGATTACAATGAATGGTCAACATGTAGTGTAACATGTGGTGAAGGCTTTCAATTCCGAAAACGCGACTGTGTCACCGTAAATGATACGAATCAAAATATTTCAAGTGAGAAGTGTATTGGTAAAGATACAGAAATACAACCATGTACTGTGACATCATGTCCAGGTAAATAATTTTGAAATCATCTATATGAGAAATGATTGTTATTTTGTTTCTATATATTTAGTATATGGACTGTGGTCATCATGGACGCCTTGTTCAACATTTTGTGGCATTGGTATAAAACAACGTAATCGTTCTTGTATTCCGCCAGGTTCAAATTGCGGAAATTACACTTTTGAACAGCGAGCTTGTGGTGAAGCTCATTGTCAACGCGTTGCTGGTAAGATTTTACTGCAAATTTAAAAACAATTTTTGTTTTGTGTCATCTATTTCTATTTATCAGGTATCAAAGAAACAGAGCCCGACAAACATTCAATGAAAGGTTATTTAGCTATACGAGAAGGAGATATTCTCTGTGTTTCACAAGAGAGTGGTGCGGTGGTTAAACATATGGCTGATTTAGTGAGCAGCATATTTCTTGAAAAAAGAAAACTTGACAGTTTTGTTTTTTGTTGTTTAGGTATGCAAATCAATTGGTTTTACTCGTGGATCTCAATATGGTAGGTAGATTATAATCAAATTTCTATGATCATTTATTTCCTATATTAAGCTGTTCTTACTCCAATTTTAAATAATTCCTCATGCTATCCTGGCATTATTTGCGATGGTACAGAGAAAACATTTTATGATTGCAAATTTGATCGAACAAAAATGTCATCTAATATTAATGAACTATTTGCTATTATAACTCGATGCATAGGTAGAATTTTGTTGATAGATAATACAATATAAGAAAACGATATTTATGTTTCAGTTGATGGTGGATTTTCTGCATGGTCAGAATGGTCTTCATGTACTAAATCATGTGATACTGGTCAAACAACTCGTTCGCGAACATGCACCGAACCGACACCATCTGAACTTGAACCTGAGACTATCTCTGCAGACTCTTCATTGGCAGGAATGAATTGTACAGGAGAATATGCGCAAGTTAAAACTTGTAATGAACAACAATGTTAATTCAAGTTTTCTTTCTCCTTTCTTTCTTGATTGATTAATACATCAATCAACAAATAAAAATATTTAATTTCTCAAACTTTCATTTACTGTCCATACACGATTATTAAATGTTATTCGTTTATGTCTATAAATAGCAAATGAACCACGAAAAGATGCGTTCGTTGAAGCATATAAGACAGGGAAAACCGCTGATTTGAGTATAAGAATATAATATGTTATTTGTAAAGTATGTTGAATTTCATTTGTTTTGTAAAATATAATTAGAATTCGTGTTGTAGCCCATGGTAGCCATAGACAGATAAATGTTATAGTTAATATAACAACGTGCCATGTCATTTGCTTTTGTTGATAATATTCTTTACGCTGCATTTTATCAAGTTCTATTGGTTTTGATTGGCATAAATGACGTATAAGAAATAGAAGACCTATCAAAATGCATAAAAATGGCAATGAATACATAATTCCGATTTCCGTATAGGCCATCCAGTTTGGATGATGAATAAATATTGCGTATGTTGTGCAATAAAAGGCTGCATTTGTTGTTGACGATACTACTTTTAAATGATCAATTGAGTTGTTCGTCATGAATGGAATACCGTAGAAAATAAAGGAAGCAACCCACGACACTAATAATAACATTAGAGGATAACGACGGTGAAAAGATGTTGATGCGTTTTTTAAATAATATAATCGAGTATAAATCATGAAACCAATAGCATAAATCACAGAAGCTAATGCACAAGATTCACCAATGGATGAAGCAGCGCATAATTTTGACGTTAGAGGACTTCCGTAAGTACTTTGAAAACGCATAGGAAGAACAAAACCACCGATAAATAGATCAATAAATGCCATGCCTAATACAAACATATGTGACCAATGTTTTCCACTGGTACGAAGAAAATACGTCACGAATACACAAATCTAAACTCGCTAGAACTAAGTATGTATTTTATACAAATAAAACTTACGTTTCCGATGATAATAGCAGCAATGAATACCAATAAAGTAAGCTTTTCAACTGTTGACGATGAAGTTTCAAACTCACTTAGCATTTTATTATCTGATTCAACAAAATGAGGTGAATTTCATAGAAAATCAAGTGAACAGTGGAATGAAAATCTTTTTTAAACTCTTACTATACGTAGGTGGAAATACAATTTCAGATTTGCCGCATAAAACTTTAGAAAAGTGTTATATTAAAAATTAATTGAATACTTTTCAAATCGATATACGCATGAACTTACTTCTAATGTACAAATTTAATTATATTTTAGACAATAATGAAAATCGCCTTAGTCAAAATTTGTAGCTAAGATTCGAATGAAAACAACAACAACAACACGATAACTAACTATTGCGAGATTTCAATAGCTCAATATAGGCCGATCAGTTTTCCTTTTAGCATATTTTAAACAAAATGACTGAATAATATGAATGAATCGAGGAGAATAAATTTATAGGTTTTCACGTATTTATATTCATCTATATAGCACATCAACGATTACGGGAATTTTGATTACCGAATGTGCCAATTATATTAGTATTGATAATTGTAAGTAGAAAAAATATATTCTATACCCTTTTGCACGTTTTCTATTACATTTTCAAAATTAACATAATTTGTTGTTGCAATTAGAAAAAGAAAAGAATGAAAGAATTATTATTTTCTTTGCTTTCGTGATTTTCATTTAAAAATTATAAACATATCGAAAAGGGTGAATTTTAAAAGTATGCAAGTAGATATAGAAGTGAATCAAGTCATCTCATGATTTTAAAGCAAAAGTAAAATACATGAATGTTGAGTGAGATGATAATTCTTTTGATACGAAACGAATTCAAAACGATTTTATTTTCGGGATAAGTTCAGAGAAAAGTGTCTTCATTTGACTGTAGCAAGTATTTTCTGATCAGTGTTTCCATTCAACAGCGCATAGAGTTTTCCACAAACTACGTATTGATAACGTAAACTATTCATGATGTGATTAGATAAATTTCTGTTTCGAAAAGCGAATATAGCTCAACAGAACTCTGCTCTTTTAATAGATTCAATTTACGTACCTAAAGATCATTCACTATTACACATGTGAAGATATCGATACGATATGAATTTAAAATGGCCAGGAATACTCAGTCGACGAATAGCAAGATTACTTGTTGACCTGAGAAAATCATTCAAATATTTGATCAAGCGTTAGATATTTTACACATAATATGATACTTGCATAAAGCTTTATCGAAAACATTTTCATATCAAGTAGTCAAACGCAATATGTCTCTTACTACTTTCTGGAAAGATAATATTTTTAGATAATAATCAGGGTCTGGGTGCAGTTGAGACTTTGAATTTTCTCCTCGATTAGCTACTCCAGCAATCACAATGCAATATTTTTTTCCGGATTCCCTTGCTGCTGGTTCTTTAGAAACCATGTTGCTCATAGGAATAATATTAAACATTATAATCTATTTGTTTTCATCTCGAATATTCATAAAGAAAAGCAAACGAAACAAACATCATTAATCATTAACATGATCCAATAATTCATTTTTATCCTAGTCTCCTCAATCTCCTTTTCTTTATCCGTGGCTCAACTTCTTTCGCAAATTTATTGTTTTATATTATTAGAGTGCCGCAAGCTTGTCTCATTTGTTGATGTAAATCATCTGTAGATGCAGGTTGTTTTTAATAGAAAGATTATTCACATTGTGCATGTAGAGAGGAAAGGATGTTTCATGCTCTGTCCTCTTGGTACTGTCTCGCGTGTTCTACGAAGATCTAAAATTAAAATAAGCATAGTATAGCATAAAGCTGTGGCATATTAAAAGTCTACTGGAAATATTTGTAACACAAATCGTTATACTGCTGTCTCTCTATTGCATGATAGAACTTTACAACTCTCCTATGAGCAGATCATAGCGACATCATTTTTACCTAAGCAGAATCTAGGATATATTGCAGACCAATCAGTATATATGTCAATTATTTCTGTGGACCAGAGAGTGAGTTCCTCACCTGTTCTTTTTTTTTTATGAAGAACAAATTCATTGCCATCCATATTTCATTTAATTTATTTCGTACTCAAGTGGCGATATGCTTGCTAGTTGTGAATTCTATATTACAATATCATTATGTTGAGTATTTGTTTTTCTTCTTGCTCGATAAGAAAAAAAGCTAAGATCGTGAATATTTTTATTATTGTTGGCTATATTTGATGTTTTGTTCAAATACGGTTAACATTCAATGAAACTGCAGTTGAAGCTTTTCTTCTATAATAGTTTTCTTGATCTACCATGATGAATGATTGCATTTTGTGTTGTTTTTTTTATTGTATTTATGTTTTGCTTTTGTCTCATTTAGTTATATAGTTGACATTTATTCTTAGTTACAAAGACAGAAAATATGAGTACATTTAATTTATCTGCATGATGTTTATCATCCAGTAGTATCCGTTGTTCGAATGTCAAAGAACAGAAGATTTGTGGAACTGTTTTTGGGCGTGCATGATCTTTTCTTTTGTTATTTATGCTTCTGGAAGCATCTTTTCCTTGTAACAGTGATACAGTTTTTTTTGATTTGTACAAAAAATCTGGTATGTAGAAGTAAAATAGTTACTTATTTTTTAAACAAACTAATATCCGAATTGTAATTATTTTTTAAGAGACGTTTGATTTCATTAAGATAGTTTTCAATGAGATGTCGATTTGAGTTCGATCAATTTTGAGGAATTCTGCCGTAAAAAAAATGGAGGTAGACAACATTGATTTTTATCGATGAAGAAAAAAATACACTTTTATTCCTTTTCTTCTTTACAATTTTACCTTGACAAGGCGAGCCAATCGAACGTGCGGTCGTCTCATTGTATAAAAGAATAGAAAGAACGAAACACGACGAGCAAGAAAAAAAAGAACACATATGCTAAACGACATGACATTCTCGTTCTACCCACCTTACTGAACTCGCTGAATATTATTTATGAAAAGTTCACCAAGAATAAAATTATTTTAGATTGTTTTTCTTTCAGATGCTATTATAAACATCAATAACCTAACTATAAAGGAGCTACAGAAAAAAAAATTGAACCAATGACTTCATCAAATTTTGTATATACCCTTTTTTTAATTTCCTTTGTACATTCAAGTAAGTTCAATTCATTTTTTTGTTAGATTTTCTTTTAATTAAAAGTTTTTAGTCCCAATACCTCCTACAATATTTACTGAACCCGATCCTGAAGTTATATTTGATCCACGTGTTAACATTGAACTTCCATGTATAGGAAAAGGAGATCCAACTCCAATTTATACGTGGACAAAAGATGGTCGTTTTTATGAACCAAGCGCTCAAAATAATCGCGTTGCTATGGGTACTGACTCAGGTACACTTATTTTTACTCAAGCACAAACTATTGATCAAGGATGGTATCAATGTAATGCAACAAATATGTGGGGTAAATGAGAAGAAACTAAAACTAAAAATCGAAATACCGTTTTTTGTTTTGTTTTCTAGGCAGTGCATTCTCACGTAAAGTTCGTGTACGTCTTGCTGAACTTGGTGCTTTTCCCATTTATGATAAACCACAAGTAATTCAAGTACGACGTGGTGATTCATTAAAAATTCCATGTAAACCACCAACTGGTGTACCTGATCCTGAAACTTATTGGACGGATAATACAAATGCGGGTGATCAATTCGGTTTTCTTGTATCGAACCCTCGAATTCAACAAGATTATTATGGTTTGTTAAATTTATTTTAAAATCTATTCGTTTTTAATTGACAATTGTTTTCGTTTTGCTTTAAAGGAAATCTTTATTTCTTAAATGTAAAAGATGAAGATGAACAAAAACAATTTATTTGTAATGTTTTTTCACGGAAATTAAATGTTATTCGTCGTGGTGCTCTAACACAAATTCAAGTTATTAAATCCGATCCAAATAATCGTCGTCCAATGAAATTATGGACATCGGAAGCTAATAAAGTCTTTTTAAAAGGATATAAATTAACGTTAAAATGCATTTTCGGTGGCCTACCAACGCCTGGTGTTATATGGCGAAAAATAAATGGCACAATACCGGAAAGACGTGCGACAGTTAATATGGAAAAGCAAGAACTGGTTATTAGTGATCTTCAATATGAAGATGCAGGTTTATATGAATGTCGAGGACATAATGGTATAGAATTCGAATTCGATAAAATAAATTTTTTATTATTTCTATTTGCTTTTTATTTCAGAATTGGGTAATGATTTATTTAGTATTAACGTTCGTATTGAAGCCGGTCCATATTGGATATCAAAACCAGAAAATGTTCATGTAACCGAAGGTGAAACAGTTGATTTTGTTTGCAGTGCTGAATCAAAACCACCACCGAATAATATTCAATGGTTTATCAATGGTGTACCATTACTGGAGACGAGCGTTCGACGTAATCCGCGTCGACGTGTTGTGAACAATCACATGATTATAGAAAATGTTACGAAACTAGATACAGCTGTTTATCAATGCAACGTCACAAATATTCATGGATATGTTTTTACAAATTTTTTCGTTAATGTTATTTGTAAGTAAATGAATTTTACCAGTTGTCTTAAAGCGAACTGGAAACTTTTATAGAAAGTAAATTATTGAAATGTAGGACATGTCTGTATATAGAGTGAAGAATTTCACTCAAATATTAATTTTTTCATTTGCAAGTCTTTCTATGTTACAAAGCGGATAGTTTTCCACTGTTCTTAATTAATCTCGGATTCTTTACATTTTGTTTCGAATCATATTTGAATTTCTAATATCAAAAAGAATTTATTGATTACTTTTTACTATTAGAGAAAACAAATACTTGAGTAAATATATGTTCATTTTATTAGGAAATTTCACTTGTTGTCCGTTTCGTAGCAAGAAAAGCTTTACAGTGAAGTTTGCATTACTAAATGAGTCTTTTTTCACTAATACTGCGTGAATATATTTCAGAGACATCCTGACACATGGTCGAACTTTTTTTAATACAGTTTCGTCATCGTGTTTTAAGTTTGCCATAGAAAAAAAATTCATTTGATTTCAATGCATCTAGTCGATATTTTATGTGAAGCATTCGTTCCTAAATATGTTCAGGAATTTTTCTGATCTGCTAATAAAAAAAAGATTAGTACATTATCAAAACACAATTCTCATCTCTTAGCAATCAAAATTTGATTCCATTAAATAACGTTATGAATTCAACTATCATATCATAGAATTACGGAGCTAAACAATTTTTTAAATCTGAAATAAAAGTTTCAATATATTTTATTTCTGTTTGTAAAGAGTTGAATCTATTATCGTTAACAAATTAATATTCATAGTTCATATTCATGAGAAAAATGTCAAATATAAAAATATTGCTTCGGAATTCTATCGTTTACCCTATTAAATAATAGTAGCCATGAGCAAGATAAGGAAATCGACATGAGAGTTGTGTCAACAATCTCTACGTTTTTGTAACCCACTAACAGTTATAATTCGCCAATAAAGCCACTGATCATATTTGAAACCGGGGAAGTATTCGTTATACTCGGCCAATGAATATCAACCATGTATGTAGTACAGGTTTTTATCATTGATCGAAGAATCAGATGAGTAGGTTGTTTTATCGTATTTAAATTGAATTATTTATTTCATTAAGCCATTTTGTGGGACACCCCTCGCTATATCAACTTGATCAGTTCAATTTGAAACATGCGTTCATTATTTAAAAAGAAATTTCTGATTTTTCATCAAATTGAACTGATGTTTTTTTTTAATAGTTTAATTAGAAAAAATATGAATTTAAAATTTTTATCATTTTTAATAATTTACAGGTGATAAATATATTGTATCTGTATAAATCAAATTCATAATGAAATATTGTCAACTGTTCGAATTGTTTTTTGATTTTTATTTAGCAAATCATTCTTATTTCTCTTCATTTTACCTTGTAGTTGTCGATAAATAGGTCCGTTAGTCGGTGGAGTCATTTTGAAGTGCTCGAGGTATGATTATTGACATTCCTTATGATAATAAATTTCAAGTCGAAATTTTACGGGAGAACACTTGCAAGTCAATAAGCAAAAATTAAAACAAGCATGCATACCACTACTTACCACGTTCAATCATAATAATGTTATAGTAACAAATGTTAAAACATGAGAAAGTATAATTCAATCAATGCGATTTATAGATCCTCGACATCTACTAAAATAGGAAAACTTCGAAATTAATATAGGCAATAGTTTTTAGAATCGGGCCATTCTTTCTCATGTATTACCTATCGAACTAATTGATTTTTCGCTAAATAGATGAATAAAAAGGCATCGCAGTAAAAGTCTTCGATATTTGTAAAGATTTCAATGTTGTTCTTATGTTGTAGCTGAACCGCCACTAATTCAAATTGGTCCCGATCCACTGCATCGAGCTGTTGAAGGATCAAGCATTAGTCTACCATGTGAAGCGTTTGGTGCTCCAACGCCCAAAGTTTATTGGAGTAAACGTAATCAAGTCATAACTGGTGGAAGGTAACTCATCAATCTTTTCCTTTATCATTTATGTTTTCAAATACCTTCCAACGCGCGTATATATATATATATATATATATCTTACCTAGCCTTTAAATCGGTATGAAAACAAAAGTGTCCTACGCTTTGACATGCGTTTATAACAGCATGTGTGTATAAAAATAGTCTTGTTTACAGCATGTGTGCTTTTTGTTTTATAGATTCTTAGTATTCATTGTAATTTAATTTTTCTAACAATTAGGTATACAATATCAGCAAGTGGAAGTTTACTAATACGTGAAGCATCTGCGTCTGATAGTGGTGTATATATATGTAATGCGACAAATAAATTTGGTTCAGATATACGCAGTGGAACGTTGAATGTGAAACGAAAAACTCGTATCCAAACTCGTCCAGGAAACCAAGAAGTGCGTCGTGGCTACTATGCTATATTTCGTTGTACAGCTATTGCTGATACATCATTGTCGTATGATATTGATTGGTATAAAGATGGACGTTTACTTGCCTATACAGGTCAATATTGTTTTCTTTGTTTTAATTTCTTTTTTTATACCCGTATCTTTCTTTACTTAGGTCGCTTTATAAAAGATATTGCTGATCAGAATACATTGAAAATTGTTGATGTACAATTTGATGATGGTGGCTCTTATGTTTGTCGTGCTAGTACAGAACTTGATTCGGATGAGGCGATGGCAACATTAGTTGTTCAAGATCGGCCAAATAGACCCAAAATAACAAAAGTCAATTGTAGCGGTTCAACACAAAACTCATTTGGACACCCTTTTTCTATTGTTCAATGGGAAGCAACAGGTTTGACAGACTTTTGTTTTTATTATACATGAATGAAACTAACAAAAAAAGAAATAATAATTTTGATACAGGTGATAATAATGCACGAATACTCTACTATGAATTACAATATAATACATCATTTCAACAAAATGATTGGATATCCGTACCAGTTGAACGACGTCGAGAAACCTACAATGAAATTAAATCACAGGATGGTTCAGTTAGATTGGAACCGCATGCAATAAGTAATTGCTTTTAAATTTCTATAAAAAGAAGTTTTCATTTTCAAAATTCATTTTTTAGTCTATAAAACAGCACGTCTTCCATCGAATCAATATGATTTACGTGTAACATTATCATGTTGGACTAATTATACATTTCGTGTTGTTGCTTACAATCGTATTGGTGCTAGCGATCCAAGTGCTATATCAGAATCGATGTGTTCAACGACAACATGTCGACCAGAGTCCAATCCAGTTGGTGTTAAAGCATTTACAACACAATTTATACCGCTACTCATCGAATGGGATGTAAGGAAAAGAAATTTTTCTTTTTTTCATCTTGATGCATTCGACTTATCCTATGATTTTAATCAATAGAGTATGCCACCATTAAAATGGAATGCACCAAAATTTTGGTATGAAATTGGTTGGCGTCCGTTTTTGGCTGGTGCTAATCCACAACCATTTATGACTCAACGTATCTATCCACCACAGAATCGTTTTGCTATACCAAATCCAGCCCTTAATATGCGTTATCAATACTATGTGAAAGCAGTTAATCAACAACCAGGAGGTATGTTTTCTCGCCGTGAAAACAAAAAACACATAAACGATGTCTTGTACATTTCTTGATTGACTTGATAAATTTCGAACAGATTAAATTCTTCGCCTGTATTTTTTACTGTTTAGAAGTGAACGGTGCTGACGCTATTGAACCTCCACTTTATTTTGTTGCATTTGCCGGAGATTCGGGTAATTATAACAATGTTTCTTGTACTTATCCTATATCTTTACCATCGCGATCTGTAACATCGTCACCTAAATCTACAACAATTCGAACCATGCTATTACAACGTAAACATCATCCTAATCAACGTTGTGATCAACGAAAAAAATCTTGTTCAACTAAAAAACTTGCTATTTCTTGAAATGAATAATAAAATTTGAATAAATTTTTTCGAATTTCTTTTTTTAAATATTTAATGCATGTGTTTGTATGTGTATTCTAGCACCAACATATATTCCGCGTGGTTTTCGCTTTTTACAAGTGTTGGATGCTACAACAGTACAGTTTGCATGGGAACCTCCATTGACTGCTGATGAAGTTAATATTCGCGGCTCTCTTAAAGCTTATCAAGTTGTTTATTTTCGTATTTTTATTTTGCATGTTATGCATGTGTTTGTATGTAGATTGAAATGTTTCGACTTGATGATCCTGAAAATTCTCTTCGTGTTATATCGAATATTTCACCGCATCAAACTGGAATAATACTTTTTAATGCTCCAGCAAATGGTCTAGTTGGTGCACGAATTCGTATCGAAACTGATCGCTATTTAGGACCGACAAGTCCTGTTGTATGTATTAATGTCTCAAATACAAAAGAGTCGCACATAGTTTCTTTTCTTTTTAGATAGAATTTCGAACACGAGAAGGACGTCCAGGTCCAGTTACTAATTTACGTGGTTTACAATATGCTGGTAATGGAATTTTACTCTTCTGGGAACCACCCGATGAACCAAATGGTTTTGTAATTGGTTATCAAATTGATTATAAAACGATCGAAAGGTATTTGTTATAATTATTACTAAATTGTTTAATCAATTTTCATCTGACTTCTATTTAGTATTGTTGCTCAACCAGGTCTCGATCAACCTTCAATAATAATTCAAGATCGTAATCAATTCAGTTATCTGATTGGTGGACTCAAACCACATACAAAATATCGTGTTCAAGTACGAGCACGCACTGTAGCTGGTCTTTCAATAAGTCCAGCTATGCTTGAACTGACAACCAATCACAGTCTTGGTATGTATTGAAATGATGAATATAAACTATCTATAATCTCAATTCGTCTCTATTTTTTAAGTACCATCGAAACCAAAATTCTTTGTTTCATATCGAGCAACAACCTTCTTTAATGTTTCATTTGATCCAAACGCTATGGCTATTCATGGTAGTCTTTATTATGTGCAATATAAAGAAGATGAAAGAGGTTTGTATAAGTTGAATATCTTGGAAGTGAACAGCTCGCAACACGTAGAAACTAAATTGAAATCACATACATCTTGTAAAGTCATTTGAGTTACAGAGATCTTGAAAGGAATTTCTCTGAGAATATTACATATTTACACGAGGTTTAAGTAAAAAATCTGATCTTTCTAAGATACTTCGAGGATTTTTCTTTTTTTTTTTTGAGTTTCAATATCAAAACGATGCAATGTAAAAATCGTTCTCCTTATTACATCTTAGAATAATTAGTTGCTTTTTGTGGTATTGAGACGATTAGAACCATGATTTAAATAAATATTGTAAAAATCCATCAGATCCGTAGAAATACGCTAAGCGTTTGAATTCATCTCAGAGTTTTCCCCATTCACTAAAGAACAATTACTAGAATTTACTAGTTAAAATTCATATGATGAATTTTGATTTTTAAGATGGTGAATCAATATTTAAACGAACATATGTTGTATCAAATGATCATACTATTATTGTCAGTCCACTTGAACCTGGTAAAACGTATATAGCAATATTAGTTGCTGGTGATGGTATACGTGCTGAAACTAAAAGTGATCCTCAATTGGTTTCAACACTTGGCAAAGGTATTTCGAAAGCAACACTAATAGAAAGATTTTAATGAATTTTATTTTAGATCGTGGTCCACGAGTTACTAATGCCTCTTGGTTTATTGGTCTCCTTGTTTCACTAGCCATTCTTATTATTGTTGTAATTGTTGTTTGTGGTCTCATGACACAAAAAGGTGGAAAATATTCAAGTAAATATTTCGTTCATTTTCTGCTAAAATCTATCAAGATTATGTGACTATTTGTCGCAAAGAAAACAAATCTATAGATTTAAAATATATAATTATATCATATATGTTAATTTAAAATGATTTGATGATTATTTTTATTATAGAATTGGAACAAGATGCATTCACCCATGATGATGACGGCAAATTCAATGATTATAATCAAGCGTACGTTTAAAAACAATATACCTTATAAATAAAATAAAATAAATTTTTCTTTTGTTCCATTTAGACCAAGCGATTCATCAACCAAGCATAGCCAATCATCATTACATGATTCCACGGCAGAACTAGATGCCGATAAACGACGCACTTATTTAGTTAAGTATGGCGAAAGTGACGGTCAGAATGAAGATCCAAACAATTTTTCAACTGCTGTATAGATGTCTCGATAGTGCTCATTTTGTTTTGTTCTTGTCTTTTGTAAATTAGTCGTATTTTCATTTTTGAAAAACGAGTATTTTTTTTAAATGCTGCGTCAATGAATCTCGTTAAAAACATATGCATATGGACACGGAGTAAATTTCAGACTAGAATATGATGTCTTTAGTTTATCTGATAGGTAATTAAGTTTTTTTTTCCAAGGCGGGTATTCTTGGTGTGTGAACTTTTTTCTTTTGCCTCTATTTCTTTTGATTCAGTATGAATTCGCGTTTGTTTTTTGTTTTCTTTTTGCTATATGTTATATAAACATTTCTTTTTTGTGTCTATACATTCCATTTATAAACAAATATATTGCCATTAAACTTTCTCAGATGTTTAAAAGCAAATTTTATTTTCAATGGCCAATATGCATGGAATGCTCCATTATTCTTTTATGTATGAAAGTCTAAAGCATGAAGTACAACTCCCTGATAATTATTAGTCATCATCGTAAAACGAGCAATGAATAATTCATAGTGTGTCCAATGACGGTTGTAAATAGAAATGAATTTGAAATAGTAACCAGGTAACGTCTAGAGATTTAAGTATTTCATCGGTTATTTCATCAAATAAAAGTTATCTTTTATTTTCAAACGGTCACTTGAACATAATCATCATTCATCAATGATGTTTCGTTGTTCATAGATGTGACATTCAAAACATAAATAGTAAACTTAGCAATAGCTCTACTTCTTATTTTTATATTTCTAACAAAGGCATGAATTGATTTTCAGAAAGCAACACCGGGAATATCAACAGTTGATCTAACGCTTTATTTAGAATTTTCCTTCCAATGAGAATCAATAGAATATGACCGGATTGGACAATGGTAGATGGCCCAATGCATAATATTAGGATGAATGTTTATTTCGGAGGCAGATGAAACATCTTGGTCGTATTTTTTCGAAGAATCTTATTCGTAATTCATCATTATCTTGTTATGGGTGGTTCTTTTTTGTTCGAAAAAATGATATAAAAATCAATATTCTTGTTTTTACAATTGCTATATCAAAATATTTTATATGAAAATAAAAGATATCGGATCAGATCGAATGTTAGATGCTTAAATGTTAGAGCGCTGTAGAGCGAAAGATAAGTTAATTCTTTGTTGAAAGCACCTATGGTTTGTAATCATACGAGATTTTACCGATAAAACGAAGAATTGAAGTCACGTTGAATAGCATAACCCAGGTCGATCAACTTGTGTCGTACACAGCCGTTTGGCCATAATTTACGGCCGTTTGGTATGCACCGTATTACGGTCGTTTTGTATCGTGCCATAAACGATCGGATACGGTCGGACACGGAAATATCCGACCACATTACGGTCGTTAGTCACCGTTTACGACACGATTAATTACGGGCGTAATACGGTGCATACCAAAACGTCTAGTTACGGCCATTTACGGTGAGAAACGGCAGTATACGTTAACGGTTACGGCCGTTTCTGGTAGCCGTAATGCTCGACCTGGGATGCTTTTCTTAAGTTTCAAAGGTGTACTTGACTCGTCAATCTCAAAATCTTGGTTTTCCAATAGATGGCGTTAATTTTTTAAGTGACCTTCTGTTAATATGCAGGTAAATACATTAATAATGGAATGAATTTATTAACTAGAATAATAGATGTTCTTTTTTATTCAATTAAATCTTGTATTCAATGCATGAAATTCGTAGTAAAAAGATCATTCGACACTTTATCACCAATGAAATCATTCACGCTGGGTAACGCCATTATTTATTCTAGAGTATTCATTTTGATTTAGTAATTTCATAAATAAATTCTAGTAGATAAAATCTTTTTTAGATTAACAACTCGCATCGGTTAACAAATTTATACATCATGGAATATATAACTGATAGTATTGAACCAACTACAACTGCTGGCAAAATGTATGTCAACTAGTTAATTATTTTGATTGTTAACACTTACTTTCGATATCATTTAGTTTATGTTGTCAATGTGGTGTTTTGATTGAACCAAATGCACTGAATATGTGTAATGGATGCATGCAATCACAAATCGATATAACAGAACTTATTCCTAAGCAAGGTCAATTACAAATGTGCAACAAATGTATTCGGTATATATATATATTTACAACTTAACTATTTTCTTTTCTAATTGAAATATATTTTGTCCATAGTTATCTTCAACCTCCAAATACATGGATAAGTGCACAATTAGAATCTCGGGAATTATTAACCGTATGTTTAAAACGTATTAAAGGATTAAATAAAGAAGTAAGTAAAAGAATTTTGAAATTTCTATTAAATAATACTAATATTTAGGTAAGATTAGTTGATGCTGGTTTTATTTGGACTGAACCTCATTCAAAAAGAGTAAAGGTTAAATTAACTGTTCAAAAAGAAGTGGCACAAGGTGCTATACTCCAACAAACATTTATTGTTGAATTTACCATATTTAATCAAATATGTGATGATTGTCAACGAGTCGAAGCTAAAGATTATTGGAAAGCGCTTGTTCAAGTTCGACAACGAGTTAGTTTATTGATTCTATTTTATTTTCATTTGAATAAAAATTCTATTTAGACTTCACATAAAAAAACATTCTTTTATCTCGAACAACTTTTACTTAAACATAATGCTCACGCCGATGCATCAAATATAAAACAAGTTCATGGTGGTTTAGACTTCTATTTTGCAGAACAGAATAGCGGAAGAAAATTAGTCGATTTTCTTACGTGTGTTGTGCCATGCAGGTTAATTCTTTGTTTTCTTTTACCTTGATTTATTTAATAGTATTTGATTTTTTGTTATTGAAATTTAATTGCAGATTTGAAACATCAAAACGTCTTATTTCACATGATATACATAGTAATATTTATAACTATAAATATACAACACTTGTTGAAATCGTTCCTGTGTGTAAAGTAAGAGAGAAGAATCTAAGTAAAAACAAGATATTTCATGTGCACATATTTATCAGGATGATATTGTTTGTTTATCGAAAAAACAATCAAAGCATCTTGGTAATATTGGTCCAATATGTATTTGTTCACGTGTAACACAAAACGTTTATTTAATTGATCCACAAACACTTAAAGGTGAGAATAAGAAGAAGAAAAAGAATTTGATCTGAATTAATTATGGAATTTTAGTTGAACCGATTTCGTCGAATGAATTTTGGCGGTCACCATTTTCATCTATATGTGATTCGAAACATCTTGTTGAGTACATTGTTTGTGATGTTAACGTTCTTGATTCAACGTCGAAACCTCATGTTTATGGAAAAGAATCGCAGAAGGTTGGTTATTAAAATTTAATTGATTGAGTTAAGAAAAAGAAATTATCTTGATGAGTCGGATTTAATTTTATATATATGAATTCTTCAAAAAAACAAAACATTTTAGCATGCTCTTGCCGAAGTATTCGTAATGAAATCATCGGAAATCGGTGTTGTTGATAAGCAATATACAACGATTAGTCATCTGGGTCATATTTTACATCCGGGCGATACTGTTATGGGGTATGGAAAATACTATTGAAAATGAACATTTCCTAATTCATTGTTATAAAATTAGATTTGATCTACAGAATAGTAATGTTAGCGATCCAAGTTTGAATGATTTTGACCTGGACAAGCTACCTGATGTGGTTCGTTGATCTATTGATAATGTTGTTTTTCTGTTTGTTATAAAAAAAAATCGTATGTATAGGTTCTCGTTAAGAAAATTTATGCTGATAAAAGTCTCCGTAATCGACGCCGTCAATGGAAATTGAAACATTTAGATGTTGAAGATGCAGCAAGTGTCAATAGCACTATTGAACGGTTTGTTATATGTCTTTGTAAAATTGATTAATGACTATTTGATTTCGTTTTATTTTAGGGATTATACTGAATTTCTTGAAGATCTTGAAGAAGATCCTGTTTTAAGACAAAACGTCAATGTCTACAGAGGTAAAATAAAAACAGCATAAATTTTAATGATTCAAAAATCTAAAAAAATATTTTACTTTTCATTTGTTTAGACGAGAAAAAAATACAAGAACCAGGAAATAATATCGGTGATTCAACTGAAGAGGATACGCCACGTATCGATCTTGATGAGATGTTAGCTGATATGACTATGGAAGATCCCGATAAAATGGATTCATAAAAGAATAAAAAATAAAAAGAAGTTCTGTTTTTGTTTTTAGATTTTCTTTTATTTTCCTTTAATGTATATTCAATGACAACAACAAATAAAATTGATTTATATCTTGCAAATAATCTTGAAGAATTAAATAAACGTGCTGATGATAATCCATCAATTCAAAAAGCTAAATCATCAAGCTGTGCGCAGATAACTCACGTCATTGAAACGATATGGGCTGAAGCAAAAAAAGCAGAATTAATTAATGATGAAGAACGTGCCTATGTTCTATATATGAGATTATTTGCATGCTTTACTGCTTTAAAACAAGCAAAAGATATTGCTAACAATCAAGTAAATAGAAATCATGCATTTAGCAAAAAAAGAAACAATAACTAAAGTTTTATTTATTTTTTCTTCGCAATAGAGTAGCGTACAATATTATCAAAAGGGTGCTTTGCTTTGGTGGGAAAAAGCAGATCAATTATCAGCCAGTTTAAAAACAAGGTAAAACAATTGATCTGTTTATAAAATACTATAGTGGGGCAATGTGTAAATGGTCTTTCCAATCGCACCAGAACAATATATATTGCTACATTGCAGATATTTCAAATTTAGAGTTTTGAAACAGTTGAAAATTCTTGAACTATTGAAAAGATGAGAGAAATTTTAACATAACTCTATGGTTCTGCAATGAGACTACTTGGGTGGACTGACTGTATCGATGCGAGAAAATTCTGACTATTACTGTTGAAGATCAAAATCTCATTTGTTACGTTATTAGGAAATCTCTCGAATGTAGGGATCTCGTATATAATCCATTCATGATTAAAAAAACTAACTTCTCATTGTTGTTCTCTACTTGAGTGTAACATCATTGATATAGACTTGTCTATTCGATTTTAATCTTGTAGAAATTCTTTTGACAAGCCTTTTTTTCATATAGATATGATGCGAAAAATGCAGCGAAAATTGAAGAAGAAAGAAAAATTCAAGCAGCTATTGATGAAGAAGCATCTCGTAAGCATGTTCTTTGATCTAATAACTTTGGAATTTTTTTATTTTGAAATTTTTTCATAGTTGAAAAATCGATTTCGCCTAAATTACTTTATAAATATTTGAATGAACTCAAAAAGAATATTTTACTAATTGATATGCGTTCAACAACTGATTATGATCAATCACATATGAGAACATCTGCTTGTATTCATACTCCAGCTGATCTTATGAATGGAAAAGGGTATGAGAAAAACAAAAACAAAAACTATATGCAGTATCGGAATTACTAAAAAAACCGTTCAACAATATTTAGATGGACATCATGGGGTGTAGAATCAGCCTTGACAGATCAAAATGCTTGTACAAAATTTAAGCAACGTGCAACTTATGATTACATTGTTTTATTTGATGATGATAGTTATGAGAATAATTTGAAAGCTGGCCATTGTCTAATGGGTTTGAAGCAAGCTATTTTTTCGGTAAGTGACTTTTTTTTTATAAATTTTCTTTTCTTTTCTTTTATTAAATAAAAATTCTCTTAGTTTGATCGAGATGTTAAATTGAAACATGAACCATTAATTCTGGATGGTGGTTATGAAGATTGGATGACATATTATCCAGGCGAAAATACGGCTCCATTAATTTCAAGAAAACCTCTTGGAGAACTTCGATCGTTTGGTTAGAAAATTTATTTTATGAATAATTATTCATAAAATTTTTCTATTCAAGAGGTTTCCTATCCTGATGACGTATATGTACTTGAGGAAGTACCGGCTGATGTAACAACTAATGCTCAGCCAGAAGCAGCGACTATTACATCAGCTATTGTTCCACAAATTGATCGAACACGAAAACCAATTAATAGTCAAAAACCTGAATCAAATATTATCGAATCAGAAGAATTGCCAATTCAACAAGTACGAATTTTAGTGTTTTACTAATTTTAATGAATAGTTTGTTTTTCGTCCCATCTTATAGATTGAAGAAGAACAACAACAACAACCAACACCAATAATACCATCAGTAATAGTAGTAAAAGAACAACCTGAAATTCCAGATCGATCAATGAAACCAATACAACCAATAGGGTTAGTTTGAATAGGCAAACAAATTGTAAAATTATCTTATCGGAAATGAATATTAATTGATATAATTGAAATGACTAGAAGAATTTAATGTATTATTGAAGATAATTATATGTGGTTCTATTGATTTTCTTCGTTTTAATTTCATCAATTCTACTTAGCCATAGATCTAAGTCGATGATTAAATCAGTAGTGTTAGATTGAAATGAAAATCCTTGGAAATATGAACTCGAAATAATTAGATAATTTTCAAAAACCCAGTGTCTTTTTTTTGAAATACAGAGAACACAACGGGTGAAATCTTTGGTAACTATTCATTGAATTAGAACCACTTGACTACATTAATTCTTTAGATGAACTGAACTATCTTTCTACAGACTTCATGAATATTTAAAAGAAAATATAATCTCTTTTGAATCTTCTATTACTTTAGACCAACTTCACCAGTAAATCAAGAATTGCCAAATATTCCGATTGTACCAGATATTGCAGCACATCCTTCATCAGTTACTCCAATCATTTCGAATACTACTAATATTTCTTCTGAAATCCCAAAACTGATTGATAAAAATGTAAATAAAAATGATTCAAATAGAGAAAATATTCCACCTACGGATGTTTCAAAATTTCCCACACTTAATCGTGGAACGCTTCCTATATATCGTCCATTCAATCGAACCGTACCTATTAATAATACAGATGAACAATATAGAAAGAAGTTTGATGCTGTCACTGGTCGGTATGTTGAATAAGTTCTATGTGAAATATTCATATATGATTATTGATCTTTCTTTCTTCTCCTAGTAAAGTAATTATCGATACAAAAAGTAATCGATACATAACAGATATTCCTGAAAATGAAACAAATAAAACTCCTATTCATATAACACCATCAGTCAATCGTGATACGAAACCAATATTAACCCAACAAACTCGTCAACAAATCGCATATGATTACCGTGCAATTACTGATAATTTACAAGTAAATGGTCCTACCGGTTTAAAAAACCTCGGAAATTCATGTTATATGAATTCAATTATTCAATCTTTAAGTTTTAATCTTAAATTAACAAACTATTTCTTATCAGGTGATTTTGATAAAGATATAAATACAAAAAATAAATTTGGCTCTGGTGGATTAGTTGTTAAAGAATGGTTTAAACTGATTTATTTATTATGGTGTCAACAATATTCATATGTTGCACCACAACCATTTAAATATGTTGTTGGAACACTTCAAAAGGCTTATTTAGGTACACAACAACAAGATGCACATGAATTTCTTGTCTTTCTACTCGATGCATTACATGAAGATCTTAATCAAGTACGAGCAAAAAAACAAAAACAATAAGAATATCAAAAAACATTTCTATATTATTTTCTTAGGCCACTCGTCCACGTATTGAAGAACTTAAATCAGAAAATTTTAAAACTGATCGACAACTAGCTGAAGCAAGCAAAAAATCATTTCTTTCACATAATAAATCAATAATAATTGATCTTTTCTATGGTCTATTCAAATCTACCACAATATGTTTATTATGCTCATATAATTCCATTCGTTTTGATGCATTCGCAATGATTAGTGTACCTATTCCACGCGTTCGACAATGTTCATTAGATGATTGTTTAGATTTATTTCGAGAGTTCGAATATCTAAGAGGCGATGAACGGTACGAATGTTCAAATTGTAAACGTGTATCAGAAAAGAAACGACGTTTAGATATTTGGGAGCTACCAAAAATATTTATTGTGCATTTCAAACGGTAAGAATAACTAATGCTTCAGAGTTTTATACGAGCCTTCGTTTTTAAATATCATCTATGCTCTAGCTAAACTGATTTTAACTTGAAGATTTCTTCGTAAAATTGAGTAAAGATGCACGAGTGAGAATATTTCTTTTCCTAGAAATTTTGATGGATTCTTATAATTATTTAATTCAACCGAATCTTCCTATGAATAAATAGATGCTTTTTCGATTGTTTGAATGACAGAACAATAATTAACTTCAATTGAGATCTTTTTATTTATTGTTATTACACATACATTCAGGAGTGTTGAATTATAATTGTTTATCAATATGTGACAATTCTCAATTGATCTACTTTTTATAAATGGTTTTGAACGAAACAGCTGAATTGAATGCAGAAAAGGGTGAACTTTTCATAATCTATCATTGAAGATCTAGATTGAAAGAGATTATCTATCTATATATATATATATATATATTCATGTAGTTCAACTATTAACAATATTGTTAAATTGAATTTTCTTTAAATCAAGTCATTTATCCAATTTCTTGTATAAAATATATTTGTTTATTAATTTCTAGTTTTCGTCTTCAACAAACACATTATATAAAAAATGAAACATTAATTCGATATCCAATATCTAATATTGATTTTTCACATTGGTCTCAGACTCCATCACCATCAAAATATTCTCTTGTAGCCGTTGTTAATCATTATGGTTCAATGAATAGTGGCCATTATACATCCTTTTGTAATGACGGTAAACAATGGTATTATTGTAATGATCATGCCATTCGTGTGGCTGAAAAAAGTGAACTCGAACATAATGTTCATGCCTATCTTCTTTTTTATTCGTCTCTACCACAACAGCAATTGCGTTTGCCTTCAATTCCAAATTAGTATTTTCATTTTGTTCTATCTTGTTCGATATTTATTTATTTATTTGTTTTGTTTCTCTTTAATATTTGTTTTGTAAAGCGGCGAATGGAATATGATTCTTTCTTTTTATTTGCTACAGATTATTTTAGATTTTTCTAAATAATAATATAAACATGACTGCAGCTGTAGAAGAGATGCCAGTTATTATTCCTAAAGAGGTATGTGCAATGATTTCAAAAGCTGTATATTACATTTTTGTTATATTTGTTTTTAATTTTAAAGGAAGAGCTAGGACGTGTCTTACAACAAAATTATGCTCTTTCATCACAATACGAGTCACTTGACAGCGATGATTTATACACAAAATATAAAGTTAGTTCATTTCTAAATAAATGAAAAAACGTTCTGGGTTTTATAGAAAAATATCCAATTTATTTTTAAATTTAGAAACTACAACGTCAACTTGAATTCTTAGAAGTTCAAGAAGAATACGTTAAAACAGAATTAAAAAATTTAAAAAAAGAAATGTTACATGCACAAGAAGAAATAAAACGTATTCAAAGTGTACCACTTGTTATTGGGCAATTTCTTGAAGCTGTTGATCAAAACACTGGAATTGTTGGATCGACTACAGGTAAGAAACAATAATTCGCTGTTTTTGTTTTTGTTTCAATGAATTTCTAGAAATAATAATCTTGAATTTTTAGGTTCAAATTACTATGTACGCATTCTATCAACAATTGATCGAGAACTTTTAAAAACTGGTGCTAGTGTTGCATTACATAAACATTCAAATGCACTTGTTGATATTCTTCCACCCGAATCAGATAGTAGCATTTCCATGTTACAAGCTGGTATTATCAAAGAAATCATTACTTAATCTTCTTTTATCACTTTTGAAATATTTAGATGAAAAGCCTGATGTTGATTATGCTGATATTGGCGGATTAGATTTACAAAAACAAGAAATTCGTGAAGCTGTTGAATTACCATTAACACATTATGGTTAATTTTTTCGTCATAACAATGAGCGTTTTTTACTTTGTCCTTTTGCTTTTGATTAAATAGAATTGTATAAATTAATTGGTATTGATCCGCCACGTGGTGTACTTATGTATGGTCCTCCTGGTAAGTCATTTATTTAACTTTTTTTTGTTCTTGGAACTTTTTTTCTTCACAGGTTGTGGAAAGACAATGTTGGCTAAAGCTGTTGCTCGACACACAACTGGTACGAACATTTTATTTTTTTAATTATCTTAAATTTCTGTTTATTTCTATTTTTAAAGCTGCATTTATTCGTGTTGTTGGCTCTGAATTTGTTCAGAAATATCTCGGAGAAGGTCCTCGAATGGTTCGAGATGTCTTTCGTTTGGCTAAAGGTAAGAGACATTGTTCAATATAGTATCTCTAGTCGCATATTCAAATCTTATTAGAAAATTCTCCTGCTATTATTTTTATCGATGAAATTGATGCTATAGCTACAAAACGATTCGATGCTCAAACAGGAGGTAAGATTTCAGATTCTACCGACTCATAATTAATCTAATTTCGATCTTTTTTTAAAGCTGATCGTGAAGTACAACGTATTTTACTCGAATTACTCAATCAGATGGATGGTTTCGATCAAAGTGTCAACGTTAAGGTAAATTATCAGTGAATCAAAGCAAAAACAAAGATTTTATTATATTTGTTTAAGGTTATCATGGCAACCAATCGTGCTGACACCCTTGATCCAGCTCTTCTTCGTCCTGGTCGTTTAGATCGTAAAATTGAATTTCCCTTACCTGATCGACGGCAAAAACGTTTAGTTTTCTCAACTGTAACTAGTAAAATGAATTTAAGTGATGAGGTTGATTTAGAAGATTATGTTGCACGTCCTGATCGTATATCAGGCGCTGATATTAATTCAATATGTCAAGAAGTATGTGATATTGCTTATGTTTTATCTAATCGATATTTAATTGATATCATTTGATATAGGCTGGTATGCAAGCTGTACGCGAAAATCGTTATATTGTGTTAGCAAAAGATTTTGAAAAAGCGTATAAAAATGTTGTGAAGAAAAATGAACAAGATTTCGAATTTTATAAGTAATAAAAATGATGAAACAAGAAGATTGTCTTAATATGATATTGACTATAGGATTATTTCGTTCTTTTTTTTTATTTCAATGGCTAAATATATTCTCGAAGAGATATTTCCAATGTTTTCTTTCGTTTCATTTTTTTTGCAACTCTTACGTCTTATTCTAGATTGTATTCTTTTTTTTTTGGTATTGAATTAGAGAGTCGAAATGAAAGTTCCATTGAAGTCTAAGAACACTAATGCCAATAATAGGATTAGCGCATTAAGTAGACTCAGTAAATCAACACCTATCAATAATAATAATAATAATAATAATGTGCATCGTCGTTTAAGCGCATCAACAGCGCCGACTATTACAGACGCACGACAATTATTAGCAAACCGAAATAAGCAAATATTTGATGCTCGACAACTTTTAAGCCGACAATCGTCGACAACACCAAATACTTCTCTAATTATACAAAGTGACATTGTCCAAACGGAAGAAGAACAAGATGACGATGACGATGAACAAACAACTGAAGTTATAAGTAAATTTAACAAAAATCGAGTAAGATAAAACCCAAATGTATGTTAAGAATATTTCTTTGTCACTCTAGCTGACTTTTGAAAATTCAAATCTTTCATTCAAAAAGAATAATAACAACACACAACAGTCCTTTCAGAATGCCAATCCAACTGAATTATTTTCTTTTACTAAAGTAATAACTTATTTTCGTTATTTTTTCTTAAGAAAATATTAATCTTTTCTTATTCTTAAAGACAATCATAAATACATCATTCCACAGCGAAGATAATAATCAACAAATTGAGCCTAGTCATAAAAAATCAACTTTATCCGATACGAAACTTAATATCAGTTTTATAAAGGATCAACCTCGTAAAAGACTTAGATCGGCATCACCACCAACTCCTCCAGTAATCAGACGTTTACATGATGCTTCAATTCAAACAACGCATTCACCATCTTTATCTCGATCACCGATTCGAATCAGTTCTCATCGACAACATTTAGATGAACGTGATGATCACAATCAATCTCCCATAAAACGCAGTTCATCACGAAATGCAACAGTGGGCAGAGGACAACAAGCTCTATTTACAATACCAAAGACTTCGGTCAAACGGCCATTACTAAATAATACATCAAACTCAAGTACACGAGTAAATTCTAACAGCTAGTTTTGTAATCTTTATTTTTTTTTTTCGTCACTCTATTTAGACTAAACCAAGCTCATCCATCGAATCGAATTCATCTTCTACAACAATTTTAGTGACAAATCTACAAACATCAGTTACAGAAAATGATGTTTTTGTATGTAATTTTCTTGTCAATATGAGAAAAAAGAGAATCTATTTGTAAAATGTAATTTAGGATTTATTCAGTGAAGTTGGTCGTATTGATGAAATAAAAACATTAAGTCGTGGTTGTGTTCAAATTGTTTATTTAAAACCAGAACAAGCTGAAAAAGCAGTTGCTAGCTATCATAATCAATTATTAGATGGACAATTCATTTATGTTTGTCTTCAACAACCATCGCCTGTTTCAACAAAATCATTGAAAAATTCTACTTCATCACGTAGTTCTAAATCAACAGTACCTAAAGAAAGAAGGTATAGTTTAGGAAAAAAACGAAATTCATTTTCTAATTCTATTTTAACTTATTACTAAATAGTTTGTCACCATCGATTGTTGATAATGAATATTTAAAATCAAATTCAAAAAAAATTTCTATTGATCCAACATTTATGCGTCAAGCTCTATTTAATCCGTCCAATAATACAACAAATCCTGTACAATTTCAAGTTAAACTTTAGAATAGAATACTTTATTTCTTTTACATGAACTGTTTTAAAGTGTATTTTCTTCGACATTGACTTATTTTTTCTCCATTTATATAATAGAAAACAAGAACCAACAAGAAGTATCATGATATGAATATTTTTTCCTCTCAATGTTCATTCATTTATTGATCAATACTTGTGTTAAACAGATTTTAGACAATAAAAATGATGTCGGCTTCAGCTTACTAACCTGAAATCAAATATATCTCAGAAAGAAACATAGCAATTTGTGTTACAATTCATCTAGGACTGATAAATCACCTATGAATATGATCAAATAGAGTTGCTTTCAACTCTACGAAAGTTCTAGTGTAACTTTTTGAATAATTCTACTATTGCATAGAATTACATTGGTTTGATAGAATTGAAACTTTAATTTTCTGAAAAATTCGAACTTTAGTAGTAATCGTAACTTTTGAGAATTACAACCATTCTAGGACTCTACTCGACAATACGATTATTCGCTTGGTTTACAATGATCTAAATGGGTTTGAATTGAGAGTATCTATAGATTTTCAATTTATGTTTCTGTTTCCTTCGAAATAGGTGTATAGTATAATCATATTATATAATGGTACTGCAATACTAACTCTCGCAAAGAAAAAGAAAAAAAGATTGTAGACAGCATAAAGCTCAATTTGGATTTATACAAATCGTTGAATCGAAGTTTCTAAACTATTTAATTTGTCCAGATGATTTCTAGCACAGGCATAACTATTAAATCTACTCTGCATCCAGCTGAATTCAGAACGTTTTGAATCACAAACCTTGTATCAAGTATTATCAATATTTTAGTTTTCTTTGAGAAGATTTGATTCAAAAGATAAAACCGACTTCTATTCATGACTGTGCTTCAATGGATATGTTTCACATTCATATAAATTACTATGGTCTTCAAACAAACTATAAAGCAATCGATTTTGTTTTAGTATTGATAGTATGCAAAATAAAAATTGTTGGAACAAAATCGGATCATCGCAAAAAAGAACCAATATATATATATATATATATATATATTAGAAGAATATATGTCTATCTAATCAAATAAAATGAGGAAAAAAATTCTAATTTAATTGAATAGTTCGATTGTGTTCATGAAATATTTTAATTAATATTTGAATACGATGAAGATCGAGTTGTTAAATTTGCATCGTAGGAGTCATTATCACCCGGCCGAGCCCAACTTGTACCGCCTCCATCTAAATTTGTTACTCCTGTCTCATGATTAGCTGCTCCTGTATCAAACCACGCTGAACTAGTAGAACCTAAATCATAAATTGTATTTTACAATTTCATCACTAGAACTCGTACTACCTTTATGTTGAGCAAGTGTAGAAGTATCGCGATCTTCAATACCACTTGATTTAATAGTTGATGATATTGCTGTATAAGCTGTTGCTGACAATGCTGAACCTTGCTTGGCTGTTATTGTTGTTGCTGTTGTATTTGTTGTTGATTGTTTCGTAAGCTCATCAAGTAATCGAGAATAAATTTTAAGTTCATCCTCAATACTAAATCTTAATTCACGCGCCATTTGTTCAAAACGTCCACGTAAATCATCGTATTCATGTTTAAGTTTTTCAACAATAGTTCTCTCATGCATCTGTTTATCACGGATCTTTCTTTCGACTTCATGTAATTTTGCTTCTTCATCGCGTAATGAACGACGTTTATCTGATAACATCTTGGTTAATTCATTTAGACGAAGTTGTTCCTTATCATATTCCTATAAAAAAAACAAAAAACGAAATGAAACATATTAAAAAAATCTATAGACAGAAGAAGAAAATAAATATTTTCTTCGATCTTCTTACTTCCATGATTGTACGTAATTTTGTTTCTTCCAATTGTAAACGATTGTTCTCTGCATCTTGCGTTGAACCATCATTTAAATCAGGTACTTGTTGTTTAAGTTGATTTTCAACCATACGTAATTGCCCTTCAATTTGATATTCAAGTTCATCTTGGAACTTTTTAGCTTGTTTAGAATAATCTCGTTTAATATCTCTTATAGCATTAGCTAATTCTTCTTTATAAAATGACATTGAATCATCTTTGGACTGTTCTAAAAGACGTTTCCATTCATTAATTTCTTCATCATTTAATGCGTTTATTAAATTAATACGTTCACGTAATGATTGTATATCATCCAATAATGTTTGTTTATCAACCACAAGACGAAACCAATCTTGTAAACGTTCACGAAATTTATTTACTTCTTTCAATAAATCATCGCGATTTGCTGTAACTTCTTCGCTACTTGCACGTTCACGTTGCATAATACGATTTAATTCTTCTTGTAATTTATCAATTAGACTGCGTAAATTTTCTTGTTTTCTTTTATGCATTTCTTGAAAGCCTCCATATAAAGCAGCTGCACGATTGAGTATGGCAGATTCTTGTTCAGCAGTACGTGAACGTACTTCATCAGTAGCACGTTTACCGGCTCGATTATTGATTTGATTTATTATTTGTCGTAGTTCGTTTTCATCACGTGGTAAAATACCCCATTTAGCGAATTCATCTCTCAATTGTGCTTGTAATTGTTCATTAATTCGTCTTAGTTCTTCAATATTAGCAAGAAAATGTGAAAAACGATCATTTAAATAACGTAATTCTTCTTTTTCTTTCACATCACGATCACGTTCACGTTGAACAAGTTCCATCGCTTTGCCTACATCATCACTGCCACCGGCTGCCGAACGACTTTTCGTACCAACGTCAAATTCAAACTTCAGTACGCGCTTCTCCATTGCCATTTCTATTGGAAAAAAAATACAATGCTAGTATTAAAATGAATAAGCCTAATATAGAGTCGAAGGTACTTTTTCTTTTCTCTAATTGCAATTTTATGAACCATCAATATTAGTGGTTTTGATATAAATAGCAACAAGAACAAGAAACCACATTTTATAGTTCCCCAGTAGCATGATTATTTTCAAGTTAGACATATTTTTTTATAGCCGACATAAAACGATTAACACGAAAAGAAAAAGAAAACTATAAATATCATTTGTACACATATATTTAATGAGTTCGTCGTATATCATTTGAAGTAGCTGCGCCTGTTTTTGGTCGACTAGTTCGAAAATATTTCGTAAATTTTGATCGTGATTCACGTTCTTCATCAGTTTCTTCGAAGATCTATTCAATAAAAGTATAATTTTAAAATACTAGCCAACAACGAACATCATACTTGATTCAATTTGCTTGAATCCTGTAAAGCACGTTTAGCCAAATATTTTTCTCGTCGAATTTTAATTGATAATGATTCCGGTACATCATCAATGATAGCATCCGTTAAACGACACAGAACAAAAACAATATGCTATTGAATATGTAAATAAGAGTGATATACGTACAGAACAATGACGAAAAGAAGAAAAGAAAATGAAATATTTACTTCGAATAGAATCACAAAAACTAATCTAAGAGCAAGTAATTTCCAAAAGAATACAGTCAAAGTACCATCTGGGTTTCGAAAATCACGATACCTAATGATAAATCGATATTGAAATATACTTCAATGTATACGAAAAAACTATATACATGCATTCTCTTGATGTTGTATTCACTGGTGCCACAGCTAATGTGAAATTTGTATACCCTATTAAATCCCAATTGACTGTATATTGATAAAGAATTTTCGGTAAAAACTCTGAAGTAAATGCAATTAGAAAGGCCTAGAAAAAGAAAGGATCATTATTTTTTCGATAAATGCTTTATAAATTATTTCTTACATTAGCTACAATCGCCAAATAAGCAAGACTCTGAAGAATATTAAACCATATACCAATTGTTGATGAACGAAAAGCAATTGGTCGTCTATCGATCATAAACGTTTTTTTTTTTATTAATAATGAAGCAAAAAGAAATAAAGAAAAATACAACCTTGTTGCACAAACAAGTTTGCTTGCATCAAGTCGAATTTCAATCCAATTGTTAAGTAACGCAAAGAATGGAGCTATTGGAAAAGCAGCAACAAATATAGTTATGAAACCAAATTGTAAAGCTAAATTTCAAAGAATAATAATTATCAATCCAATCATTCTGTTCATCATTATTTTTACCCATTTCAAGATACTCTTCAAACAAGCCACCAAATGGAGTATGTTTAAAATCATCTTCCCATTGAGTAGTAGATTTGGTTTTTGGTATTGAAACTCGCCATCGTTGATATAAAGCAAGAATTTTTCTATAGATACCATATTATTCCATCAATCAGTAAAGATATTCGGGTACTCACGGCCACATAACTTCTTGAATATTTGATAGAGCTTGTTTACCTACAAAAGCTCATTATCATATCATCAAATAAGAAAGCATATTCTCACCTATCATTATGATTCCTAGTTGTATTGCTAATTCTATCAAGCAACCTCCTTGACCACACTAAAAATTAAAAGAATATGTTTTATAATCGATTGTCTCTCTTCACAAGATTAACCCAATTTACATCTTCAATAATTCAATTATGTTTTCTAAATGTTTACTCGTAAAATAACAGTGTCTATAAGAAGAAGAAAAATGGCACATGATTCTAAATTTTCGAGTGATATTTTTCTCTTCGATATTAGAATCAATGAGAATAGAAAAGGTCTAGAAAGACAATCGTTTATAGGCATTTCTTCTACACATCCTCTTGTGAACCTAATAACAACATGAGTTCGATAAACATGTCTTTGCTGATACTGTAACATATTTCTTATGATCATAGTCATATGATCAGATAGAACAGTAGTGTTACATCTAGATTTTTCTCATATAATTCATTAATAAAATAAATCTAATGATCATTTCTTTTTTGACTTTTCCTGCTTCACTAAATTCTATTAATTAGAACAATATCAAAACAAAACTGATAACTATTTAGATCGGTTACTTATCTATATATTCACGTTTTATTCCGTCACAAACAAAAAAAATCTCTGCAATAAAATGATAATCCATTTCAAGATATTGCCAATTAAAATATTTCGATCATAAGATAATACAAAATATATTTAAACAGATGAATTTTTAGCTAAAGTCAATTCTTACTTCTTCTTGTCGTAAATTTAAGATCTTCACATAATGTCCAGGATAACCAACAGCTCTAAACAATAGTTTTATTTAAATTTCGTAGGAAAAGATACAACACTTACTTCCCTTTTATAAAAGCTATATAAAAAATAGACGAATAGATGTTAACAAATTGAAAAATGAATACTTTTATCGTAAAGTAATTATCAAACTCATTTTGTGTTCGATGCATTTCTACACGCAAGGAGAAAAAAAATAAGACTTTTGAAATTCATCACAAGTTTTACAGTGAAGCAAATATATATACATACCCCATTGTGTTAACTTGTAAGCAATAATTTCATACAAATGGCCTAATACCATGATGATAATTAAATTGATCACAGCTCCACTAATCGATGCAAAACTTAGTGCATATTGCCTAAAATAACAATAACATAGGAATGTTAAATCGAAATGCGTTTAAGTACGTTTCTTATTTTTACCGTAAATTCTCATTTTGAAATAGTTGAATACTGACAATTATTCGGTAAACAATAATTGCTATGATAAATATAATCACAATGCAGATCTTTAAATAAACCAAAGAACAATAGTTATACTAAGGAAAACAAAAGTGATGATGTTTGTTTACCATGATACTAAGAATTATAACACCAGATAAAATGCGATATCGACGACTAGTTGCAGGAAAATAGGGTTCGAGTATTCCTGTTATAGGATTTTTCTCAATTGTTGACGCTCGTATTGCAAATTCTGGCCTAGGTCGATTCTTAAATTTGTTTTTTTAAACAAAAAATATTAAAGTTTCTCATGAAATCAATAAAAACGTTACTTCTTCTTCTTCAAATTCCATTAGATCCCATCGATGTGTTATTTTGGCATTCTTCCGTTTCCAGCTTTTGAGAAAAGTTACCGCTATTTTATATTCAAAACAGAAATTCTTTCAATTCAATTTTGATATCGGTTTACCCCAAAAAGACATAAATATTGCATAAAAAACAGTTCCTGGATGATCGAAAAATACACCAAGACGGGCATATGAACATGTTTCTGAAAGTTGCCAATAAGGACACTAAAATAAAGTTCGCTATAATTGCCGCTTATTACCTTATCAACGAATTAGAAACATATAAAACACATCGTTTAATTGATGCATGAATTTCTCGAAAAAAATTTCATTCTACAGTAAAAAAATCGATTTATATGGTAAATTTGTTTATTTGTAGCAATTCTTAACTATTCAAAGATATCAGCTCACTGACTTGGAACTACAGAAAACATATGTTTTGAATTGGAGCTTATTGGAAACATGTGTGCAACAGAATATGTTTACTAGTGGAAAAAAATAAGAAAATTCGTAGGTTGTAAGTCGAAAACAACTGACACTATTCCAATCAATAATGATCAAATTCGATATCTCGATAGATTTTCACTATTGACCAAACATATCTGACTCTAACAATAATATAAAATTTAATACATCGAGATAATTTCATAATTCAAAGATCTTTTCCAATGACTTAGCTTTAATTGGTTTAATGATCAAAACAAAGCTAATATCAACTACTGTATAATGATGTCTTCAATTTTAATGTATAACCTGAGTATCATCGACTGTCATATCATTTGATAGCAGTTGCTACAAAATCATGCGTTTCCTAATCAACTCAGAATCAAATATCTCTAATGTTATAAGAATCTTTCAATTAAGAAAAATTAAGGTCAATTAAATTCTGCCTTTCTTTTATTGTGAACTCGTTTCAAAATTGTCTGTGAAATGATTTCAGAGATAAATGAGCCTACTCAATAATAGAATACGCTGGATATTTAAAAGAGAGTTTAATCATATATGATTTACCACATCGCAAATTGGACACATCGTAATATTCTGTCCAATTGTACAAACGTCGTTGGCAGGTACATTGTTAGATAAATAAATAAAACCAAAGCAAAACACCAATATACCAACTAATGATGCTGGTAAAAGCCATGTTGTATAAAGTCCTAATGGAATTCTCAAATTTCAAAGTATTGTATTACAAAACAAAAGTCAACACTCGTTCTTACCTAGCCAAGCAAAATAAAGGCTAACTTTTTCTCCAAAATATTCTCTAATTAAATCTAATGGTTGATATTTATAGAAAAGTTTGTAACTTGCCCATGTATCATATAAAACTCTTCTTGGATTATTTTCATTAAATGGCGACGGGTGTTCTGTTTTATCAAATTTATAATCTCCGTCATGCAATGAATAAGCAGCTTGAAAAACTCCGTCACGTACTAATCGCTCAATACCAATTTCACCTTTTTCAGTTAGACCAAATGGGGTCGTTTGTAAAATTTCATGTACAGCAAAACTTCTTTGTATATTCGTAAAATGCACAGGAAAATTATTATCACCCATATAACGATCTTTTTTTGCTATTTCAAAGACCGATGTAAATAAATCATAATAACGTCTAGGTGCTTCAGATAACAATGGATTATGAGAAAGACGTAAAAGACGACGTATACGATCAACAAATGTTATTTTAGCACTATAATTGTTAACTGCCTAAATTGAATGAAAACAAAACTGGACTAAAGGTTTTTTTTTCTTTTTTTCTTTCAGTTACTCGAATAGGTACACGAAAATTCAAATCTTCAGCATATTTAAGTAATAATGCCCACGGTATATGAATTTTAATAAAATAAACGAAATTTCGATCACCTTCGCGAACATCCTTTGAACGAGACAAAAATAATTTAGTTTACTTTTATGTTCAAAATCATGTGAATTTTAAACATACAGTTTCCATTAAAAGTCCTATCTTAGATAAATTACTAAGAAATCTTCTTTTAAATAATTGTCGTTTATCTTTTTCTTTTTGTAATGCAAGAGTTAGCCTATCATTTTCTTCACTATTCACTCCTGGTGGCATTGGTAATATTAATTCATCGATAGTAGCTGTATCTTTATCTTCATAGACAAGAATATAATCTTAAATCAATATATTTTTTGTTTTCAAATTATCCAACATGCATAAAAAAAAGCGTCTTTTTTTACCAATTTTACTTTTACCATCATTGAAACAATTAAAAGAATCATCTTGTAAAAGTAGATGAACACTTTCGGACATCTAAATAGATTGCCGAATCATTTTTAGAAAAGAAAAACAAAATACAAAATTAATTATCTTTACTTGCATATCAGGATCATCATTTTTGTCTGCTAATTCATTAGCGGCAGCTACCGATTCTTCACTTTCGTCAAGCGGACCATATGTAACGTCTGATTCTATTGAATCGAACATCGTTTTACAGACTAATGCTTCATGAATACGATCGTTGGTGTCAAGAAAGAATAATACATCTGTAGTCCTAAATGTATCTGAATGCATCAGCTGGCACTTTAGAATTTTATTTTATTGATGACAACAGCATTAGGCTTGTTTCTTTTCTTTTGCTATATTGACTACAAAATAGTAATCATTTTTATTATAGTTGAAAGACATAGAATCAAGAATCTTAACAATAATTCATTATGCAAGACCAGAAATGCACTGATAAACACAATCAATACAAGTAGACGTTACAGTCATAATCGATATATCAGCATTATACATTTCTCTAAGGATTCAGGCTCTCAATAAATGAAAACAAAAGTTCACAGTCGGCATTGATTCGCCAATGATGTATCGATATTCATGATGATATTTTGAGAAAATCATTTTCAGGCAAGATCAAATATACTCACTATTGGTTCTAATGAAAACTTATTTTTATGGGTATAGCAATATACAAGTAACACAATTGAATAGTCTAGGTTAATATGTTTTCCATAGTTTTTTTTTTCTTATATAAAATCAGTGCGTTTACTTTTGTAATATTATTAAAGGTTTCTTTCAAAGAATTCTACTCACGTAAGTATACATTAGATAAAATCTTAAGAAATTTATTACTGCTCAAATTTCGTCTACGGTTAGATTTCATTGCCACTAGAACTCAGTTAAAAGCATTAGAAGCCATGCTCTAGTAATAAAGGCCCATAATTGCTGCACTGATATTGCTCTTACCACCAAATTTTTGAAGAAAAAAAAAACAGTAGTTTACTCCAGAATTACATAGTTAGAAAGTCTTCTTAGTTAGACATTCAATATCTCAAGACAAAGATAAACATTTTTTTCTTCAAAACTTTCAGGGGTAACTAATGACTATGAAATGGTCTTTCTTGTAAATGTCTTTATCTTTAGTAAATATTTCATTGAAGTAGTCAGAAGTTTTTTCTTGACAGTTAGATGGAATCCTATTAACCGTTTCTTCATCTCTTCAACAGTTATTTGTTTTTTAATTGCACACAGTCAAATAGTGTTCGGCAGTCCAATATCGTCCATCTTCAGTGTTAAATTAAAAAGTAATTCAATCTCACGAATTCTCAAATTTCACCGAGCAATTTCTTTCTTGCATGTTGATACAATGAAAAATAAAATTTCCTGTACAATTTGTCAATTATAATTACTTGAATGAAAAGAAAAACTGCAAGTAAAAATACAACGAAACACAAAAGACCAGAAAACATAAATGAAAACAACATTTTCAAACTGATATTTTAACATTAGCTTTACTACTATCAGGACAATAATACATTTTATGTGCATCATAAGATGTTTTGTGTCTAAATGAAATTTGGCATGACGAACAATATGTATCGTTTGTTTTTGTTTTCGTAATATATTTTATTATATCAGTAGTTGTTGGTCGTGATGAACAATAATTTGCCATATGCTGTTGTAATGTATCGATTCTGCTGAATTTTATATGACAAAAAGGACACGATATATTTTTATGTATTGAACAAGCGTCTATTGATTTCATAAGAATCTGTTGAATGAGATTCAAAGAGTCCGATGATCTATCATTTTCATCTAATAAACATTTATTAGATTTTGTTTGTTGATCATTTCTTTCATTACCGTCATCGTCTTTTTCACTATCATCATATTTTATATTTGTATGCACTAATTTCATATGTCGAATTAAATTCCATTTCGAACTAAATTTTGATTGGCATTCTAAACATTCAAGTAATATTTCATTAGTATGTACATGTATAATATGATTTAAGAGTATTTCTTCATAATCGAACATCGCTGAACATATGTTACATTTTAGTAATACTTGATTTGTTTGCACTGGAACCGGTAAAGAATTTTTGGTTGTAGATTTTACAATGATATCATCATCAGTACATAATTCATTGTTTGATAAATGAAATTCGAAATGCATACGCATTCCACGAAGAGTATTTCCTTGATATTTGCATAAACGACACATAAATAGAAATGAACGATGCACTGAATTTAATGAATCAACTGATGGAGATCTTGAAATGTTCGATGAAGATAATGGAGTTGATTGAGATCTTTTTAAATAGAAAAATATCAATAAACTACTCGAAAACTGTTGAAAAAAAAGAATCTTTCTTGGTCAATTGACTAGGTTCAAAATATTGCAAAGTAATCCGTAGAATCAGTTTTTGAGAATTTTTTCTTGTGCTATTATATAAACTTTAAAACGATCAAGTAGACCGTCTACTGAACAACCGAGCACTAAAACAATAGTTAACTGTTGGAAGCTGCCTCAATACATTTCCTAGAGTAGATTTAAATATCTTACAACGCCTAGAAAGAAACAAGATACAAAGTTTTTATTGTTTCGTATTCACTACTACTTAATTTATTTCTTAAAGACAAATCTTCTATTTTAAAGATTATAGAATCTTCGCCGAGTCTATCTTTCGCATTTGTTTTGAGATCCGAGAAACTGTTGTTAGAACATTCGTTGTTGAACAGTTAAATCAAACAGAATGATGTATAGAAAAATTTTGACATGCTCTCATCTATATTAGTACAAATTAAATTTCATGGCGCTGAACAAAGTGTAGATGAATATAAATCGATAGATTCTTATCTTTGTCTCATTCAAAACTAATGTCACACAAACGATATCTTTGTTTTCTCTAATGTTCAAATTTTTTTCTAGATTATTTCGAGTATTTTATAAGATTTCTTTTTTCATTCTTACCGATCATTCGTAATGATATCTGTTGATAAATAATGAGGATGATATTTATTTTGTTTTCGATATTCAGCACAATAGTTATCTTGATGTCCCTGTAAAGTTTTCAGTGAACGAAAACATATAGAGCAATATTCACATCGATGCAGGTTTCGTTCAATAATGCTTTTGGTTTTTTCAGTCGATAAATCTAATGGTAAACTAGATGAAACCATTGATTTTTCGCCTTTATCATTAATTTTCTTGGGTTTACTTAAATCTAATGGTTTATTATCGTGATTCGAAATGTCGCGGCTTGCAGAAATAACAGGTATCGGAACATAGATATACTTTCCTATTTGAACTGGACGATCGAATGGTATCGATTGATTTTTCAAGTGACCAGAAGATGATTTGGTTTGACAACAATGTAATTTATGTTGAATAAATTTATCGGCTTCAGAAAATAAAATATCACATTCCTGACAATAAGTGTCGTTCGATAATAAAGATAAGCGTTTTGTGGGCACTGATGATGAATCAACCATATCAGTAGATTTGCGTTTCATGCTTTTTATTCCAGTGGTAGCAGTTGAATCTATAAAGTATAGAGATACGCTTTATTTTATGGCAATGAATGACCTTTCTTCTCTAAGAGATTAGATATGTTTTTATCTTTAAAACATATTTACCTGCTGAGTGACTTTTTGTTGTTTCGCGTTTCCTACAATAATGTAGACGATGTGCATCTAATGTATTTTGATGACGAAATTGAATATCACATGTATCACAATTAAAAGTAAGAGCTAAGAAAACGATCAAAAAGAAAATTATCGAGGTGCAAAAAAAAAACATCAATAGGCAATCGTACGATAATGTTTTTCAGTTGTTGATTTGTTGTTCATTTCAATGTCTATCGGTTCATTTTTGATTTGAACTTCTTTATTCATGTTTAATTTTGGAAGAATAGTTTTATTTAAATGAAGTTTTGTACCTATTTCAATAGGCTCTTTAGTAATAACAAATAATCGGTTATCTAGTAAAAAGATAATATAAATAGATATTTGTAAAACTAAAACAATAAAATTGGTTTTACTTTCAAATGTAAAATTTAAATTGATTGAACAATTATTTAGTGTCGAACAATGTACCAGCCAATTATGTTTAATATCGAGTAACTGAAAACATTCTATTCGGTCTTCAATCTATGACAAAATGAAAAGCAAAAAAAAATAATCTTAACATTATTTTATCTTTTTTTTTAGTCAGTTATTCCAACAGATAAGGAATGGTCCAATATTCATTTTCTTTATCGTATATCTTTCTCTATCTCTCTCTCTCACTCCTCATTTTCATCACTAGCATCCTATCATCTTGTCATATATAGATAGAAAAAATGAGATAACCATGCGTGCACGGACACAAGACCATTGAATTGGAATGAATGATAAGACAACGAGAAAGCATCGTTCATAGATAGTTTATTGATTCTCTTTTTTTTTCCATCAATCAGTATTCAATCGTTTCATTTAAGATCAATAGTATAATGTTTAACTTTATCACCGAATACTATCGCATGAGAATGTATGACTAAAAGATATAAGTACGTACTTGTATTGTGGCAGGAAATCGGCCAACACAATGATCTTGTTTAAGATTCGTTCGAGCAATTATGAGATTTGACTAAGAGTTTTCAAATATTCGTAAGTTCATATGAATAATTGCTGTTACTTAATATAACTTACGTCTTCATCAAATTCAAGTTCGTTAGGTAAATCAAATAATATTTCGTCACCTTCTATATTGATGAATAAAAATCGACAGAAAATCACACTGAAACTTGATAATTTTGTTTTACCTTTTAATGACTTTGGATGACGTTGTTTTCGACGAGACATAACCATAGAATATATCTAAAGCTGAAGAAGAAAATGGAATATCGTTGGCATTGATCTCTTCTCTTTTCATTCACAAGTCTTAGTTGAACATTGAAAGAATATCGAATTAATGAAGACAATTGGAAAAATATGTTCGATCTATCGAAAGAGAATTCGATCATTTGATCTATCACGTTTCATTTAATTTAACTTTTTTTCTTTGCCTCTTTATTTCGTTATAGATAATATTAAGATACGCTATTCATAAGTGACTGTGTGAGGGGGCGAGAACACCAAGATAGGCAACGTGTTTAAGATAAGATACTGATAAGACGACCAACAGAATCATCAAGGTATGAATCAATAATTTAGAATTAATAACCTCCTCAGTTGGCTTGTTTTTCGACGTAATAATATCTCATTAGTTGTATATCAAGCTTAATATCGTCGATATGTTTTTTTTTTGCAAAATTGAAGAGCACTAATGATGAAAACGATAGTATTCGAAACAGTATGTACATATGCCTATATAGAAGACTGATCAATGCTTAAATGGAAACTAGCTTTATTCGTGTTACATAGTACCTGAATTTTTTACATCGGTGAGATAAGCGAGTCTGTGATTGAAGTCAGCATATACCAAGAAAAAAGAAATAGAGAGAGAGAGAGAGAGACAGCGAGAATGAGAACAAGTTGAAATCACTGTGCCGATATTTTTTGTCATTCACTTATATGCGATGAAGAGATAAGCCCTTGCACATATCCATAAAAAAAACCTTTTCTCTCTTCGCTTCATTTTTTTTGGCCATTACTAACAACGCTGCGAAATTGTAACATTGCCGTTTCCTTATCTTATCGATGCATCGATCATGATGAGAGGAAGAAAAGAGTCGAACTTACCTAAACAACTAAATGATGAAGTCTATCTTTTACTTGGAATACATGCATATATATATTTATCTATATTTATACGTATATGCTCTTTTTACAACACATGCACTTCTCATTAGTGAAGTACTACATGTGTTTAGTTACATTTCATTTAAAAATAAAGTAAAATTACTATCTACCCAATTCATATCACTTGCTAATCAAAGAGCAAAAAAAGACAGCATCATCAAAACGAGTGCGATTTCATTGAGAATGACAACGAAGGAAAGATACGGATGAATGATTGACATACATTCAATAGACTTCTGAGGTTTTTAAGATTTCGTTCAACTGTACAATTAAACTGAACATTTTGTTGACTTTTAAAATATAGTTTTATTAATTCGACGTTTGTTTTATTATTATTCAATAAGCGCAATGCATAGCATCATTGGCTTATTGTAACAGAAAACAAAAAGAAAAACACAAGAAAAAAAAATACATACATATATCGTTAGACATACACAAATCAATTAAGCATTTACGAAGCTAACATTTTTTCTTGAAACAGTTTCTCTTGATGAGGATCTTTTCAAAATTGATTTGAGCGCTTGATTTGAATTATTACTTTCAGATAGAGTACGTTCATAGCTATTTATTCCATCTTCTTTTTCATTATTCAATTCATTTTGATTTTCTTGATCATTGCTAGTAGTAATTGTAACTGGAATTTCGAAATGAAATTCATTTTTATAATTTTCATTATTACTATTACTAGTAGGCAATGACTGAGACGAAGTTTCAGAGAGTCGTGGTGTTGAATGAGTAGGTACTTGAATTTCATGTAAAATAGGTATATGAAAGAAATTGTTTCGCTGTATTATTCGAGAAGAGGATGGACTTAGCGGTGGTTTCATTGTAGATGAAAGACGACTATCAAGTAAAACAGATTGATTGTTTTTTAAATTTATAATCACACGACGAGCCGCACTAGGCGATCGAGTATTATTTTCAGATAGTAAGCCATTTTGTTGTTGCTGTTGCTGTTGCTGTTGTTGTTGAAGTCGAGCTTTTCCTTGAATAGCTTCACGAGCCATAACTTCAGCGCGACGTATTGGTGATGTATTTGCAGTTAGAATAGAAAGATCAGATGATGATGATGATGATGATGGTTGTTGAGGATTATATATTGAGAATATTGGCGGTGATGACAATAAATTATTTTGTAGATCAGTTTTTTTATGTTCAAATGGCTTTGATAGCGATGATGAACGAAGAATAGTATTTGGCATACGAGTATTATTCGTAGGAGTTGAAGTAACAGTTCCTGTTTGTAAAAGTTGAATAGGAATTTGTCGCATAGATGCTGATGGAGCTGATGATTTTAATGCGTCATCATCAATATTTGTTGCTATTGTTGTTGTCATGACTGGTATAGTAAGACTTAAACGACGTGTAACAGACGGTAAACGCGGTATAGTTGACGATGACGCTGTAGTTGATGGTAGTTTTTCAGTAGTATTATTAAAATGACGTTGAAGATATTTTGAATTTGGTCTTAGAAGATCTTTTAACAGAGTAGCTTTAATTTAAGATATATTTTGTTGTTATTTTAATAATGACTTACTAGTAAAATTTGCTTTCGGAGTTGTATTTTCGTTGTTATTATTATTATTCCCAGTAGGAGGTAATGCAGTTGTCTGACTAATAAAAGTTATTGGTACAGATCGACTATGATTATTTGTTGTAATAGACGTGCCATCCTCTCTAGTTATTGGTATCTGAATAAAGTCACGCCTATTTGGTATTGATATTCGGTTAGTGTTAATAAGCGGAATGAATGTTGATTTAAAAGATCCATAAGAATTATTATTATTATTATTATTATTGTTATTATTATTATTGCTCGTCGTCGTCGTTGTCACTGTCATTGTTGGTTTTGATACATATTCATCTAAATCATTTTGTGTTAAATATGAATCAGAATTATTTGTTGCAGTATTTGGAACTACTCGTGAGTAATGATATCGTGGCATTAAATTTGATTTTGGAACTGATTCGCTTCTTGAATTATTATTATTATTTGATTGATCGGAAGAATTAATAACATTATGATGAGGAGGACGACGAATCACATGGTAAAGCATCGACGACGACGACGAGCATCACAGGTGTCGATGATGATCCTCTGAAATCCTATATAAGGCGTATTAATGTTTGCCAACAAATGAATCGACTTGCTCACGAATACAATCGAGTCAGTAGCGTTAAGAGGCGAAAGAAAACGAAAATTATGCTGCAATGCGGAAGCTCTAGAAAAATTTTCAATCAATTTTTTTCTGTTCTTTCTTAATCATACTTGCATTTACACTCGACACGGAAAACATACCTATAGAGATGAAAGAAGAAAAGAAATAAAAAGAGACATGTAGTAACCTTATTCTTAAGCTCATTGAAATGCATGTTTCATTTTTCACACCTTTGTATTCTTCTCGTTTTTTCTTTTTCGATTTTAATTTTATTTGCTTGTACTTAACTACAAATATTCGATAAAAGAAAGTATCTATTTAATGATGAGAGCAAAACAGCTATTCAATATAATTTAGTATAAAAAAAAAGAACAGAAGACAAAACTACCTTGATATGTCAGATTATGCATATGTCTCACGAATCCTGGCGGCTCTTACTGTAAGGGAAGTTTTTTTTTTATATTGAGTCCGATTAAAACAAGTAAATAATTTTTATCGGTACTACTACTACTATTACCTATTCAACATTTTTGAGTGACATTGGCATCACGTCACCCGATATGATGTATAGTGATGTTAAATAAAGTGCACACAGAATTTGACCATGCAAGAAAGAAGAAGAAAAAAGTAGGGTGCTATACATAAAGAAGACAACATACATAGAAAATGAGTGGGAACGTCTGTCCTTTTGATTATGCTATCGTTGCCTATCTATGTATAGAATTGGATTCTGCTTCTGGTAGACTGTGCTCATACGACAATTGGTAATGAAAATTACGAAGGAAAAATATAAGAAAGAAAAAAAAAACAGAAGAAAAGTTGTTACTTATTATGTTGACGCACCAAAGTAGCAGAGAAAAAAGGATCTAGATCTTTTTCTAAGCATTCGATCAAGGACAGACGTGCAAATGCTTGTCGTCTCATATACATGGCCACAAAAATATCAACATTGGTATAAGACACAAGTATACAGAAGGAAAAAGAAGGAGAAGAAACTTTTTTCTGGTTTTGCATTTATACATAAATATATATATACATACATATATGAATATCATCACCTGCCACGAGTGTGTCTTTAATGAATATGAAAAATTGTTTTTATTCAATTTCAAGAGCATATTTTATATTCGCTCGACTACTTAGTGTATATTCATCACTGCTACTATTTTCCAAAGCTTTTCAATTTATGTCATTCTAGAGAAATATTCTAATATTCTTGTCTTTTCTTCGTTTATGAATAATATCGATAGAAGAGAAAATAAATGTCCTTGTTATTGAACATCTGTTAATTATATATTGTCTTGAAGATAGATCGTCTAGAAAGAAAAAATAAATCATAGTACTGGTATTCGAAAAAAAACTACAACAACAACAAAAATAACGAGAAGATAATGACGTTGATGTATTTCACCTTCAATATTAATGAACGAACTTGATGGCGTGTACAAGACAAAGTGCCCACGCAGAAGTCTGCTTATCTAACCTTGATATACATGACATATGTGTATATATTTATATATAATCACTAGCATAGTTCAGGAAAACAAATTATGCCATTTAAATGGCACCGACAGGTATTTTAATTCTTGCATCAATTGTTTTGTGATGAATACGCATATAGATAAAAGTATTTTTTGAATTTATTGTTCATCAAATTTTGTTTGAATTTTTGAAAATATCTGCAATATATGTTTTTTAATCGTTTAAAAAGTCGCTATTTCTTTTTATGGTTATCATACTTAGTTTAATTTTTCGTTTTTAATTGGTGAAAAAGTTGACGGAGATGTAGAATATTTCATAAATATCCTTCTAATTGTGTTAATTTGTAAAACTATGTTTATTATCGATGAATTTATTTTTAAGCTAATGACATCAATTGGCCCACTGAATAGTTAACAGAAAGTAGCATACTACCGATATAATAAATCTAAAAAAAGACTCATTTGACGACGTCGAGGTGATGGATACTGTTGACAATATCATGTTTTTATAGATCAATGCAAAAGAAAAATAACACTATGCTAGAGGATATAGAGATGGCTTTAAAGTGAATAAAGTTGAAGTATAAAAACGAGTTCGTATTTAAGAATAAAAAAATAACAATTGATTGCTTAATTTCTGTTCAAAATTCTAGACGGATTTTTAAATGGATGACATTATTTTTGTCATGAATCAATAAATATGAAGGAAACTATGAAAGAACCTATCCATTTACATTGTTTATCTGATAAATCAAGGAGAAAAAAACACATAAAAACCATCTAATCTCTTAGTAGCTTCTATTGTCATGCTGAAATACATATACTATATGTTGATACCAAACTGAAGAAAAACAAAACTTCGCAGCAGATCCTTTGACTAATAGAAACCCAAAAAAGCAATCAATAAATACCAAGATATATATCGTATAATTTTTCTCGTCAATCTCTGACAATCTAACAAACTTTCTAGACTTCAGATAGAAATTTAATCTCATATGAATAATCTATCCTGCATACGGATAAAAAAGCAGGTTAATAGTCCGCTTGTCTCTCATTTTCTGCAAGAAGGAAAAAAGGATACCGTACGCTATGGCGAAATGCCTTGTCAATCAATCCATAACCATCCGCTTTATGTCCTATATTAGTTATAACAGCTTGTTTTCTATTCAAATAATAAATCTAGACACAATGCTAATCGTTCATATTCATTGGTTGAACAAGAGAAAACGACATTGCTAATATTATTCAAAAAATTGAAATAATTGAAGTTTCTTAATTGCTATAGAATATAAATATGAAATCGATCTCAAATCAACTGCATTAGTTAATGATAAAATTATACGTCACATGAAAGTGCCTGAAAATAACCATTCAACTAATAATAACAACATCAAAACACATTGAAAAGTTTGTTTTTAATTGTGAGCCTAGATGATCAACAACATAAAACCGCGAATTTAAATTTTGTCACCAGAGTTGTACACATTAATAAAATGTAGAACTACCAAGAGGGTAGAAGATACATATTAAAATAATTAGAATATTCAACATTTAAGACGTTCCTTACTCAAGCATCACAATCATCGAGTGATACAAATGAATCCTATGGTAAAATTTTGTCTTGTTTAGCCAATTTTATATTAAATCACAGTCTATATGTAAATAAAATGAATTAATAGGACTTGGCAAATATCTTAATAAACGAAATTCTCGTAGTCTCTGAATTTCAAACATTTTTTTTCATGATCTAGTCAGAGTAATGAATTTAACTAGAATAAAAAATAAATATATACATCGACATCGTATGATTGTGTACATGTGGGTTGTCTTGAAAAACTCACCTGTACTTTGACACATATTTCGATATCGTTTCAGCCCTTATACGCAAAATAGCTTGCATGTTTTCTCGAAAATGGACTTTTTACTTTCTACTATTTGAGAACAAATTTGACAAAAACAACTGAGTATGTTCCGATTTGCAGATGTTGATGTATACAAGGCAAATTTTCAGCATTCTAGTGGTTTACCAAAGCAATTTTTTAGCGATATTTTGGCGTATACTATGTTATTTTTATCGTTGTGCTCTTATAGTATGTAGATCAACAATATAGAAAATAACTCATAATTAAATATCGTAAAAAGCAATTCATCAAAGTGCTAGCAATTTGTAAATACAGAATCAATGAGAAAAACATCATTATCTGGAATGGAAATCAGGGACTATTTTTTGCACTTTGCCTTCGATTTTGTTAGCATTTAGAATAGCTACTTGATTTTAAATTATTGACGTTTCTAGTAACAAACTATTGTTTCAGCAATGGAATTCGTTCGAAATAAAACGATTACTGATAAGATAAAATGTTCAAATAAAAATGAAATCATCTTCCGTATAAAAATATATCAAGTATTTCTATTCATATCGATATGAAACTAAAAAAGAAACTCTATTTGCCAGAATAAAAAGCTTGACAATATTCACTGGAAGTAATAAAAAATGTTTATGCTTCTTTCGATAAGATATGTATATCATAAAGATAGTATTTTTTTAAGCTCACCCATCTGAATTAACCTCCATTTGAATATCTTCAGTTCATAACTGTAATACTTACTGTTAGATAATATAGTATAAAAACGACAAATTAAGATTATCAAAGTGAGTATAACTTAAAAATAGGTTACAGAGAATTCGCAATTCACATTCGAAGTATATTTTAGTGATATCGGCTTAAAATAATTAGATTTCTTTTATACTAATTATGATCAATTTTTCTGACTTCCAGCTTCGTGAGTTTCCGGGTGAGAAAATCTTGCAAATATCAGAAACTTGAATATTACTATTAGTTATGATGATTATGTGCAAACACCGGTTCTGTTCGATTATGATTATTTTCAGAAGAAAACTCGTAAATTCAACTATTGAATTCATTTAGATATTATTATTTCTGTTTGAGACTTTCTACTGTTTTCCGGATTCTTGTGAGTATAATCAATCGTACATAATTTATCCTAGACATAGATATTAATATCTAACTAAAATAAAACTTTTAAAAATGACGCTTAATTATTTTGTTAAACATATATACAAGGAGTTGAATTTTTAAAACTCGTTTGTCTTGAAAGACTGTATAATAATTACATTAAAAAATGTGAAATGCTTTGTATAACATCTCTTTTTCAAATATATATAGTTTTGTCAATCAAATTTTGCGATTAATCTTCTTTCAAAATATAAATTCAACATTTTCCAAAATCAATATTTATTATAGATTCTAAAAAAATGATTAGCCATTTATTTGATATCTCAATACTAAGAATTCACTCTGCACCTATGAGAGACCACCAATACAACTATATGGAAACTTGAGTACTACGTCAATTGCTTCCTTTCTAAAGACTTGAAATCTGTTTTCTTTTTTTTTGTTATCAAATTAGATGATTTTAATTTCATCGATATGATATACAAAAGATATTGAATTGCAACTATGTGAAAAACTGGCTAAGAATTGTCTATTTTGCTGGTTCACAGGTATTCCACTTACTCATATTTGATATTCTGCTTGTCATAGCTCATTAGTTTAACGAAAGGGGGGAAAACTCATTCCAAATTGTTCGAATGGGCACGAATGTTCGAATGAAGTTCCCCCATGTACAATCGTATAGCAACATCAAGTACAGAAATTGAATTTTTTCTCTTCAAAATATCCCATGTAAAAAAATTTAGGGTAGAAATCAGATTAAAATCGATTGTAATCATACACCTTTAGTCGATTTTTAATCGATTGGGAATCGATTATAATCAAAAATAATCCAAAAAACAAAATTTTCATCGATTATTCCTATTATTTTCGATTATAATCGATTAAAAATTCATGAAAAAAATCGATTATAATCGATTTTCGTACATGAAAAATGGCAACATTTTTAAGGAATTTTCTTCGCTTTGCATCGATTATAATCGATTTTCAATCATTTTTCAATCGATTTTAATCTGATTTCTGCCCTAAATTTTTTTACATGGGATGTACCATTGAATTTTTTACAAGAATAAATATTAAAAAAGCAAAAGTAGAGAGGCGATAATTGAAAGTTCTAATATCCCCACTTTTAACACAGAAAACAATTTGCTCCAGTGAATTGATTGGAGTTTTGCACTGAATAAAAACATACACGAGTATTGCGTTGTAATGTTGGCGATTTTCTGTGCTTCGACCGTATCATCTGGATTTGGATAGAGACATGACGCAATATGAACGAAGCGAATCATGCTAACATACTGGCGTATATGCGTCCTTAAATAGTATATCATTAGTAGATTAATTCAGAGATTATTTTACTCGGTATTATTCACAACTAAAATATCAATTCAATACTAATCCATATTCACTAATCGTAATCAATATAACAAGAAGCATTCAACGATGAACTTGACTTATTATGATACTACAAGAAATAATTTCATCGTACAATTTGAATTGATCATATTGAACAGAGATAAAAATAACGATATTTTAAATTCTTACAAACATAAATTACGTCGGCACACATATTTTTCAATTTCTGATTTTAGAAAATCATGTACTCCTACAGACATAAGTGCCTTTCGTCATATAGATCTGTGAGCATTTCTACCTAAAATCGTATCTTACATTTAGATATTCAATTTTCGGAATCAAAATAAGAAGTTTTTCTATGCATTCATCTGGCATACTTCGTCTAAAAACATTCATATGAACAAGGTATGATAAATATTTCATGTGAACATAAAATAAATATTTTCCGTTGCTGATTCATTTGTGTAGATGAAAAACTGTCATCTAGAATGTAACATGCTTTAATTTTCATGATTTTCATTCATGGCTATACCAAAGAAAAGTTTATGTGTGTAGATCAGAGAATAAATGATTCTCAACTATACATTCTATAGAAATCACAATTCACTAAATAGACTTAATATTCTTACTAATAATTTTTCATAATAGAACTCATTTGATCGATTAATAAGTTTCACTACATTAGTCATATTGTCTGTAGTATTTGTTTAAACAATGATTTATAAAATTGTTGATGTACTCGCTTCTTTCCGATGTTACTAGCGTTACTATTTGTTTCGACTTTAACTTTCTTCGAAGTGTTTGCGTAGTAAAACACAAGAAAATATCACAAAAAGATACTACAGAACAAGATGATTTAGTTCTATTTTCATACTTGATGTATTTTTAAACAATTCATATCTATTTTGACAAGCAAAATTTTTTTTTTCAAATTCCAAAAAAATTGACTTGTAAGTCATCGGAAAGGAGAAACTTTCTTTGAGTGAATGACTATAATATTTAATTGTTTTTAGCTAAATAAAGAAAAAAATGATTAAATATATCCGGTTTGATTTCCTACTTTCAATGGTTCATTAAACACACCAGAAATGAATCATTATATATATATATATATGATGGTGTAATCTTTATTTAAAATGTTTATGCATAAAAATGGCTCCATGAGTATTTTTTGTTTTGTTTATGTCGGTATGTTCAATATTACTATTACACCGTTGTATTCGTATGTCAAAATAACTGACATTAGAATATATTTGTCATTTAAAAAAATACAATCATATTTAAATAAAAACTTTATCCGATTGATGTCTATCTTCATATCTTCGTCGATTAGTTTCACTCATTTCGATAAGTAAATTTTCCTCATCATCAGCTGGATTAGTTGGTTCTTGTCGATCAAATCGTGCATTATATTGTAAAGCACATTTACGGTGACACAATTGATAATTATAAACACGTTTATTTATTTGATAAATACGTTTTCGTGATTCGAAGGTCATATTTAAATCTATTGGATTTTTTTGTGGTCGTCGTACACTACGCATTGTCACAAGATCAGCTCGAGTTTGTTTTTCTAATGTCTGAGACGTAATCAATACTGGTTCAACACCTTCAATCATTGTCGCATGGACAGGTGATGCTTTTAATGGTAATAATGCAGCTTGATCTTTGTCCTCTAATGTAACATTAACTAATTCTGGTGTTGTTGTAACTATTACACTAGCTACAACAGCTACAGTGGGTGGAATAAGAGATTTATTAAAAGTTTTATTTCGTCTAATTTCATCCATTGTCGATGAACGTTGAAGTGTTGGCAAAAATTTTGGTCGTTTTCTTCGTAAACCTATAGCTGATTGTGCATGAATTTGTTTCCATGTTTCTTCAACAGCAAGAACATCTTCTTCTTCTTTTTTCTCTGGTTTTCCTTTAATATTCTTAACTAGATTAGCTGATTGAACCACACGCATTGATGCTGACGTTTTCAGTGGATGTTCGTCAAGAAATTGACGAAATTTTGTATTCACGTTTAAACGACGTTCTTCTTCTCTCGGTGGTATAACAAGACCTTGTTGACCAGATATGATAGAATCTAAATTTCTTGCTTGATATTCATAATAAGCATCTCTCACACCAAAACGTTTGCGTTCATAGTCTTGTAAATTTTTTTTTAATTGTCGAACATAACTTTCTTTTTTCCATGTATATAATAATTCTTTATTTAACTTTTCTTTTAATTTGTAATCTTGCATATCTTTAATTAATTCTACATAGTATGAACGTTGACGTTCATTTAATTTTCCTTGTATTATTTTATTTTTTTGAAACGCTTGTAAAAGATTTGTTTGAAGAACACCATCTTCGACTGCATGTTTCATTTCGATTGATAATTTTTCTTTGTCAACGATTCTTCTACAGAAGTTTACTGATGATGGTCTCCACCTTTTTGTTTTATGTGTGAATATTTGGCATTGATTTCAAATGACATTAGTACAAATGTGAAATACTTTTTTTTTCTTCATTCTTTTTCTCTTCTTGTTGTTTTAATGTAATGGATAGAGACGCACAAACATGTCTTACAGTTATATGACTGACCAGTGAAATAATGTGAAACATTTCTTTTTCACTTTGTTATTATGCTGCAAGAACAAAATGCTTGTACATTGTTATTGTAAAATCGACAGTGGAAAAAACATATATTTATATATAATTGATTGAACAAGGTTTTCTACTTTAAAATAGTTGATAGAACAAGCAAGGTCTGAAAAAATAAATTATAGAGACGAAATAAAAGTTGCTATAAATACTGGTTGGAAAAATAAGTCTGTGAGATGCGAGAGTAAATTCTGTAGTGAGTTAATGGCTTATCCATTTTTAATATCGGTGCTGTCAAATTACTGACAAGTATCGAAGACAGGAAAGAAGAGCAATTACATAAACTGAAATATCTCAGAAACAGTGAACCATGAATGTAATTTCTTCAAATAATACATGATAGAAATCATTGGGAAAGATAGAGTAGACTGATTCCACTCCTAATTTTCAATCAGAAATATTTATTGTCAGTCTCAAAAGATATTGCGTTGTAGGAGAAAAGTTTCAAATATAAATTGATCCAATCAATGATCTATTCAGAGTAAGACTATCTTGTTCAGGTTTTTGTTTCTAAATTATTGAACATATCTAGTAAAAACTGAATTTCAGCGAACAACAAGGATATAGAAAATGTTCCCTTCTTCAAGAATATTGATTGATTCATTAAAATAAAACAATGTTTTTATTTCTTATGCAACAGAACACAACAAAGAAAAGGGAATGCCAAAATTGATTATTCTGTTTCATAGTAAAACTGACGTTTGAGTCATCGTACTAGAAGAATCCTGTTGAGCAATATCTCAACAGTTACTTTTTTCACTTGATTTAAGCGATGAATAAAGCATATTTTTTATCATTCAGTGTAAATTGCTAGCCGAAATACATTGAATTCATAGGAAACTATCCATTGAAATGGTTTCATAACACTTTTTGAAATACTAGATAAGCACATCGACGCGTTAATTGACTGAAAAAAAAACTGAATGGAAATCAATAAATGATTTTTTGATAAAAATTTTTTCATATTTAATTAACTTTTGAAACAATAAGGTCTTCCAATCAAAAGATATATCGAATTAGAGAAAGAGATTCTAATACAACTAATTGAAATGAATCTTTTAATTATCATGTCAATTCTTCTAACTTTGATCTTCTCATATTTGTTTTGTTTTTAGTGTATGACAAAATTATGTTTATTGAATAATTGATTTGAACTTTTTTAGAACAAAAAATTCCCTATAAGCTGTTTGCTAAAGAATAATGTTTCAAGAAGTTTTCTATAGAGAAAGTCTAGCAGTGCCTCATTGCTTATGTATCACTTGTTACCAATTTTTTAATTTATATTAATATTATTAATTATGATTGTAAATTCTAGTTAACTAGATTGCTATGTTTTTATACAAGTATTCTTTTAAGTTTTTCTCTGGCTTGCAAAGAAATCGTCTGTTCTTCTTCAATGTATTAATATAGTAATTTATTTGCATATATATAAAAATTCTTCTAGATGTTTAGCATTTTAGTTTTCCATTCATATAATTATTTCCAGTAATCAATCTCGAAAACAATCAAAGTTAATTTTTAACGATCACATAATTCCATATCTTTTTTCCTCCGGTGCAAAAAAGCAATCATTGAATTTTCCAACTAAGTAAAGACAATCATACATTTCTTGTATATACAACAAACCTAATACAACAGACGAATATTGTGTAGATAAACTTTCTAGAAAAAAAAACTGAAAGAAAGAAAATGAGATCTATTGATAAGAAACAACCATTGTATATTTTAAAATTAAGGCAGACGGCAAATGGCTTTTTACCGATAAAGAAATTCAAATAAATCATGCACTTTGCCGCTTGCTTGTTTGTTTAATTTTTGAATAAAAATACCCTTGAATCAATTATTTTGATTTGAACGCTACAAAAAAACACCACTATTCTGTTCATTTTCTTGCGGGCCTTCATTGCCGCTTCGTTAACATACATATAATAAATAGTTATCTTGCCGGATGTATGTTTGTCGATGTCGTCCGTTTGAACCCTACGGCAATAAAAACCATCAATAATTTTTCCTTTTCATTTCCATTTTTACATAAAAGAAAGTCTTCTTCTGTGTAATGAAATAGGTCTCTACATTCCTATTTTGTCAAGTTGCTAAGTAGTATTTTCTTATAACCACACGCTATATAACAACTGTATAATTATATTTATTTCGCTTCTATGCTCATTCACTAGCATTCGCTCTTATATTTCTTTGAGTGTATGAAGATCAACAGTAAATAGAGAGACTAGATGAATCTTCTTTCATTTTTTTTCAATAACATCGTATAGTAAGACAAGTCAACTAAAAAGCATGAAAGGGTGCACTGGAACAAATCGTATAACAAACGCAGAGAAATGCAATCAAGTAGACAAAAAGACGACGACGACGACGACGATGATGATGATGACGATAGAACAGTGTGAGAAAAAGAGAAAACTCTTCTCGGAAGAGGAAATATCATCGTCGCATCATCAGAATTAAGAATTCGATCTACATGAACGTAAGAAGGGCAAAGAAAAACTGAATTATAAGCATTGAGAAAGAGAAAGAGAAAGAGAAGAAGTGAGATAGGAAGACCTCGAAAGAATCATGATAGCATGACATTCATATTAATAGTTTACCAGGTAAAATAAAAGAATTGTTTAGTCCTTTTACTATATCATATATCTAACTATTGTTAATGTAGATGCCTAGGTGTATAATTCTGCATAAGTAAGGGCGCTTGAAGAAAAATGATAGAGAATAAGAAACGAAGTCTCTTGTTATTTGTTCTTACACTGCGGAAGAGCCACTCGCATTCAATTCCGTTCTTTTCATCCGTTCTTTTTGTAAGCAGTGGTCCTGCTATTGCTACCGTTATAATATAGATTTTTCTCTCTCCTTCTCTGTCTCTCTACCACTTTTTTTTTTATCATGGAAATAAACACATAGATATTCATATGCTTGACAGACTAATTAAAATGGTGATTAGAACTTTTTTTATCGGTTTTTCTCTCTCTCTCTCTCTCTCCCTGTCTTTGTGTCATTGAAAAATTAGGTACATAGAATAATTTCAGATTGTACATTAATTTAATTCATATCTAAGCTTCTTAGATTTTAAAATCGAAAAGAAGAATACAAAAAAACAATTCCCTTTCCTTTTAGAATATATTGACAATATTGAATGAATTCATTAACAAAGGATTTTGTACTAGTCGACTAAAATAAAAAATAAAATTTCCTATATGTTCAATTTCCTATTTTCACTTATTAACTAATCTATTTTCGACGTTGTTGCACATTGAGTTAATGTGCACTCATCAACGAGAATATCAATGTATAACAAGTGTTCTTATGTTTGTGTATTACTAGAAGGACGACGAAGATTGGGACAAGTAACATCACTAACATTGCTCTCTAATCATATTATTCTATTAGAACAAACCGAACTATCGTATCATATTATTTTTATCATTGGAAAATTGCTATCAAGACAAAATTGAAGTCAACCGTCGATGCAATTGTCGTCTCATGATTCTTCGTCGACTGTTTCAACGGCAAGCGTCGCTTGACGGTATGCTTGTCAATATCAATAATCATGAACCGTCGATTTATCTTAATTTTAATCATGTATATTTTTAATTTATCCTTCTTCTCCTCCTTTTCTTCTTCTTCTTCTTCATCAACTGATCCACTTGTTCGTTCAACTAATTCTGGACGTGTTCGTGGTTTTGACTCACATTTTTATACATCGGATTCACGACGTCTTCACCATGTTCGTGCTTGGCTTGGCATTCCATTTGCTAAACCACCTGTAGGACAACGTCGCTTTAAAGCTCCCGAACGTGTTGAACCATGGTCAGGTATACTTGATACAATACATTTTCCAGCAACTTGTTGGCAAACAGAACAAATTGTCTATAATCTTGAAGCAGAAAAAATTTGGTCACCAGTTACAAATTGCAGTGAAGATTGTCTATATTTAAATATATGGGCACCGGTTAGTAATATACAGCCAACACAACCAATGGCTGTTCTTGTTTGGATTTATGGTGGAGCTTTTGTAACCGGTTCAAGTGCAATTGATCTGTACGATGGAAGAATATTGGCTGCTACAAATAATGTTATTGTTGTTTCTATGCAATATCGTTTGCAAAGTTTGGGATTCTTATTTCTTGATAGACCAGATGCACCTGGTAAGAGAATTGATTTAGAAAGACGTAGGAAAAACACACTTCAATCCATTTTTCTTGTCGCTCTTGTTTTTTAAGGTAATCAAGGTTTATATGATCAAGTTCTTGCTTTAGAATGGATACATCATAATATAGTTTATTTTGATGGTGATAGTCAACGAATTACTTTATTCGGTGAATCAGCTGGTGCTGTAGCCGTTGGCTTTCATTTATTATCACCTCGTAGTCGAGCTTTGTTCTCTAATGGTATTCTAGAGAGCGGAGGGCCAACATGCACTTGGGCATATATAACAGCTCAAGAAGGACGTAGACGATCACACAAATATTTAAATGAATTTTATTCACTCGTAACAAAGCGTCTATCCGATGAACACTATCGTGATGAACGTGATAAAATTCCTGAAGTTTGTCAGCGTGGACCAAATGTTGATGATGTTGAAGTTATGTTTGAATGTGCAACTAATTATCCGATTCTTAATGAAGATCATTATGCCTATATAACAAATGCTGAATATACAATTCAAGATGGGGGTCCAATGTTTTTTCTTCTCATGCCTGTTGTTGATGGCACATTTTTACCTCAAAATCCATTAACAATGCTTAAAACTGGAAATTTTAAGGTTGAGTTATATTCTTGTGCTTTCTATATGTCTTCAGTTCCTTTTTTTTATTATTATCTTATTTGAATATTTGTACATATATATATATATATATATAGAAGTGTCCAATTTTATTGGGTGCAAATCGTGATGAAGGGTCATATTTCATGGTTTATGCTCAAGGTAATGAGAAAACACCAGGTAATGCTATACCTGATGTAAGTTATACGACATTTATAAAGCATCTTGAACTCTATTATAATTATATACCTTCGTATCCATATAAAACTCCACGTATTGTTTTTCAATCATTAATTCAAAAATATACAGATTGGTCTGATTGGTCAGATAACTTACGAAATGCTGTCATATTAAGTTATGCTGTTGGTGATGGTTACTTTACATGTCCAACAGTAACTGTCGCAAATGCATATGCAATGCAACACATGCCAGTTTATTATTATCATTTTGTTGCAAGACCATCAACTAGTGATTGGCATTCATGGACAGGTGTTATGCATGGGTAAGACAATAGAAGAAGTTATGAATGTTCACATAGAAATAATTTATTCTTTTTTGTTCATGTTTACTAAGAGATGAATTAATGTTTGTCTTTGGTGAACCTCTTAATGCAACTGATAGTAAATTATATAAGTACGAAGAAATTCAATTGGCTAGAAGAATAATGACGTATTGGTCAAATTTTGCTAAATATGGGTAAGAAATATAGTTCATTTATTTACAGATTAAGCAAACGTATATTAATGTTTATAAAATTAGAAATCCAAATGGTCATTTAAGTGCAAATGATAGTGATTGGCCACTCTATGCTTTTCCTGAACGTGCACATGTAGTACTTGACGTTGTTAACAAATCTACTGGTGTTGCACATCGTGCTGATTATTGTGCATTTTGGGAAAATTATGTGCCTATTTTATTAGAGGAATTTGGTAAAATTTTTTATAATTTGATTGCAGCTCAACTTAAAAGTTTCCTTTTTTTCTCTTGTTCATTTAGAACGTTGTGTCATTCATGGTCCTTCATTAGCCTTAAAACATGAAAAATCGTCAATATCATCGAGAATAAATGCATGTTTAGATATTCTCCTTTTGTGTATGATTAGTCTTCACTTCAAGAGATTGATCTAAAAAATTATATAGTAGTCTAGAAGAAGAAAACATATTTACATATCATTCCTGTCTGTGTTGCTTTTGCTGTTTTTTTTTCGTGCATTATAATAAATCGATATTTTATTTTTCGTGTCTTATAAAATTCGAGTACGACATATTGTAGATAGACGAAACCAAATTATTTCTATTACCCAAGATTAAAAACTTAGAACAAATCATATTAGGAACGCTCGTTGTGAAATATGAGAAATGTCCATTTGTTGATTGCCTCGTAGTAAACTATTCAACATTTAGAGTAGGCATACGAAAACACTAATGAAAACTGGATGGTACACAGACTAAGCCAACAGCATCAACCTGATGTGAAGCTTATTTTCTCAAAAACTTTCGTCGTAGGGTTATAATTTTCGTTTTTGAAATGCTAGCTAAAAAATAAACTTTCAAATGTTAACTTTTCGGCCGCGGTCAATTTTCTTTAATCTCTTCCCATGTTGCGAATACCGGATCAATTTTTGCGGTAAACCGCGGTATTTATCCGTTCTACGGTAATGGGAGCCGGTAACCGGACCGGTAAAACCGGCGGTTTATTGCGCATGTTTATCACATGTAAAAGCAAAAAAAAAGGATCTTTAGAATAGTTTAATTGATGATTTGGATGACTTTTTCTGTCAAAAATTATAGATGAACCGGTTAACCGCTTTTTTTTAGCGGTAACCGCGGTATTAATCAAAACCGGCGGTTTACCGCGGTAAATGCCAGTTCATTTTTTGTGGTAAACNACCGGTTAACCGCTTTTTTTAGCGGTAACCGCGGTATTAATCAAAACCGGCGGTTTACCGCGGTAAATGCCAGTTCATTTTTTGTGGTAAACCGCGGTATTTATCCGTTCTGCGGTAATGAGAGCCGGTAACCGGACCGGTAAAGCCGCGGTTAACCACCGATTTTCATGCGGTTTTTATTACATGGGTTGTTTTTATTCTTAACATTGTTTTTTATTCTATTACGATTGCATTTTTTTCAATTATGCAAAGCAGACTGTATCACATTCATTAAGATCTAACACGATATATCAATATAGTTGAACACAGCTACAGTAGATGTAATCATACTTTTCCATTGACCTGTGCGTGGCAGCAGTGGACAACAATACCAATCGATCCCACGTCGAACTCGTACGGCGGGAAACGGCAGGAAAACATCAGAACTTCCCTGTGAATTCGCAGCGATTTCCTGTGCTTTCAGGCAGGAACCGATTGGAAAAGCACTGGAAAACAGCCGAAAATTTCCGACTGGAATACTGCTTCCGATTCCCGCGATTTCCAGTGTTTTTCAGCAGGATACGGTGATTTTTCCTGCCGATTTCCGCAGTATCCGCTCTCCGAAATTATTGACCTGGAATCGGGAAACTGTTCCACTTTAAGCAAAAATGGATCGCCCACAAAAAAATACGCATAGCAAGCAGAAATGAAAAAAACAGAATTCATGCATATATATATATCAGTTGCTTCTGTTCAACGTCAATAATCTTTAATTCAAGCAAAAATGATTAAAATATATAGGGAAATGGTTTTCACAAGGAGAAACTAAACCTGTTACCATGAAGTTTTAACCATAGTTCTACTCAGTAGAATCCATATAATTAAATATGTTTCAATGATTGTGTAAGCTGCAACGTAGAGGTCAAAATATTTTTCTTTTGTAAAAGTGAACATTTTTAATCCATTGTTTGGATATTTTCCCTAACATACTGTATTAATCCCGCTATCATAAGGGAAGATCTTTTACATTTATTTATGGACTCATCTTACACTAGATATATGTTGTTCTTCAGAAAATGAATTATTTAGATACCAATACTTTACTATGCCAATAATGTATCCTGTTCATTATATCACTGTCGGTTTCAATTACAAGATAAACGGGTTCAAAGTTATTCGGCATCATAAGAATTTACAAAATACATCTGGATAAAAATATCAACCTAAACTTATCTTTCAGGAGAAACAAAAATATTCTTTCTCCTACAAAACTTCTCAATCCCAGATCAAATACGTACGACGGGAAACAGTCTGGTCCGGTGATTTTTCATCGAATTCCTGAAGCAGTATTCCGAAAAGTTTTCCAGTTTCCGTTTCCAGGGTATTTCCCGCTAATTCCTGGTTTCGGAACCGATAAGCGGAGACGGTTTCCGTTTACAGCAGGATTCTGGAGTACTTTTCCGATCGTTTCCTTTTGACGATCGGAATCGAAGGAATATGAATAGTTTCCGATCTTGATACGTAGTCAGGATCTGGCAGTTTTTAATCCAAGTATAGAATCCGGATTGCGCCGTTCCAACAACCGGATCCGACGGATAAGAACTATTCGATGCTTCCTTTTTCTAGTTGGAAAAGAGTTGTGAATTTCAAGGAAAACTACATATTTCTTCTTTGAAGTACGAATCTGCAGAATTAACTACACAGGCTAATTCTTGAATAGTTGGAAAAACTGTTTTATGAAGAATATTTTCCATTTCGACTTGGCGATTATAATAGACATTTATTTTCTTATCGATATCACATAGCTGTGATGACAGACGAGAAGAGAATTCATCCAACCGACGTTCCATTTTGTTCAAGAAAGAAGACAAAGTATATTCAATATTTTTCGGTGAACTTCGTTCACGTTGATTAAGTGTTACCTGAGCATATGATTTTTGGAGTAGCTACCTAATTCGACTTCGAATATAAATGAAAAAAAATCACTTTCATGCTTTCACGCCGCCGCCAGAAAAAAGATTTAGTTTTTATAATTTACAAATTGGCTTGGATGCGTGTCTGTGTGTGTAGGCTCGCGTATGTCCACCTTTCCTCACACCCACACTTGCCATGTTGTGTATGTGTGTACAGAACCGCATTTCTCCGCCTTTCCTGACACTCACACCCACACCCACATGCTGAATGGCCTGATATATGACCACCACCACAGTTGATGCACCTTTCGTGATTGGGAGAACCATGTTCAAGTGAATGTTCTTCAGCACATCTTAGGCATAAACGAGGTCGAGAACAGCTTTTTGTCGTGTGGTCATGACGTAAACACTTCAGATATTTACCAATACGCGTATTGGTAAATGCTATGGCTTCGCTGGATGAATCATACTTCCCGCATTAATTTTTTCCGATTTAATGAATGTTCTGATTTCTTCAATTTTTTTAAAATCGGCTCTAATAGCATTTATTTTTTATCTATCTTTCACACGCATTCTTGTAATTTTGTATAAAGAGACATATCGTTGTTGCAATTCAACTAGTCATTCACATTCATTCAAGTTTCGATGAAATTGTTGAATAATAAGTGAATATTCAGGTGGAAGTTGACGTGGAACTTTTACTTCAATATCTACACCTTTCAACGATCTTGACCATCGGTTTGAATTTGAAAAGGATTCGAAAGACGATGAGTCATCAGTAAAAACAAGAAGATAATACAGATGACCAAAACGTGCAGTTATTGTTAAATCAACACCATGGTGACTTTTTCCATTTTGATATTACATCATCTGTAATATCTTTAAACGAAGCTTGTTGGTCTCCTTTAAATTTAACAACGATCGGTGGAAATATTATTTTCAAGTTAACTGCCCGATGAGTCATATGTTGCTGAACAGAATCTGTTTTTTTATTTTTATCTGTTTGCTGTTGAAAAGATGGTGACATATAACTTCTAGGACGCTTATTAGTGGTCCTGTTTACACCTTGATTCCGGTTTTGTATCGGCGTTTGTTGTTGATGTATAATCTGTTCCATCGGTGATTCATATCCCTCGGTATTGTTCATAGCGAGAGATATATAACGAAAGCGAAGAAGATAAGTTGTGACACTCTTGTAAGGTTGTAATAAGCGAATAATCTCAGATATTTAATGATCTGATTCATACCGTTTGAAATTGAAATGTCTGGAAAAAAACTTCTAAGTCAATATATCTTCCATTTGAAGTATTTGAAAGTCCCCTTCACTGACTTTTATCTAGAAAGATCATTAAAGATCCTTCTGGGTACAAAACACTTATTTGAGTTGTTTTTTCAAAGTCTCCTCTATTGTGTTTCACTCAGAAGCATCCGTAAAGAACTTCCTCAGTCTACTCTTTCAATTTCAGATATTTGAAAGCCCGATTCATTGCATTTCATCTAAAAGGATCGTCAAAGACCCTTTTTATTCAATATCCCTTATTTCAGGTATTTTCAATTATCCCTCCTCCCAATCAATCATGAAACACGCTTAAAGATCCTTCTCAGCCACTACCTTCCATTTGAGGTATTTGAAAAGAACATTTCTTGCGCTTTCTCTACAAGGACCCTTGAAGACCCTTTTTCATGAATGCCACTTATGTCAAGCATTTCGAGCTCTAATTCGTTGCAATTTACCACAAAGTCCTTTAAGGACCGTTCTACTTGAAACCAAATCAAGAATACTTCGAAATACCTAAAATATGCTCATCCAGTGGAAAGGATCTTTATGGACCCTTTTTAGTAAACGTGCATGAATGTTGCTTTCAAAAGCACGTCAATTGGAAGGTTGTGAATCTGAAGGACATTTAAGCGTGGGTCGTAATTGATTGTCAGGTAAGAGGCTTCGAAATACCTGAAGTTTTTGGTAGTGAGGTTGGTATCTCTTTTCGTCTGCTATGCTATAGTGTATGATATTGAAGCAGTGCGTGAGATTCTTGGCATTAGGGATGCTGGCTGTAAATTTACTTTGTTGAGGGTGCGACTATCCAGGATGAGGAGGTGTGGTGGTGTCTGACTATCTGCGCAAGATCTCAGGAAGATTGAAACTTCCGAAATTTTTCCAGCTGGAATCGGGGGGATTTCGTTAGTGCCGTCGCGTGTTCCGTTTGTATTCCTTGTGATCACGGGTTGGTTGTGGGAATTTTTCCTCATGGTTACGATCGCGGGAATAGTGCGGAATACTCTAGTTACAATACGGTGATTTCTAAACGGAGTATTGCTCCCACCTTCCGGATAGCTTTCCGGTCCGTTTCCGGTGGGAATATCCTTGGAAATCGCCGAAAGTTTCGCCGGTTCCTTCCGTTTCCAGTCGGTTCCGGAGTCTGGAATCATCGACCTGGAAATAAAACGAAAAAAAGAATCGATATCTGCTGCTATATTATCAATTTCTCCTTAGAAGGTGAGAAACAGTTTAACCATTTCTCCTTAAAATAATACATTTCTGCTGGAATAATACCGTTTCTGGTTGAATTTTGTCTGATGGTCGATAATGAGATGATCCGTGTCTCTCTGTTCTTGTGTGAAGTTCTACTTAACAATGAATGTGTGCCTGATAAAGTGTTTATTCTTGACTTTTTGTGGGTAAATGATTTCTGCTGTCAAAAGAATAGTTTTTCGATTTTGGGAGATGTTGTCCAGCCCTCTTCAAATAATACCAACGCACAAATTGTGATCTCAAATTATATGTTCATAAGAAAGAGATTCGCATGTGACTACTGTTTTGTAGTTCGTATCATTAAAATAAATACATCATATCATTCTGCAACAAAAAATATAGTATTTTTACTTGAAACTATCGATATACTGCGAATCATGAACTTACTAGTCAACGTGAAAAGATTTATTATTAACTCGATTTTAATCTCAGTGAAAATATTATGAATCGTAACTACGTCTTGCTTTTGAGACAATCCAAAATGCTAGAGTATTCTAAGTTATTAAACAAAGATTTGTCGAAACATTTTATTGAGCAATTCTTACGATATTAAGTTTCCATGTTTAATATTTACTCATGATGACCTTTATTAGCATTATTTATCAAACATTTGATATTCATATACGAATATAAATTTAGTTGCCTAGCAAGGTTGTATTCTCTCATTGGGTTTATTTAAAGCAAATATCTTTTTATAATCATGCTTGGCGTGATAAATCTACCAACCAAATTCACTGATTTCAAGTTTTTTTTTATATTAATTTGTCCGAATCGAGATTTTTATTGTTTTGAGCTCAACGGCTTGGCACACATTCATATACGCGCATATATTGAACAAAAAAAACAACAAACGAAAAAAAAAAGAATTTATATGAAGAGAACAAAATACAAACATAGAATTGAAGAGAAAAAGAAACAAATTTCCTCTGTACAAAGATAAGAATACAAACAACTCGTTTAGAAAGTTATATGTCGTCATTATCATCATCATCATCGTCATCGTCCTCATTAAATATTTGATTTTGTACTGAGATTCATCGTTTGTACAAGACAAACGGCTAATCTAGTATTACAATAGAGAATAGGCACTGTAGGAAACATTTAAAGTAATAGAGGAGAAAAGAGCAACAACAGAAATCTGTAGTTTTGTATACAGTGGAAAGAACGGGGAGGACTAGCATATAATCTTTTTTTTGATTTTTTTTAAACAAGACTAAAAAGATACATTCGAGAGAGAGAGAGAGAGAGAGAGAGAGAGAGTAAAGATCAGAAATACTTTGTAATATATATGCGTATATTCTATATATATACTTCGCATTTTATTAAATACATATCCGAATTATAAATAACAAGACAGAATATCTCAACTGTACACAAAAGAAAACACACACAACAATACACATTGTCATCGTTGCTCGGAAGTAGAAAACAAAGAATTGAATACATCCAAAAAAACAAAAATACTTTTTCAATTAATATATATAGAAAGAATAATACCAAGAGATAAACAAAAGAAAAAGATTTTACTCCTCATACATATTACATTTAAAAAAATGCAAACAACGATAGACACAATTATTTTTATTTGATATTTTTTAATTCATTGTGACCATCAATAGAGAATATTAATACACATATCAATGAAAAGAAAACAAAAATCTAATACAAGTCACTGGAACAGATATACACTAATAAGTATCTGCGCATGTCGATTGTCAAGTCGACATCTGTTTGAAAAATAGTCGAAAAGAATAAACAAAACAAGATGCTATCTGTCGAATGAATGATGATCATGAGAGGCTAAAATAAGAAAAGAATGAATAGTTATTTTAGTTTATGATATATCAAAATCTTTCGCAGCCATTTAAAAATACGACACAAAACTCATTTATTAGTCTGTTTATAGATAGTGTTTCTGTTTTGAAAAAAATAATTCATATAAACGTTTCTTTTTAACAAAAAATCTTGTACACCTAAAATGCACAATCGACTATATTCTTCATATTTTCGATCAAAATTTACGTAGATTTCAATGGCATTTCATATTCAAAATATTTTTTGAAGTAAATTCAACTATTAAGCACGGTTGAATAGTTTCATTGCGATCAAATTATAAAGATATCGTGAGCTATGAAGAGTCAAATTATTTTCATAAATCTATGTTAGACTAGTTTCAGCATATAATTATAACTAAGGACTCAACATTTTGACAAATAATTCCGCATGTTATTATGTAGCACTTAAGCTCAACGTCTAAATATTATTTTATTATGATTAATTGAATTTCATAATTACTGGTTAGCTAGCTGAATGCGACAACAAAATTTCGTCATGGTTTAACGAATGCTACTACTGTTGCTGATCCTTCATAGTTTTTGAGCCTCTATAATGAATACATAGAGAAATAATCTAATACATCGATTGATTTTAAACGGGTTCAATTTTTTAGTGTCAATTGTAAAAGAAAATTTCTTTTTTTATTTCTTTAGACTTACACATATAGTTCGCACTATTATACTGTTGTTGTGGTTGTAAATGGGGATGATAGGAATATTGCTGTTGATGTGCTGGATAACTATGAGTCGGATAGTGATATTTCATTGGATTATGATGAAAATGCGATGATGTTGCTGTTGGATGTGCATTCATAAATGGATTTGGAAAAGGAAAATTAAAAAACGGTGTATTTCTTGGATCATAATGATGATATGATTGTGAATACGGATCAAGATGTATTGGTGATGGTTGTGATCTGGGTAAAACTTGTGTATTCCTTGTTGTTGACGGATAATATTCTCTATTGTTAAACGAATTTTGTTGGGATCTTTTTGGTTTCTTTGAATTTTGATAGAAATCATTCGAAATTTTCTGTTGTTGAATATTGACATCAATATCTGGTGGTGGTGTTATAAATGTATTATTGTTCAATGGTCCATCATCATAATTTAGTAAATGTGTTAATTTTTTATTTTGATTTAATGGCGATGTTGAATTTAGTTTCATTTCATGTGTTGGTGGTGTATCTTGTTTATTAGGAACAATGGTTAAATCTTCATTTTCTCCTGGTGTTGGAGGGATTTGTGTGTCAGGTGATGATTGCTGATGATAAAGCTGCGCTAATGATTGTTCAAAACGTGTTAGACCAGCATATTCAGTTTTTAATGAAAGTTTTGCTTCACGTTCTAATTGATCATCTATTGAAGGTGTTGATGGCTTTTTACGTTTAAGTTTCTTGATTGGTTTACGTATTTTTATTTTTGGTAATAATGGTTTTTCTGGCGAAACAGTTGGAAGAATAGCTGGCAGAGGTGGCGGTGGTGGAGATGGTGGTGGTGGTGGTGGCCGTGGTGGTAATTTTGTGGTAATTTTTATTTTCAATGGTGGCCGTATATCTTCTGCTATAGGAACTGGTGAAGGCGATGATTTTCGTTTCTTCTTATGTTTGATATAAATTGAATTTAGTTTTAATTTAACAGATGGAATTGGCGCGTACTGTTCTTTAGGTTTTTTCTTTAAACTATCATGATAAATTTGTTGATATCGTAAAAAGTTTTTTTCTAAAACTTTTCCAGTTGGTTGTTCAATTTGTTCAACTAATTGATCAAGATTTTCGATAGTTAAATCATTCGACGGAGATGTATGACCTGCGTTTTCAATAATTTCATATGGATTATCTGATGATTCATTTAATAGTTCTTCGATTTCATCATTATTCAATGTATTAGGTTTATCAATAAATGAATTCATTAAACAGCCAGAATCAAGAATCATTTCGTCTTTTGCTGGCTTATCAGATGATGGAGGATTTATTGGAGATGGATGATCGAGTGAACATGAATGATTAATTGGCGATGCAGGTTTGATCGGAGAAAGAGAATTTATTGGAGACAGTATAGGTTCAAATATGATGCATGCTTTTCGAGAAGTATTGTCGAATACCATTGGAAATTCCACTGGTGCCGGTGCCGATACTGGTGGTGGTGCCGGTGGAGGCGGCGGTGCCGATTGTGGTAGAGAAGGAGAAGGAGGTAGTAGAGCATCATAATCAATTGTTGATGCAGTTTCAGTAGTAGGAGAGGGTGAATTAGTTTGATTTATTTGTATGATTGATGCAAGATCAGTTATTGTTGGATTCTCATTCGATTTTGGTGATTCAGTAGACGATAATAGTTCAGTTGGAAATTTTTCTTCAAGAATAGTAGATGTTTCTGGTTCGTCTTTTTGTTCACATTCTTCTAATTGTTTTTGTAATAATTCTTGTTCTTGTTCAATAGGATAAAAATATTGCAAATCAACAAAAGCAGATGCTGTTTCTTCGGCACCTTGAATCTCTGTTGTTTTTATTATTTCATTCGTTGCTTCGAGTAAAGCAAAAGAAAAATCGGTTGAAATTACTGTTGTTTCATTAGCGGCAGCAGCTTGTACGTGACTTAATACATCTTGATCAGTTACAGTAACTAGATCGTCAAGAATATCTTGATATTTTACTGATTCATAAGTTGCAACTTGACTTGGTTCAATATGACGAGCACTAGAATAAGCAAATAAAAATGATTAGTTTTATCGCGTTGGGATTAAAATATCATGTATAAAATTGCTTTTTCAACTCACAGAGCGCTCGCTTGGTTCGATCTATTATGAGACACGCTTCTTCACTATTGTTTTACTCTATTCCCAAGAGATGAAGTAATCAAGTGTTTAATTCATAAAAGATTATGCAATGGTCACCGAAAAGCAAGTTCTCAAATTTGAAATTCTAACTCTTTATTTTTATCGTAATGTGACCCTGAAAAATTCAAATTCATGCTCCTACTCAGGAATATCTTGTTCTTCTACCATATATTTGTGTTTCTACGAAGTAAAATAGATAGTTGACTCTCCTAATAAAACAAGTTTTAATTATTTTCAAATTTGAAAACATTTTAGCAAAAACAGTATTATCTCGATGTTTTCCTTATCTGTAGCATATACTTAATTTGTCAATCGATAATGCAAACTACCAGTGACGTCTAAAAGTTCGACTTTCGTATGATAAATTTTATATTATTCTTATTAACGATGCAATCAAGAATATAATTTGTATCTTGAGTTTTCAGTTTTTAGTTAGAATTCTAATTCAATTAGATTAAATTTCAGCTAATTTTGTAAGTTTTTTAAAAAATTCTATTTTAATATATAGATTTAGAAATGTTTGAACGTTTTCCTCGTCGAGTAGAATCAAAACAACTGATTCATTTTAGATGTCTCGTGCTTACTGAAGACTTAATTTTTACAAATTCTGAATTCGAACGTAATATGCACACTCGTAAGCAATAGATTCAGTCAATGAAAAAATGAATATCCGCTAATGAAAGAATATTTTTTTATTCATACATGCAATCAATGCGGATCGATTGTATACTTTGGTGATACTTAAATTTTACTTCGAAAAGCTACATTTTTTTCTTGTGATTCCGTTTTGAATACTTCTTTTGCAATTTTTTATGATAATAAAATGCATTTCTCAACAAAATTCTCTTTTGGATAAAAGAGCAATATATTTATGAATAGTGAATTCTTTTGGACTTCCGCTTCTAAACATAGAAATAGCTGGAGGTTCTTATCTTTATGAATATTGTATTAATTATATTGTAAACCTGATTTATGTAAAAAAACTGGTATGCTATTTTCAATGAAAGGATTTCTTTCTCGACTTTATGAAGGGACGAAGCATTTCTGCTCGAAATGTAAAAACAAAGCTCCAGAGTTTCAGTCATTGTGTAGAGTTCTTCATCTAAGTAGGAACGAGTACACTTCATTGAAGAATATATACAAGTTTTATTTTTAAATTCATAACAAAAGACTCTTTTATTAAAATTCTCTCCTAATTAATTATGAAACAATCAATCGCACTGTTAGAGAACCATGGCGAAATCATTTTTTCTACTTAAATTTTTAAATTTGATTGAGAACAGATAAAATTTTAAACAGGAGCTTTAGAAAGATTTTGCCCATCTCTACAAATAGCACATGGTTGAAAATATATATGGCACACTTACGTTAGTTGAACACCTTCTTCTGGTAAACATCTAGACGCATTATGATTGTATGTATGATTATTCGAGGACTGCTGTTGTAAACCCAATGGAACAACAGTGGTAAAAATGTTATTATTAATTAATGATGAACCTGGATAAATTGAAGGAGGAGGAAGAGAAGATGGTGGAGGTAGCGATGATGGATTGGCTTGTTCCACTGATGTATTCAGATGATGAGTATTTGTTAAAAGACTAGTAAAAATATTTTGTTCAGAATGAACATTTAATTTAATTCCAGCATCATCTAAATCAAATTGCTTTAAAAACGTATTTTCATCAAAATTCATTTCAGCAAAACGCATATCTTCTTCATTCATAAATGATGTTATTTGTTCATTATCAACATTATAATCTTGTATTGTTTGATTTACATCACCTTCGAGTCGATCATTAAATTCATCAATGGTTGGCATTGATTGATAGGAATCATTTCGTTGTATTGTTGTATTAACAATGTGTCGCACATCAATATTATTTAATGTTCGAATTATATTTACATTATTTGATGTATCATTCGAAAGAATATTTGTTGTTGGTGGTTGTGTTAGAAAATTTGCTGCCATTAATTCTTGATCAAAATTTTGCATTAAACCCGATATTGATTCAGCAAATGAATTTGTTGGCGACGAATTTTGTTGTATAATACTCTCACTATGATATTCCATGAATGTTTTTGAATTCGATTTCTTATTTGTTACTGAGCGTTTATTGGTTGCTACAATACGTTGAACGTTGACAGGTGCTGGTGCTAATGGTCGACCGGGATTTGGCGCAATAGGAATAAGTGTTGAATTATTTGCTGGAACAACTACAGGTGCTGGACCAGTTTTTTTACGATTTCTTGCAGCATTTTTATTAGGTTTTTTTGTTGATGTCAGAAGGTTATTGGTTGGTGCAGCTGATACATCCATGGATTTCGATTGAATAAATTGAGGAGATGTATCCATGTGGTGTTCATCGAACGATCTCGACGGAGAAAGTAAAGATACTGTTGACGACGTTGTCGTATTGTTAATTAATGATGGGGGTGTTAGGACATTTGTATTTGAAGGTTTTGTGTCATTCATAATAACGGGAGCATAAACCTTAAACGAATAAATAATTCAAATTACATTTATAATAATATTTTACTTCATCAGATTTATCGAATAGTTCGAAATGATTAATTTAACAAGGTTTAAACAAAAAAAGGAGTTCTGATACGAAATCGAAGGACTAGTTCTTTTTTCAAGAGTTTATTATCAAGAAATAGTTTCGACTATATATTGATTGTATATAGGATTCATAGATTGTTAGATAGATATAGAACAATGATCAAAATATTTATTCAGTGTCTGAAGAGATGCATGGCTCGATTCAGATTTTATGATTGTTCTAGTAGTTATTATTAGGAATACCGATAGCGAAAGAAACAACAGACACTTTCGTCTGTCGATACTGTGGAGATTTTTTATAATAGTTTAGAGTTTATCGAACTTTCAAAAAAAAAATGAATTTTATCATTCATAAACGTAACAATGATTCATACAAAAACATGGGTCCTCAAGAAATCGACAATTTTATTTTGATTACGATATTTCATTCAGTACTAATAATTAACGTAATAGATTTATAAAAATTTTCTTTTTAAATCCTTAACATTTTGAGTACACCAGAAACGATCGAAATCTGTAAGACTATCTTATCAATATAGTTCAAAGTTCTATTTCAAGGAGTAACTCATATGACTCATCAATAAATCATAAGTGTTAATTTTTTTTTCTTCTAATGGAAAAACATTTTCAGGATTCAAATTTTTTACAAGAACGAATGAATATGAAGAACTTCATAGTACATTCAAGCTCGAGTCACTATAACATATGTTACTAGAAGTTTAAATAGCCGAAATCAATATTACACTTGGATGAATCTTTTTTTTTTAACTTGAGATAATACTAATTTGAATTACCTGTAAAGGATTATTTCTTGATGATGGTTTAGGACGAATAGGTCTTGGTTGTTTATGATTTAAATCATTGTCGAGTAAATTTGTCGTTTCACTATTTGAGGATGACAATTGTCTTGACATATTTTCATAATATTCATTTTTAACTTTAGGTAAAACAGGTGTTAAATCAGGTAGTTGTTGTGGTATAATCGATGGTTTTGGTCGAATAGATATTTGATGTTGTTCAGTTTCATTATTAAATTTCATATTTGAAGTTGTTGTAGTAGTTGTTGTTGTCGTCGATGATGATGAAGATGGTTGAGATAAATATACAAGATTATTTTGCGAAGCAAAAAATGATTGTATAGAATCCAAACTAACATTGTTAAAATTGACTAAATTAATTGGTTGTATTAAATTTGTATTATTTTGTACGAGTGTATTAGAATTATTTTGTACAAATGGTTGTGTTGTCGTTTGTATAACTGTATTGAAATTTGGTGTTATATTTGATTGATTACCATGAACAACTTGACCAGAATAATTTTGTTGATTTATTGGACCATGATTATTAACATGTTGATGTGTTATTTGATTTGTTGTATTTATTGAATTTGTTGTTAATGTTATATCAGAATTATCAAATATAATATTTGTTGGGTCATCTGTCTTATCATCAACGGCTGTTGCTGCTGGTGGTGGATCAAACAGGAGCCCTTCTGAGAAAAAAAAGTAAAATTTTTTTATTTTAAGTAGGAAACATGTTGATAAGAATAGTTACGAGAACGAAGTAATTGTAAAAGTTTGGCATTTTCTTCTCGAAGGTTTCGAACCGTATCTTCAAGATTAGGTGGATAATCTAAATTACAAGAGTTGTTTTCTTCTATTCTGTTCTTACAACCGAGTTATCCTTAACAAACCTTTCTTCTCGGGTTCAACCATTATTTGATAAAATAATAACAATAATCAAACATATGAATCGTGCACTGTTCCATGACATATATTAAACAATATAAAAAATAGATCTAAAAAATACATTCAGTATATGCGGTTTTCTTTTTTTTTCTAAGAACGAAAAAGGAAAGAGCATGACGACAAAAATGTCATCAGACATTATATAGGGACTAATGCCTCTTAAGATATTTCCTCTTTCTTGATTTCTTGATCAGGTCATATCGGTAAAATACATAAAAAATTATTCATTGATATAAGATTTAAAAAAATATGAAGACATTTAAAAATATATTATTAATATAAATGATTAAATTACAATATTTATTCGAAGTTTTTTATATTCAACTCTATAGATGTCACTGTTTTCAATCGTCAATGATGTGACGTGAAGAGTCGGTTATGATATTATTATAATAAATTGTTGTTCTTTTCCTATCCAGAAGGTCTATAACAAGCACAAGGACTTACTAATAGAGATCTATAGTTGAGTATTTCGAAGCAATCCGTATTCACAATTTGTTTTACATCTGAATAAATTCTTGTATAAAAGACAGATCATTAAAAATTTCAACATCGTATTACGTCTTCAATATCATACTTTTCTCTTCAAATTATTGAAAAAATACATCATCTTCTGTTTGATTTCAAAAGTAAACAACGTTCTCTTATGCTCTACTTCAACAACTGAACTATATTTTTTATGTTTTGCATGCACAAAATCAACTTAATGTAGTCGTTTTTTGCTTTGAAAAATTATTAGATTGAATTTCCATCAATACGATAATCCTCAGCTGTAATCTTTTTTTCATACAAAAAAATAATCAACTCAACACTTTTTCAATTTATTGAAAATATGAACATCATTAGATGACTGTTAAATATAATATAAACGTATACTATATAGGTATTTGGATTAGTACATCTCAGGAAGGCGTTCACAAAAATTTACAAAGATTTGTTTCTGTTCAGATAGCATCTGTCTCAATTGAAAGAGTATTTTATCGATCCATGATTTTTTTTTAGAGATGATACTAAAAAATTGAATAAAAATCTTAAAACAGACGCCTACCGACTATTTTTCGCCGAAAATGTACAAGAGTTTCCACATCATGAATAACTCCTTATTGATTAGTTGATATGATAATAAAAATCTTTTTGTTGACATTTGACCGACGTTGCATGTATACTTATGTTCGGTTTATCCGCTGCCCACACCCACGCTCCTTGACCAGTTTTGTCTTGTATTATGAAGCAACGTTTTTCTTGCTATTGTTCATAGAAATAAATTTTTCTTTCCTTGATAACAATCTGATCTTTTTTTCATCATCAGACTTTTTGAATAGTTTATTTTTATGAACTATCACACTCATAGAAATTAGTCGAAGAAAACCTTTGAAAAAAAGGTCACTCATTTCAAATGTCGTCTAATATCATGATTTATTCATTTTGAATTCATATATTAACAAATCTTTATCAATTAATATTAATAATAATTCAAATTGCTGCTTTGAACGTAATTTCGAAACAAAACGACAACAGATGAATATGCTTGAGATTAATATGTATTTCGGCAAGTTTATTTAAATAAAAGTCGTCCTCGAAGAATGTTCTTTCAAGATCTTAAAGAAGTATTTTATATTCGAAACGTTTTTTGTGTATTAAAACATGTATATAGAAAATATTATATGAAAATAGGCTCTTAAAAATCAAAATGTTTATGATGAATTTAATTGATTGAAGACAAATTTGACATGATCTCAAAATTGATTCTAAAGAATTATCGAAGAGTTATCACACAATCAGTTAATTTTTCATTTAATATAAAACCAGTGTGCTAGACGTAAAATGAATTATTTAAATTTATGTTAGATAATTCTTTATTTTCTAATGTAGGTGATATTGATACTTCAGATTGACCGACAATTCATTTTATGCATGTTAGATTTCATAATAAATTCGATGATGATGTTAGTATTTGAAGAGAATTTTCATTATTACGTTGAATTAGATATAGTCGTAGTATTATTTTCTATGCGACTTATATAGGCAAAAGCAGTGGAGTCATTAAGATTAGGAAGATTCAAGTCTCATCTAAAAAAATAAACAGAAATATTGGAGAAACTTGATATTAGAGAAAAATTTTTACGGATCTCTTTCTGAATTTATATCAAATGTTCGAAAATATATTATCAACAGAGTTTATTTATCTTTCTATACACAAGCAGTGCAGTCTTGAGATTTTTTTGAAAAAGTGCGTTTCGATGGTTTTTAAAATAACTATCAAAAAATCCTGTTCCCTTATTCTGATGCATTGTAGAAAGTTGAAAAAGAAGATATATATATATAAAAGTGTCTACTTCCGATTATAGTAAAGTTAGCAAAAATATTTGACATAATACTCATGTTTCATTTATTTTTGCGCAGAATAAAGATAAAAACTTGAATTACTTTTAAAGATGAATAGTTCGAAACCAATGGTATAGGTTTCATAAGGCAACTAAATCCTGAATATAAATTTCTAAGAACATTTCTGTTACAGTTGTTACATGCTCTCTATGTTGATTAGATTGAAAATCTAGGCTGGGCAACATTCGCTGAAGATATCACTATCGCCACTGCTCTTATCTTATGGGTTATTTTAAACAATGTAATCATATGTGACAACACAATATATGCTGGATTTTTGAGTGAGTACTCGACATATTATGAAATCATGTGGTTTTTTTCATCTTCATATTAATTTTGACGTATACATACAGAGCTCAGGTCAATTAAAAGTTTTAACTCATATCTTCTTCTATATCATCTGCTACTCTTGGAAATACATTTTGAGTGGCCGCCGAAGTAATTAATTGATGATGTTGATTTCCAAGGTGATTAATAAAACTTCATTAACGGCTAGCATGGCTTCACTCTTCCATGATAAGTTACAGTTTTTTTCAAATATATTCATTAATTTTAGTACAGATAAAATGATAGTTGATTAAAGTGCGTTATCCAATGTCTGTGAACTCGAAAATATTGCATCTCAGTTGTTACTACGAAGATCTATAGTGATCACATAAGGCAATAGCTATAGAGTAGATATATTCGTAATATTATTGTTGCTATGAAACTTGAATTTATCTCACATACTAATCGAACAGTTTATTCTCCGAATAATAAACTGTTTTTTCTATTTGACAAGGAAATTTCGTTTGATTCCATCACTCCTCCTAGAGATTATAACCATAAGGAGTAAAAACATGTGTTGGATCTCTGTAATTCTTTTAGCCAGGTATTTAAAATTTAGAAACAATGATTCAAACAGTATATTTTTTATATTGTTATCATAACTTAGGCTTATTAATATAAGTATAGATTAATGATTGTCGATAACCTGAATACGAATTTTTATTTTAGTAAATTTAAGAAGTTATGAATATTTGTCATAAAATAGAAAGAATATTTTTTGAATTTATAAGTAAAAATATTAGTGTTTTGTCTGAATTATGATCGATTTCAAGGCAATTTTGCACTTATACAAAGTAGCTGTCAACTATTTACTAAAAGTCCTTGATTATTTAATTGCCGATAGAGAAAAGGTAAAAACTAAAAATTATTATAATAACTGTTATTATATTATGAAGACAATGGAGAAGAAAAAAAAAGAATATATGCGGAGAAACTTGGAATTTATGATATGTTCAAACTCTTTTCTTGAATTTGTGTGCTTGTTGAAGTTCATCAGAATTATGCGTTTTAAAAATGAATCTAGATATATTAAAACTCTACTAGTAACTAAATAAAAATGCATTCTTGTATTTTTTCATGAAAGAATTACTGTAAAGGCCTCACAAATGACTCATTATAGTAACGACATGTTTTATTGTATAAAGCACCTGATAGAGTTGAACTTATAAAAGGAAATATTTTTTCTATACATTAAGTACTAACGCTGAGATTTCGCAGTATATCTTCCGGCATTCAGGTTGTCAAAATGATCTGCTAAAGTAAACACTCGTTGAAGTGTATTTTTGTTTATAGAATCGAAAATAGTTGAGCTTACTCATTCACATAAGAACTATCATGTAGGAACATTAGTTAAGTAGTCGGGTCAAATTGATGGACTATTATTCTATGGCAATCTCTATGAGAAAAATGTCTTCAATTTTGAATGCTCGTATCCAAAGAGACGCAATCCTATTGAGACTTTTTACTAAAAAAATTAAATCAACTTATCGCCTGTTTCCTTTAACTAATTATATTAAAATCTAACCATTTCAAGTTGTTTTGTTAAAAACACTTACAAAAAAGTTCTATCGATAATATTTAGTTTTTAAAAAGAATAGTATTTATTCTTATGATGAAATCGATTAACTTAAAAATGTATATCTTCTGATAATTACTTAACGTCTGAACCAATGAAGTAAAAAATTATTTCAAGAATTTTCGAAAAATAAAACAACTTATAATAGAAATGCTAGAAAAAAATGTTCACTGTTTATTATCATCATGATCGAATTATATTCGACAAAATCCTATGAATCGAATGATGATCGTATACACCATGTATATACAACAAGTGGCGGAAAGTATATTTTTTTTCAAACATAATTAAAGATATGAAGTTCAACATTTTTATGAATAGGTGTTTCTTTCAGTTTTTTTTGCTTAGGTAGCATTGGTAACAGCTTGATTGAATAACACTAGATAGCTACCTTCTTTTCGTTGGCGTTAAGATGTTTCTGAAAAATATGTATCGGTCGGAAGCCGCCTAGTTGATGGGTTTACTATTTTTCAATTTAAGTAGCTTGCTTTCAAACTAAAAAAAAGCTACCGACTCATAAATAGTAAATTCAAAGAAAGTTTCTAATAAAAAATTTATTCCATATATTTACGATTTGCTTTTTTTGTATCGAAGAAAGTTGATTGTTACACTAATGTAAGTGGACCAAATATAATCTACTATTGTTCTATATTGTCGCTTCATCGGATTCAACAAAGTAGCTATCAGAACGTAAAAATGTTAGGAAAAAAACAAATAGACTGCTTTTCTGAGTGTTAATTATCGATGCATGCTTAATCTCAGTGAATTATTGTCGCTTGATGTTTAGATACCTTTTGAAAAATAGTTAGCAACATTGTCCACAAATTTTGCTTTACTAATTCACATGATTCATATCATTTTGTTTTATTGCTATAATTCAATCAATGCATTTCGCACACATATCAAGGTATCATAGTTTTACAAAACCGTTATTTGTAACTAATGTAGTTTTTACTGATCATTTTATATTTGTTCTTTACTATAATTACTTTCCTCATAAAGTTACTTTTAATAAGGGCTGTGTCCCTGTACAGCCTATAATGCAGACAGGGTTAAACAATTTGCAAATAAGAAAAAAATAAGTCGACCTTTTCTTCTCTTCTTTTTCTTGAAAAAAAACTAATGGATGAATAAAAGTAAAAAAAAAAGCTAATGCCATCAATTGGTCCGAGAAACTTATATTTTTCTTTTTTGCCCACTAGTTTGCGGTTACGTGTACACTAGAAAGAAAAACTAACAGAGAAATCTATTGATTCATACTAATAAAACAACAACAGCTGCATAGTTTGTTCAAATTGTCTAACTGTCTTTTTTTCTTTTCTCGTTTTATTATTATTACATTGCGGCGCTCGAGAAGTAAGAGAGAAAAAGAGAAAGAGAAAGCCTTGTTTTTTTGTCATTCATTCATTCATTCATTCATTCATTCTTTCATTCTTTCATTCACTTGTTCGGCCTTAGCCGAAACAACATGTAAAGAAGAGAAGAGGGAGAATAACACCACAAATGCTAGACTCAATTGCGGTTAATAGCAAGTAAAAGAATATCTTCTTATTTGTTGGCCATATAGAGAGAGTAAGTTGATCGTTCAACTTTATCAAACGATATAATTCAATTTCAATGCAGTACGAATACCAATTCTTCTCAGTTTTCTTTCGATCATTGTCTTGAAATTTGTCAAGCTCAACTTTGTAACTCTTGAGTCACATTTCAATACGTACGTACATGTGTGTGAAAAAATTTATATAACGATTATGTAATAATCATTTGTAGAGAGAAAGAAAGGCAGAGACAGAGCAAAAAAAGAAGAACAAGAACAAGAACAAGAAGAGAACAAAATATATATATATATATGTTCTGCATATTTTTTTTATATATCGCTTCTCATTTATTTCCTTATATTGCATCAGAAGCTAGCTATACCAAGAATGGATAGAGAAAAAAGCCACGGAATGTCACCAACGGGTCGTTTTCATTAGCTTAAGACGGACATAACTTGATTGACCTCCAAAGTTGTATCGATGAAAAAGTAGAAGTTCATTATAAGATAACAGAAATATACGTAACCTACTAATAAAATATTAGACTGTTGGCTGTATACTTTTATTCATCGGTTGGCTTGATCATAATACATGACTATTTCATAACATAAACCCAAAATCTTTCCTCGTGTCTTTAGTTACTAGTCGTTTTTCTTTCTTTTTTTTTGTTGCCCATTAACCATCACAGTAGGTTGTAGTTTTATAGCAGTAATGTTCTTTTCTTTTCTATCGCCTTTGTGTTGTATCCTCGATTCTAATAACGTTTGTCTTATTAAAACTATCATTAGCGTTGCTTTTTGTGTCTTAGAATAGTAGCTATAAAGTATTGTTATAAATAATATCGTTGAGCTCCTACGCATTGACATGATCTTGATAGTCATGTTGTTATTCGTTGATTATTTACGAGCCTTGATTTTCGTATCATGGGAATAAAATGAATACTAAAGTGATTTATAACTGTACGATGCATTTAAGTATATGTTTATATCTTCTATTTTGTTTCTTTGTAGTTTCTTTTTTTTCCTTTCGTTCTTATTCATATTTGGCTTCATCTTATTCTACCTTATATATAATCAAAGAGTCTTCTCTAATACATAATAGACACCTCGGGTGAGTATTTACCTTCTCAATATATTTGCTGTTTGATCAATAGATGTTATTCTGTCGATGGAAATCGAATCATCTGTTTCATTTTTTTTCTTCTTCAGATCTCTATATGTGATTATTTGTCTTGGTAAAGATTTAGTAGGCAACTAGACAATGGTAGCCAATGATTGTTATGCCATATTAGGTGTTAAGTTGACAGCTACAGAAGATGAAATTAAAAAAGCATATCGGAAAAAAGCACTTCAGTATCATCCAGATAAGAATTCATCTAAAACAGCTGAAGAAATATTTAAACAAATTAACAAAGCTTACGAAACACTAAGTGACGCAGATAAACGTCGAACATATGATTTACAACAGCAAACTACTAATACAAAATCTTCATCGTCACATCATCATAAAAATGATTCATCATTTCATTCATCAAATCAATCATATTTTACATCAGCAAATAATAATTCATCTCGTTTTCATTTCCATGATCCATTTTTTGACGTTCATCAACGACATGCTCATTTTACTCGTAAATTTCATTCGCCAAAATTTGCATTTTTCGATACAAGTTTTGGTTCATCATCATCATCGGATGACGAAAATAATTATGATTATGGTCGTTTTGATTCAATGCCATCAGCATTTCATTCTAGTCAAAATCATTTTCGAAGAAAAACTCGATCGAAATGGAGTCATCCTTGGTCATTGGAACATGATCCATTTATGATGTTTGAAATGTTAACACGATCTATATTTGATCAGTTTTTGCACGATGATTTATTTTCTCATCATTCATCAAGCCGTTTACGTAGTGCGTCGCATCAACAACGAGCAACATCGGCAAATCGCACGAAAATTCCTGTTAATCATGTAACACCAACATCAAAATATAGAAATGATGTCAAACGAACAACATCAGCAGCGACACGTTTCAATCATAAAGATAGTGACGAAGAAAATGTTGACGAACATTTTGTATTTCAACAAAAAAAACCAACAACAAACAGTGATCATCGTTTTGGTCGATCTACAATAGATAATAAGACGAATAATAGACAAAAATTAGAAACATGTCAATATTGTTTTTATCCCTTAACATCATTAGGAAATCTTGTAAAACATGAAGCCGTTTGTCGTCATCGTTCGGATCGAGATAAAGTCTATACAACCAAATGTACGTATTGTGATCAAAATATTCGTTTAAGTGATTATCTTAATCATGAAGAAATGTGTAAACAATTTGGAATAAAACGTCCAACATCGGAAAATAAACAATATTACAATCCATTGTCTTCAAGTCTTAATATCGACAATCAATCTACTTCAAAATCATCATTCGGTAATAGAATGAATCGATCTAATACGGTTAAATAATCTGCATGAAATCTTTCTCTTTTCTTTTCACTCTGACATTATTATTTTTTACTTATCAATCACTTGCTCGTGTTTATAATCATTAAATAGATTTTTAGCATGCCATCTTGATTATTTATAATTTCTATTTGTATGCTTTGTGATGGTGTGCTGTATATTTCTAGGCAAAAACAAAACTCCACATAGATGGATAGTACGTAGCTAATTGGTTCATGCATGTGCTTGACTAATCACACTTTCAATAATATTCATTTTGAATATCTATTGATTTTGAGTGGTTAATTAATATGATAGAAAAAAACAAAATTTACCTTCTTTCTTTTTTTTTGTTTTATTCCTATAGGTGGATTATCAAATGACATTAATCAATTGCGTACATGTAATCGTTGCCATCGAATATTTCCTGTCTTATCTGATTTATTCAATCATACATGTGATGATGACGATGATTTAATTTCATCAAAATCGACTACGCCTGCAGCAAAATCCGACAATAAAATGACGCACGACAATGCTTCTTTCCTAGATAAAATTTCTTCGACATCGCCCAAGTCTTTCAAAATAAATCTTCATTCATCATTCAATAAGTCTTCTACACCAACGCCGAATACACATAAATTAGTCTCTCCACTTTCACCACCATCATCACCAATAACAAAACGAACTGATTCAACATCGATTCCTGTAAACTCAGTTAATGATATAAATAATACGAGTCTACTATCATCACAAACCGAGCACATTCCTGTTTTAAAACGACCTTTATTTCGACCTAATATCATAAATTCACCTGATAATCAGCAGCAACAACAACATTCATCTAGTGCCTATATTTATTTAAACAATTCGAGATCACCATTACGTGTTAATTCTTAAACTGAATGAAGATAAACCAACAAAATATAAATGTAGAATAGATATTGGATAGATTGTTCGTTCTGCAAAAAAAGAAATATATACGTATACGAACATTGAATCACCGATTTATTTTGCCTAGAAACAGAATAGAAAAGTACACTTGTTGTTGAATATATGATTACAGCAAATTCAGTTTGTGTGTTTAACCGAACCATACATTTTGAATAATTTCTCACGAACGCGCGTGTCAAAACGCGCACATTAAAATCAAATAAGAAGATTCTAACATTATTTACACATTTATAAGATATACTTAATGGTTCATTGGTATTTTTTTCTTCTAATGAGACTAAATGATAGTGCTATACCAAGGATAAAAAAAAATAATACGAGAAAAGAATGTAGTATCTGATTTAGTAGGCATACCTGTGGTAATCAATCAATAGATCTATTGAGCTTGCTAAAAAAAATGATTATCCAATTCATTGTTTTTACTCTCTCTCTCTCTTTAATTAGTAGTTTAGATCTTTGTACTAATATTTACTAATCAAAAGAAGCTTGAAAATAGTAATGCACATTTGTAACAAAATTAAATTTTACTTCACAAAATATAACGATTCAAAGATATTTTTACAATTATTTAAACGTCATATTTTTAAGTATGAGAACATAAAAAATATATTTATTTAGCAAAAACGATTGAAAAAAGAAGCTTGTTTTTGTTAAACTCTTGTTTTTATTTGATTTTGTTCATTTTCCAATCGATTGAGTAAATCCATCTAAACGGAAAATGAAAATTTTACATTTCTATACATGAAATTATTTTTCTAGCCATCTACTTCAGCATTAACTACATCTAAAATAGACATCCAAGCATCTTCATCATGTAAACTTCCATCAATCGACAATGTAGTTGCCAATCGTTCTGATACATCGAGTTTATCTTCTTCTAGTTGACGTTTGAAAATATTTCAAAAAATGAATAAAATATTATTGTTAACTAAAATGTTTCTTTTTTTTTTATACCAATTTTCGATTTCAATTGATTCGTCGATATTTTAGATACAGGTCGAGAAATAGTTGTTGCTGAATGTACTCGTGATGATAATGCAGTTATGCGATCATTTGGAACACAAGTAGGTACAAGCGAGTTTGTAAGAATATTTGAAGGAAAATCGGAATCGTGAATTTTAGTATGATCAATGACAATACCTTGGCTGAAACATTAAAATCTTGTTCTATATCTTGACAATTTAACGATATCCTACTTATAGGGTCCAGATGATTTAAAATGCATGTAGTTCTCGGTATAAGTGCTACCATTATTATTGGTGTCGTCATGAATCGATGCAGCCGTTCTATTATTTCTTTGTTTAGGTTGTATAATTGTTGCGGGCCGTTGAAAAGCTTGACCTTTTGGTATTTCACTTCTTTTTAAAAGAAAAAAAGTATTCTGAATAATAATTTAAATTTATTTCGCGTACCTTTGTTTCATTGATTTCATTTCATCAAAAATATTTTCTATTGTTAAAGCAAAGTTTTTCGAACGTGAACGACGTCGATACAAATATCCAAAAACAAGAATGGAAATTAATAAAAACAGAACACCTTTGTTCAAAAAAGAACTCCAGTTAGATTTTATTCTTTGATGAAGCACATACTTAAAACACATATAAGACTAATTTGCCACGAATTTAAAATTGATGAATTCGTATATGATAATAGTTCACTATTCGTGGTAGATAATACAGAAGTTGTGGATATCTTAGGAGATTTGCTTGAAAAATGTACACATCAAATATTTTTTGAAATAAACTTTTTCTATCAAACCTGCAATTAAAAATCCATGGATTTGATAAAAGATTAATGCAGTAAGGTGTTGAATTATAGTGTAGACACAATGGATCTTGAGCTATATCACCACTGGAACAGGCGTCCAATGCAACAACTAAAAATGAAGACAATTTATTAAAATTGAAATCCTTATGGATTCTTTCGATGTTTCATTTATACAATTGAAACATATATTCTCAAGGTCAATCTTATAAATACATAAGGAAAATATTGAATGCTTAATCTGTATATATGTCTGATATATCCGAATAACTATCGATGCTCGAGAGACATACATATGTTTTTGAATGCTGTTTTCAAATAGTATATCCGAAATAAGTGAAATATTCAAGAATATTCGGAAAATTTCCTATCTCTGAAAAGTTTTGAAGTTCTGTAAGATTTCAATCAAATTGATCCGAAGAAAATGTTCAAGTGTTTATAAACAAAACACAATCCTCGAAATCTTATAGAGGTTCCAAAGAATATTTTCTTGTCAATGTTTATCTTTGGACTTACTTCATAAAACCTTGCTCGTCAACCATAGAAATATTTGGTATGACATTAGACAGTCTGTAAACAATTAGAAGCCAATATATTCACATCGACTCGCATAGAAACAATAGTTTATCATATCTATGGCAGAAACTCGAACGAATCATTGAGCGTATTTGTCTTATTCTTTACTATTTAACATAAAATATCTGTATCAAACTATACAGTGGAATATCTTCAGTGCTTGAAAATGAGAGACGATGATAGTTTCTTTCTGTTTGATTATTTTGATTGGAACCAATGCTAACTAATAGTCGATTATGATTAGTTTCCTTGACTGTCCATTTATTTATTTATTTATTTAGCTTTCTTAACTATTGATTCTACTAGATAATCATTTTTTTTCATACAACCTTTTGAGTAATCGGTATTAGTGCGTGGCCTACATTTATCGTATCTTCATAGAACAAATTCTGATCTCGGCTTTATCATCAATTCATTCGATTTTTTTGAAAACTTTCTTATTGAAACCGAGCTGTCTTTGTCCAATGTTATTTTATTGTCGTCTCGTGACTCATAAGTATTTTAGTGTAATATTATTGTGGCATACACATCTTTCTTAGCGTTCTATAGAGCCTATCTTCTAGTGCCATTGATTTATGATCATAATAATAGTAGGTAAAGAAAAACCACACGGTGACAGTCGGAGCCAATCAATGCAAATGACAAACATATGGAAATAATATAAGTTCACAGTCTGTCACGGCTACGCTAGAACAGTTCTTTGTAGACGACCTATCGAAATTTCTCATATGAAATGCAAACTATTTCTCGAAGTAGTATAAACTCTAATATCAATGCATTATCGAGAAATTGTTTTTCAATTTAAAATCAAACTTTCCTCTATCATATTTGTCATATTTTACTTACCATTGTTTAAACTTGCTGATGAAAAATAAATTGGGTTTTCTCGATCGACGAAAAAGCCGTTTAGGTCATTTATTAAATATCTGTTTCCATTAATATAATCAAAATAAACAGAAACTAAAAGAAAAACGAAACACGTTGCTCAACTAAAATAAATCTCATCTTCTTCTAGTTTTATACTTAATGCAGCTTGAATACGAATCGAGACCGATTGTGTAAATATGATAACTTGTTGAAAATATTTACTGAAAGGTGTTGTGCAACTAATTTTCAAAAAGACAAAAGAAATAAAAATAAAACGAATAAAATAATCTACTTGAAATCAACAATGGATATATTGTAAAATACACTAGAAACTAAACTCGAACTGTTATTTCGATATAAATTGTAAAGCTAAAATTAAGAAAAAAGGAAATTCTAAACAATTTGACAGGCCTATAAGATTTTTACATACATCTTCTACGGTTTGAGTTGTGTTCAATGGCGATTTACATGCTGATAATCCTGTTGTTACTAAAAAAACGAGACGTGTAGAGAAGTTTTTTTAATTCTATAAAAAGCAAAACACAACTATCCTCTTCTATAGAATTTCAATTATAGAAAATGAGATGTCCCGATTTATTTTCAGTTGAATAATTTTCTTTCATGATCCCAGCAAAAGAAAAAGTAGTCTTCCGTTTTTTTTTCTCTTTAAGGCTATGTTTATTATAGATAATCATTTAATATATATTACTTGTAACATTATTGGCATACGTCATCGTTCCAACAGTACTATTAACAATTTGTAATTATTGCACGATGTACCGCTTTATCTAATTAGCCTTTAATTTTGATGATGAAACATCTGTTTCTTATTTATTCTTTGAATAGTGTTTACCAATGAGATTTTCAACCTTTTATAGATAAAATCACCACGTATGAGAGAGAGAGAGAGGGGGGAAAGAGAAACAAAGAACAAAGTTTCATCTATAATGTTTGCAAACTTTCGAAAGTATACCATGTCGTACACATCCTTTTTATTCTCTTTTACCATGAGCTTTTGTCTTTACTTTTATAATATCAATGGAAGACCGAAAAGTGTAATGTTCTTAATAGTAAGACATTTTCATGCCGTTTCTCCTTCAATTGTATGTCTATCATTATTAATGCGCCCTATTTAAAAATATTCATCCATTTACCTTTTCCCTCCTGGTTCTTATTGCTTTTTTTCTCGAGAGAAAAATGATTTATTTTCTTTTTTGAATGATTATGTCTCTTAGCAAAGGTGTTCTTATTGAGTACAATTAATCATTGTCGGTTAAATAAAGTTGTAGACATATTTTTTAGTACATTTTAAAGAAAACGTTGTATTCATAGGTGTACATAATATAATGGTGATAACGTCAATATCTATTATAGAAACAAAAAAATATGATAAAAAATAAAAAGGATTCTGTTTTTATTTGAATTGTAAGAAAAAACTGAATATCAAATTTTCGTTCACTGGATTCAGTTGAATCTAAACCAGAGAACTAAGAATATTTTTGAAATGTTTTTCCTTAACATACATCCCTCGATTATTCTGTAGTATTCTGAGTTGAGTATCATAAGTTAAAAGTTGAAGAAATAAAAGCTTGATAATCGAAAACGAATCTACTAAAATTATTGTTTGCTAAAGAAAACAAATACAATTCGAATTGTCTGCTCTCATAGGTTAACAAACAAAACCTTTAGTCATTCGCAGTATACAATAAAAATTCAGTGGTCATGATCGACGATGAATCCCGAGGAAAACGTATGCGCAATATGAAAAGAAAAGCGATCAAGAAAAATACGTTTCTTAAGAGCATTTACATTAAATTTTTAGAATTTTCACTTATTGTAAAATAAACGTATTTTTTTTATAAAATCGTTTTTAATCACGTAGACATTCAAATTATTATATATATATGTTTCGTTTATAAGTGCGCAGAAGAATATGCACGAAAATTCACCACCGTATCAAAAATAAAACAAAATTTGCATGCGAAAAACTTTCCTTAAGTGTGTTTAAGTCAAGCATGTAACGGCAAGCAATACTATCCTTTGCTTTTGATACAACCAAGTATTACTAGAGAATGAAATCGATAAAGTTGTCTGTGGCTGAGTTAAATTTTTATTCTCTGAGTTTAAAAACAACGTGTTGTACGGACAATTCTATAAAGATAATCAATGCTTGAATGATTTGAAGCTTTTGTCTTATGAAAACTCAATGTTGATAATCAAGAAAAACGTTAAAAAAATGCTCATGAATTTCACAGAGAGCATAGGATTGAAGGTTCGTTACTATGAGGAAAAAACTAAGATTCAATTCTAGTACATCAAATGAAAATCGTAAATATCCGATATTAGATAGTCTTATTGAGATCACTTTAACAGTAACAGAACGTTTCAAACTATAATTAAGAAAAAGATTTTGTTTATTCTTAGTAAGAATTTAGTTAAAAGTATTCTTGCAGGTCATATTTATTTTAGAATAAGCTGAGGGAGCAAAAAGTTACTATCTACTTTATAACCTATTCCAAGAATTAGTTTCTATGCTGTTGCTAGATGATACTTAAAAATTTCTAATTATATATTCAATATTCTTTCATACTTTCGTCAAGTAGTACACTTTCAAGATCAACACAATAGTGTTGTTTGACTTGCCAGAAAAAAGAGCATCTAGAGCTCTTATATGTGTTCAATTGTTTTCCTTATTGCGAATCTCGATCTATCTAGGCCTATCTCATTTGCTCTATAAACGTTTATTTGATATTTAGAAAAAGATTAATCGAGTATTTTAACGATTTTTTCCTTGACCAACAACATGAATGTCAAATGTAACAAATAAATTAACAATAGTAGAGTTCAACATATTCCTTTTTTTTTCTACGAACATCATAAGAATAGTTCTAAAGGAAAAGACAGAGACTTCGTCGAAGTAATAATCCAAAATGGTGAAATTATAGAAATATAAGAATTCTAGATGCTGTTTTTAAAAGTCGAAAGAAAATATAATGGTGTGCTGAGTTTGCAAATGTCAATTTGTAGAAGTTTTTCCAGCGTTTATATATATATGCATAGAAACTGGCCAGTGCCTTCTATCTCTAAAATAAAAACTAAGGCAGTCCATGCAAGAGAATCGTAATGAAGATATTCTTATACACGAAAAATCAACGATTTCAGTTGTTTTCAATCAAAATTTATGAATCTTTTCAAAATAACTCTTCACAAAAGTCTCAACTGGCATACAGAAAACTACGAGTTGATCTACAATCATTTTAACGGTCAAAGCATGTCATGCTGATAACCTTCTTTCTTTTTATTTTCGAACATTGATGACATAATTATGAAGTCTCCAAATTTCAGCTATAAGAATGCGCAATTTTTCTATTCCAATATCGTTTTTGTGTACTCAAAAAGTGAGTACACTCTAGAATCGGTCAGTGTGTTCGTCCGGCCGTAGGCATGATAACTTTCGAAAGGAGACTCAGACCGTGATGAAATTTTCCACACAGTTCAATCTCATGAATATCTCGGTCGAGTTCGAAGATGAGAAGAATCCCTCAAGAAATGGTTGAGTTATCGAAAAAATTGTCATTTTTNGAAATTTTCCACACAATTCAATCTCATGAATATCTCGGTCGAGTTCGAAGATGAGAAGAATCCCTCAAGAAATGGTTGAGTTATCGAAAAAATTGTCATTTTTGACCAGGCCATCCCTGAGGAGGAGTACAGGGATTTTTTTTTCAAAAAAGAAAATCTTTCTCATAATTATTCACAACATATATAAATCGACTCAGTTTTTAACGCTGATTCCAAATCTGATATTAGTTTTGCAATAAACCGTAGCTTTCTGATGAAACATCGCCCGAAAAACGTCTCAAAATGCACAAAAACTGCATCCAGAAATCAAATTGCCTAATTTCTCATGATAATTTTGGTGTTCAGACATTCTAGAATGACTCATATATCCCATGCACTTTTTGCAGTACACATAACTCTCGGATGAAATCCGAAGTTTCCACATTTATTAGAATATTAAATATCTAGTCTTTGCTCGATTAGTTGTAACAACACGTTTACATGATACATCGTTTTTTTCCCCGATGAATGTGATCAGAGTAAATATTTTAATAATTAATGTCAGTTTTTTTCTTATTACTATCAAAATAAGTATCGATTAATTCCAAAGTGAACCCTGTAGATATGCACGAGCAAGTTCTATTCATGCAGATTTCAAAGTGATATTCCGAAAAATAAGTTACCTTTACATATAATACAATGTAAAACACCTTAGTCATTAGTAATGTTTAATGAAAAGTTTATTTCGTTTGTTTTTTCAAATGCTACAATGCAATCATGACTGCTTAAGATATATATATATACTCGTACACAATTTCTATAAAATTATATACTCGAAAAAAAGATTTCAAAGCGATATTTCGTCTTCTTTTGTTCGTCGACTGGATACGCTTAATCGTGTTTTAAAACTGGATCGATAACTATATAATTCTGCTGGTACACCAGTTGAATACATATTGATTGTTGGTTCGAATTCATTTATTTGCAAATGTCTATATAATCCTTCAAATGGTACACTTTCTTGTGAATGCCTTCCTTGTATTTCTTTATGTCCACAGGAACTATTTGTAGATGGTCGATGTTGATCAATAAGAACATGACTACGATGATATGTTACCAAATATTTTAATGCACAACGAAAACGACGATTTGTACAAATAAATATGAAGCATTTATATGAATAAAGTGAAAGTTCAAATGCATGACCAACTGTTTGCATTTGCGCATGAGCTTGAAAAAGAATATGACGCGATGATTTTGGTTCATCAGTATTGTTAGATGCAAATAGAACAATTAGACGAAGTAGTTTACATGGAATTGAAAGAAATAAAAATATAATTCCAAGTGTAAATGCAGCATTATATGTACGAAGATATTCAACAATTGGAGAATTAGATCTAAGAGAAATATTCTCTGTTTGGGAATGATGTGAATGTAATTCTTTCCAAAGATGCGCCCCTTTATGAAATATTAATATTGATAGAAAACAAATAATTACTGTTGGTAACATAAGACCAATGCCAGTATAGAAAAAAACATTAATAATAACTGCAGTAGAATAAATTGATGCTTCTAAATCAACCATTTCAGCATTCATTAAACAATGTCGATAAAGTGTTATATTGGTTGTTGAATTAGATAGAAAAACCATTGGTACATTATAAGATATTGATTCAATCGGTAGAACATTGAAGAAAGTAAAAATAAAAACCAAAGCAAGGCTAAATGAAAATTTTAAAAAAAGCATTATTTTGTCTTGTCTTCACGACATCATTGATATGTTTGGAATAAAATAGATTTACTATTTATGTTATATATGTATATATATATATTATGTAGAAAAAACAACAACAACAACAACTGTAGTTTGAAACTACAAAAACTAATCAAACAAGCGTCAATTACTATTCAAGTCAACAGGATCTGTAAATATGCATACAGCCGATATTTTTTTAAAAATCGAAACGAAATTATTCCAGTCATATACTATACATGAATTGAATTCTATGAAATATGAGGACTAAATGATTGTAACATTTCATAATAGCGGTATAAACTCATGGAAATTAATCTTTGCAATGTTGATAGAAATACAAATAGATTTTAATTTTAATGTTGACTGTTACAAAAATAAGAATTTTCTTCGTCGTTTTATTTTGTAACAATAGAACGCAATTGGTCAGACGCTTATCGCGATAAGTATCTCTAAGCGTGTTTTTTCATTCTAAATATAGAATCCTACACTTTCAAGGAGAAAAAATTCAATACTTTATCTAGTTGAATGTCAATTGGAGCAATAGCATTGTCTACCATAGACCGGCTTTTTGATCTATGTATCGTATCGGGCTAAATATGAAGAATAAGAGCATGCTTTTCGAAATGCGATTCCATATGGAAAAACTTGAGCTTTTTAACTGCCTAAATTCTTGAGTTATTCAACAAGCAACAAAACTCATTACATCATTCTTATTTTTGGATTAAATTTTATTCTATCCATAGAAATACTTTAAAACTAAAGTAGATATTATTCACACAAGATATTGATTATAAATGTTTTATTTCGTACGAATATCAGCGTCGATTTTTAATTAAAAAATTGATCAGCGAACACAGAAAAATAGGACATTATTGAAAAATAATTTTCGCGTATATTATATTCGTCTTTCAGAACAAAAACGTTTTTTACTTGATTTAGTTAATTTTTTAGTAACATGATACTATATTTGCGTAAATCAATCATAGATATAATTTCATGAGATATCTTACTGTTTAAAAATGAAGCTTCTATTTTCCATCATCTATTTATCTGCTAGTAACTGGCTTTCAAGGGTTCAACGGAGCAATGCTCCGAATCTTATAGTCGAGATACAGACAACCTAATTACTTTATTCGAGTCACTACACTCAATAGAACTCCGAATTAACATGAACTATCAAATAATCTAATCATTTGTGTTAAATTATAAGAGCACAAAGATTAAAATGCAATGATGACAGGCGAAAGTTTCTTCAATATGATTCGAATGATTGAAATAAATTTTCATCAAATCTCACTACTTACACAGCATATTTTGCATTCACAATGGCTATAAGTCGATAGAATGTTGGATAAACAAGAAATAATCGATTAAGTAATAGTAACACAATTAACCAATGAGACATCAATGTTGAAACACGTACAATATATGTCAATAATTTACAGCAAACAGCTGATATATTAATTAAACCTGTCATCGTATGAATATCACTGTTCGGTGATGCTTTATAACGAACAATTGCATTGATTAAATGATATAAAAGCACAATTGAATCGAAACATGACATTTCAACAAGAAAATTTTCAAATGTACGTTTTTCACCATCCATTGAATGTCGAAGAATGTATCCATTACCAATTAATAGAATAAGATTTCCAAATAGACCAATTAGAGAGAAAAATATTGTAATTAAAAATGATCGATGTTCTGTTGTTGAAATATGTTCATCTGAACCAAATGGTGAATAATCATCATGATCAAAAGTCCAGTTTACAGCCATTATATCAGCGATATTCTATTCCAAAAAAAAAATGATTTCTAGTCGTATGCACGTAGCAGATTAGTAATTACATTTATTGCCGTTCTATTTTGTATGCCAGAGGAATCAATTTTCTCTCGCTATTCGTAAGTTTATATGGACAGATGACTAACTAATTCAATCTAGCTATGATTGAATAAACAGTAGATATGAAAATTTTTAAAAGAAACATATATATCTAACTTGATATTTTCAAAACAATATCTATTTTCACTGTAAGCTTTTTTATATCTTATTTTTTTCTACTCACCAAAATTTGAGACACGCACGTCTTTGTATGTAACGCGATATGAACAATGCAACTGTTATTACTGTTCGATGATCATGGGAGACTGAAGAGCCGGTTTCCTGTTCTTTCCGTTTGGCATTGAAGAATAGATCGTAAGCGATGATGAGTAATAGAAGACAATATGCCACTTAGATATTTTTCTTATTCAAAAATAATAAATAGGAAATCTATGGAGAATATATAGCATTGTTGATGAGCAAAGAATTCTTCCGCTCGTATTCTTCTTTTTATCGCCCAATGTGAATTGTTTCATTCAAAAAACACATGAAAAAAGAATGCATTATATTTGCTTGCGATCACTGTCAATGATAAAAAAATAGACGAATTTCAATTAGATATATGTCTCAATGGGATTTGTTTATTGAAGAAATAATATATGTGAGATGTCTCATTTTGACATTCGCCTATAAATGAATAATTAAATGAATATTTATAAAGGCATTGATATATGTAATAATTCCTTTTTATTTTATTTTATTGTTATGATGTTATCGTTAGTTTTAGAATACAATAAAAAATAGCATCATGAAGAAAAAAGAATCGGAAAAAAATTGAAATATGTCTTTAAACAAGTGGATAACTAGCAGCAGTAGCAATACCGCATTGATTACGTTTGTTACGTGTCATTTTGATGTAACCTTGATCACCCCAACCTTCACCCCAGCTATAATAAAAATACAAATAATGATATAATCAATTCAAAAGCAAAAAAATTATTTTAATAATTTACCTGTTTTTAACGAGCCAGTAATCTTTGCCAGAGTCTGTACCATAACCAATAGCTAAAACACCATGGTCAAGACGAGTTTGTGAGCAGAATGGTTCATTGTAAACTAAATAAATTGATTTTGATCATCAAAGAAAATTAAAAAGTTCAGGGCAAATACATACCACCCTTTTTGTATAATTGAAATGATGAGTGGCTAGCATCAATGGCAACAGAGATTGGGCCAACAGTGGCAACAGCTTGTTGAAGAGCACTTTCATCTTTTGATGTAATATCAGTGAAACCAGTATCTGTGGCACCAATGTTAGCTTTTGTGAATCGGCATTGATCATCGACAGCTTCATATGGGTATGAATCTTCGGTATCAATACCAGCGTTGACTTTGATGTATTCAAAAGCTTGATCCATTAAACCACCATTGCAACCCATGTTTCCTTGTGCACCTGAACAATCAACTAAGTTTTGTTCGGAGAGTGAAACGAGTGTGCCAGATGCTTTGAAGTGTTGACCTTCAAGGGCACCAGTTGAGGAGAAAGCCCAACATGAACCGCACTGTCCTTGATCTTTAATAGGTGTAACGTAGCCTTTGTCACGCCAGTCTAAAAGAAGACAATCAAGTTTTCATAAAAATGAAGAACGCTAATGAACAATCTGATGACATACCAACGGTATCTGGTAAATCGGCTAATGGATTAAATGTAAACGTATGACGATCTTGAGTACGTTCTCCTTTCATTGTGGCATTATAACCGTTCATGACTTTGACGAATTCATCGATGGTCTATTTTCAATATGAAAAACAATTTGTATGAATATTGATTGGACAATATATGAAAGAAAAAGTATTTACCATAGCAGCATATTTGTTCATTCCGAGCCAATATGAATGTACACCAAGGTCGGCTTCGAGGTTGTGTTGTTGTACTTTTTTCAAGTTACCTTCCCAGACAGCACGACTAAAAAGTTTATATTATAAATAATAAGTTAGAATGAGACAAATCGAATGAGTTTTCTTTTCGTACCGAACATGTTCTTCGGCATCGGAGTAACGTTGGTTGTTAAGTTCTTTCCATAGTTTCCATGGTTGATTAAGTGCAACGTCGTAAGCTAATGAACAGCTGAAAGCGAGTGCGAGAACGGCAAGAACCGAAATAGTTTGCATCTATATTGAAATAAAAGTGTTATCTAGATAATCACAAACTTAAATTTTGGTCGTTTTTAACTTACCTTGGTAATGTAAAATACAAGAAGAGAAACTGCTATTCAATTGAAACTTTTGCCCAGCTATTTATACTCGTGCTTATCTTATTCCGCACATGTGCCTGTATCTATATCTCCCACAGTGAAGCGCCTTGTCACTATTTACTTGCACCATCATTGTCATTTGTCTTTTTTTTTCCATTGCTGATATTTTGTCAGCAAAAAACCCAAAGTCCAATGAAACGACGACAAGGTAATTCTAATGAAACTGCATTTTTCTTCTGTATACAAAAAATAAAATGAGAGAAAAGTTTTTTAAAAAAGAAAAATCTAGAGATACATTCACACACACACACACGCACACACACTCGGATAGAAATATATTCAAGATTCAAGCACATTGTCGAATGAATATGGATTGTTTGTTAAAGTTGTTTTTCTTGTGTCCAATGATGATTGTTTAGCTCTAGCAGCGCTTCCAGGCAGCATTCGTTCCATTTGTCGGATTGTGTGTTCATTTTTCACCATTTTGTCTTGTAATTGATGACGTTCATAGCCCAAACTCGATAAAACTGAATCTTTTTCAATTAGTAATTCTTTAATACGTTGATTTTCAGCAAGTGTATGAGCATGCATTTTACGTAATTGTGTTAACTGATCAGTTAAGCCAACTAAAGCATCTTGCATTTTCATTGCTTCCTCGTTTTTCATGAAAGCATCAGCCGATTTCAAATTTTCAAGTTCAAGTGCTAAACGTTTTTGTTTTGTATTAACCGACACAAGTTGTTTAGCGAGTAGGTCATTTTCCTTACGGTAACCATTCTAAAATACAAAAATAAACGAAAGAAATAACTTTCATTCTATACCAGTATTTTGTTTATTTTCTACTTACTACATAGTCAAGCAATTGTTTATTTTCGCCATTTAAATGATCGCATTGTTTACTTTGTGTATGCAATTGTTCCATAGCTGATTTATTTTGTATTTGAAATTCTTTAAGTTTTTGTATTAACATCGTTAATTTATTTTTACTGTCAACATCTAAAGCATCACGTTCATTTCTTACTAACGTAAAACGTTCTTGTAACATCGCAGCATTAGCTTCCGAACTAAAATCAATATATTGTGTGTTTGTTTATTTATTGAGATTTTGTATTAATATTATTTTTAATTATTTACCGTCTTAAATCAACTTGTAAATTATTTGTACGATCTGTTAATGCATCTAGTTTTTCTTCAGCTGACTTTTTACCAGTAGCTAATTCACTTACTTTGACACTTAAACGAGCACTTTCTTTTTCCAATGAATCACGAGCATAGACAGCCTTAGTCAATTCTTCTTTCAGTGTTGTTGCTTCGTGCATTGTTTTTTCTAAATTTTGTTTAGCAATATAATATTTTTCTTTTAGTAATTCAATTTCATTTATTAACGTTTGATTGTGTCCTTTTAATTCTTCATTATTACGTGTCAATGAATCAATCATTAGACGCATTTCACGATCAGTCGCTTTAAAACTATGTAATGAAAAACAAAATTATAAAAAGTCGAAAAGATTAAGTTAGAAAAAAACCACTCTTGGTAATTCTATTTACCGTTCTTCCATCCGTCGATAATCTATAATAAGTCTTTTCGTTATTTCATATTCACGTATTAATCGATCGAATTCAGTTTTTAATGTTTGATTATCTTGTTCAAGTTTTTGATATTTTGAACGTATTTCACCAAGACGATTACGTGCCAGATACATTAGTTTATCATGTTTATCTTGTAATTTAACCAGTTCACTAGCTAGCGCACCATTTTCTTCGCCTAAGTGTTCATTCTGAAGCCATAAATCATGATTTTCTGCTTTGAGTTGTACCGCTTTGGAAGTTGGTTGTCTGCTCACTAAATTTAGGCCAGAATTTCGATTTACTGTATTTTGTGTTAATTTCAGATTTGTTACATGATATTCAAGGTCAGCGAATGGATCGGTGCGTTCATCTAAACTACTAGCCATGCTCGAATAGAAATCTACGAAAAATAAACATCACATACACAAGCATTTGCTGTATAATTTTAATTTTTAACTCATAAAAAAATGAAAGCGATTTTTCTGTTGAATTCCTTTGTTTGATTCGAGAGAAAATGATTGTTTCTTGCAAATTCAATACCGAAAAAGAAGTCTCTTCTATGCCACACTAAAACTTATCGCTATCCAATTTATTTACCTCTATGAGCTCTTTCTGTATGATTGGTTTCACACTGAAAAAAAAAGTCAAACGAACAGGAAAAATTCTCTTTTTCTCTTTTTTCTTTTGTCTAATAAAAACCATGGTTGCGACGAGAATCAAACAAATATTAAAGAAAAAGAAAACGAAGCAGCTTTCTTATAAAACAATACAACAAAAAGATGTTTATTGACGATGATTAAAAACAAAACAAAACAAAAACAGAAGACATCAATTGATTGGCATTGCCACATTGAGTGACGGGTTCCTTGATTTGACAACGTAACAATACATAATGAGATTAAAAATATGAGCCGAATTTTTTGACATAGGTGCGTAAAAATAGAAATTTGAGAGGAAAAAACTAACAAGGCCGTATGTTATATAGCTCAATAGAAAAAGTAAAGAGCCAACTTTCAATTTCAAATGAAAAAAGTAAATTATCCAACTGATTCTCTAATGCAAAAGATAGAATTTAAGCTAACAATAAAATTGAGAAATTACGCAAAATGGAAAGTGTTTAAATACACCGAGAAAAATGATTCTTTTTTCTCTTCATGGTTACGATGCATGAATATATAAATATTTAATCACTTATCCAATTGACATTCAAAAGAATATTTTCAACAATTTTTGAATAAATTTATTTCTAAAATTATTTTCATAAATTAAATTGCAAAATAGTCACGCCTCTTATTGTGCAATCGAAATCCAGAAATACAATCACTTTAATTAATGATACCAAAACGATGCTAAATCTGAAAGTATCTCTATCGAAAACTAGTGAATTTTTTTTCAGACCTTTCACTATTTTTGAACCTAAAAATTTTTGTACAAGAATAATAAAAATAAAAATGCGCTCATGAAACAACTTGTTCACGTTTGATTTTGTAGAAAACGACCCGTTCTATAAATACATTTGCGAGACGAAGTTGTATGGTGTTACTTATGAAGGATAATATTATCCTTTGCGATTGAAATTGAAAAATAGCAATTATAATTAATTTTTACGATAGATTTGTATTTGAGTTTTTTTTGTTGTTGAGTTTTTCACAGCTATTTTTATAGCAACCGCGTCAAGCGATATCTTTTCAATCAATAATGTTTCGGAAGTTTTTGACTGAAGCGATACATGTGTAACATGAATATATATGAACAATAAATTTACACAGTTTCTCAACGATGCATGCAAATGATGACGATCGGTTGTTAGCTCTAGTCATTTCCGATGATGATTTATGTCTCCCTTCTTTTTAAATTTTCAATTACTAATTGTACAACTTGATTTTTCATTCCATGATTTAGTCTATTTGATTGAAAAGTTCCAATTATTATTTAATTAAAACCTAATTTAAAACATCATATCCATGTTTTCATTTAAATCTATTGTCGTACACAACACTCAACCGTTATTCAATATCAAGATGCACATACAGATGAGAAAGGCAGTAAAATGATATGTGTATTTTAACTGATGTGAAAAAGTCAAGCTGATCGCATTTTATCAAAGGCATCCGATCCAGATATGCTGGCAATATTTGAAAGCTATTTAAATACAGTATGATATGGTTTTTTTGTCGTCGAAAATTTGAAATCCATTTAGTACTATCGAGAAAGAAAATAGTACGGCATAAGACTGGATTAGCCACCTGAAAGAAAAATATAACACTCAATAAAATATTCATACTTGATGATGTTGACTAAAAACATCTCCTGTACTAGCCGTGGGAAATTCTTCATAACCAAGAACTAACTAATAGTATACAGATATATTCATCCTACGGTGACGGATGAGAAGTCATTGCTAGAATTACTTCATTATTTCTGTAAGAAATAATTATATACGTACAACGACTTCATAATAATTTCGCATTCGTTTATATAATATAAAGGGTTAAGACGTGAGAGAAACGATTATTAAATTCGTATTAGACGTATTTAGTCTATAAATCATCATCAGTGAATGCTTGTCACGGAATAAAACAACTGAGATTGCTATTCAATATATATTATTCATACATTATGGAATTGACATTGTAATGATCATCCATAAAACACAAGTTCTGCAAAACAACATCTTTGTTTGCATTGTCTTTACATTTTGGAATGAATTTTTTCTTCGTCTTAAACATTACAACGCATTTTTTTTTCTATTTTTTTCTATTTTATGCGAACATCAATCAATCGAATCAATTTCAATGGAGACTGCCTTTTTCAGCCATACACAACCTAAAGAATGAAGAGCAAAACACCTTATCAGATAAGAAGATAAGTGTCTATTTGAAAAGTCCCAAACACTATTTCGTAGAGTAACACTTATGGATTTGGTACTAATTACGTAGAAAATAATATTGCCATCATATTTCAATCGTCTGAAAAGTCCCATGATGTAACCATTTTGGATAAGACTATGAAATGAACATGTGTGTGCAAATACTTGCGAGCACTTAAAGTGAAAAGGTTGGTCCAGGCATATTTTTGTCTTTCAAAAACCGCAGATTGATTATGAATTATGTGGAATGACAACGAATGTTTTTTTAAAGCAAACAGATGATCAAATTTCAAGGTGAAACGAAAAACTAATAAATATCTTGAGATAAATATGTCCTAGTATTAATCGATTTACAGTTATAATTATATTCATTTATGTTTTTATTTATTTATTTATGTATATTTTTTTGAACAAAGAAAGTCGAAAACAATTAAAAAAGAAATAGAAATAATACATTTATGTTTCAACACAATCTGGCTGTTCACTATTATTAGTTGTTTCATCAAAATTAGCCGTTTTCATTGGTGATACATCGGTATCATAAACACGAATAAATTGTTTTCTGGAACAAGCTTCATCAAGTTCTAAAGATAGCTGAGAAAAATTCATGGATTCAATTACTTTTTCATCGATATCAGGTATTGTTTGTAAATTATCAAATAAATCCATGAGTTCCTTATCAGTTATATTTTTTGCTGCCAACCTTTTTTGTCCAATTTCAAGCAATGAAATAAAAAAATCTAACTTTTCACCATTATCAAATCCATTTTGTGTCCAAAAAGCTTCATCATTTGAATGTTGTCGTTCATCAATTATACGTAATGCATCATCACGTTGTTCTTCTATCACATGTAACAATCTTTCAACAAACGCATTAATTTGACATCTAATATTATCATATTCTAATGAGATTTTATCCATTTGCAGACGTTTTTCATTAATTAAATATAATCGTGATTCAAGTATATCCAAGTGTGCTTTACTTTCACGATGTACTTCAAGTAAGTGTGTTCGTCGACATATATCACAAAGCATAAAAAAACAATGTTTACAAACTTTAAGCATTTTAAGTAAACAGCATGCATGGCATCGTGCCCTATATGGACTATTTGTTTGAGATTGAGACTGTTCAGAATTTAAAACGGATGTATCGAGTGCTTCACATAATTGTTTAAGCGTTGGATTAATAATTAGCATAGATTCAAAGTGTTCGAATGAACGAAAATTTAATTGAAATTTACAAAATGGACAAAGAATATAATTTATTGGAGTTGAAGTATTCATATTATTGTTTTGCGCATAGCCCAGTAAACATCCACGACAAAATGAATGTGCACATGGAAGACAACAAGGTAATGACATACGCGATAGACAAATACCGCATGTTAGAATCTCACTTAGAATATCATCTTTATTTTTTGATGTTGTTTGGGTTGTGTTGGTTGAAAAATTTGATGATGTACCATTTGAAGCCATTTTTAGATTGATCTAAAAAAATGAACAAATCGAGAAAACAACAGAATAATTTGTACTTGAATAAAGCTTCTATGAAAAAGATTGACGGATGGAGGTTTTTTGCCAAAAGAATACAGAATTTTTTTTTCAACATTCGCTTATAAGAAGCCAAATATGTTTTTGAAACAACTTCACCTTTACTCGATTTATATTAAGGGTCTCTTTTTCTTTTCTTTTGATCGTAAGCAATGTAGAAAAGAAAGAATGACAACGACACCGTCGATAGTACGATGTAAAACAGAACAGAAAACAGACCACTATCGCACGAATGCCTTCTTTTAATCACCATCATCATCATCATCATCATCACCACTCAGCATGCGACAGAAAATAATAACATGTGCTGATGAAGAAAATATAACAGTTATTTTTCTTTCTCCTTTTTTTCGATTTCATATATAGAAAAACAACACAAAAAAACACGACATTGCCATATCTGATAAACTCAAGAGCATTCTACTCTACCGTCCGTTTAAACAAACAATAAAAAAATTGGAGAATATAAAGAGTACGAGAGAGAAAAAGAAAAACTACTATATATGATTATCTTTTTAAGATAAAACGATGCACGTATAGCTTTAGTAAGACTTGTGTAATTATTTTTGTTTTTAATTTTTGACTAAAAGATTATTATTCGCCTTTCATTAATTTATGCATTAATTGTCCCATTTTGGCAGGAGAATCACTAACAGTAACTTTTGCATCTTTTAATGCTTGAATTTTTCCTTCAGCACCACCAGATTTTCCACTAATAATAGCACCAGCATGGCCCATACGACGGCCAGGTGGAGCTGTTTGTCCGGCAATAAAAGCAACGACAGGTTTAGCCTTTGATCCAATATTATTTGCTTTAAGATATTCAGCAGCTGCTTCTTCAGCATTACCACCAATTTCACCAATAAGAATAATGCCCTTCGTAGATGGATCATTTATAAATAAATCTAAACAATCAATAAAATCAGTACCATTAAATGGATCACCGCCGATACCAACACATAATGATTGACCAAGACCAACTTGACTTGTTTGATGTACAGCTTCGTACGTTAATGTGCCACTACGTGAAACAATACCTATTGGACCTGGTCGATGTATATGACCCGGCATGATTCCAATTTTACATTTGCCAGGTGCTAAATATTCACATGTACACAGTCTTCAATAAGACAGTAACACTTACCAATAACACCTGGACAATTTGGCCCAACAAGACGTGATTTATTTTGTCTGACAAGTTGATGTTTAACTTTAACCATATCATGCTGTGGAATACCCTCTGTTATACATACAATTAAACCTATACGAGCATCGACAGCTTCAAGAATAGCTTCAGCTGCACCCGGTGGTGGAACATAGATAACTGTCGCTGTTGCACCCGTTTCTTTCATAGCATCATGCACAGTTTTAAATACTGGTAAATCTAAATGTTTAGCACCAGCCCTTTTTCGGACTAACGCCACCGACTAATTTTGTTCCATAGGCAAGAGCTTGTTGAGAATGAAATGTTCCTTGTTTACCAGTAAAACCTTGACATATTACTCGTGTTTCACTGTTAATATACAAGTTTTTTCGTGTTGAATCATAAACAGATTTATCATAAGTTGTTGTAGAATTTTGTTGTTGACTTGCATTAACAATAATGCTTGTTTGAAAAAAACGACAATTTGTTGTCGAAAGTAATAATGATACAGCACGTCTCGTTAGCATGATACTAATCTAAAGCAACCGAGAACATGAAACATGCTGGATTATGTTACAATTTAGAAAGAAAGGCATATCAAACATTAGCATCTTTAGTGAAATAAAGAAAATAGAATATAGCAAAGTGTCATCTATAGGTCTTTTCGTATTCCAGCACTTGCATATTGCTGTTTTTCATCGGTTAACGGGACATACATGACGCCCATATGTCTTTTTTCCTCATAGGACCCATCAGCTTTTTTATCGTATGTTATCATTTCTTGACCAAATGTACTACCAACAGGTGATACAAGTCTTCCGCCGACTTTAAGTTGACGAATGAGTTCATGTGGAGTATCAGGCGCAGCTGCGCCGACATGAATTGCATCGTATGGTGCTTCAGTTGCATAACCTTGTCGACCATCACTTTTATGAATTTCTATAATACCTTCGTCGAATAAATCTTTATTATTTTTTTTAATATTAACTATTGATTTGTCAACGAGTTCTTGAATATGATCAACGCCTATTGCTTTACCACCCGGATGAACTAAACGAGCCATGCATGCTGTCAAATATCCAGAACCAGAACCAACATCAAGAACTTTAGCACCTAATCAATGTAAAACCAAAATTAGTCAAAATAATTACAAGGAATAAATACCAGGCTTCAATTGATCTTGAAGAATTTCCAAACCAAAACAATGCATATGTGGAGCACTAATAATGAAAACGTATTAAAAATTTTAAACAATGATTCTTTTTTTTGTATTAGTAAAAATAACTCACCTGATTGTTACCTAGAAATTGTCGAGTTAAATAAAATTCATAGATTGTTTAGAGCCAATCTATATGAACTTACCGCATAACCAACTAGAAAAGAAAATTAAAGTTCATTGATTAAAAAAATTCATTTTTATCAAAAATACTTGGTTGAGGTCGATCATCATAGGCGTCGAATGTACGATCAGTGAAGTCTCCTCGATCGGTTCTTAGCATTGCTTCTTTGATACGTTGACTTTTAATTAAACCATTTCTATATAAATTTTCGATTAATTCTTGATGGGATACACCTGATGAGCGCCACGCCATATTGCTGTTAAATGCTACTATTCGATATGATTGATAAAAAATACTAGAAACAATAATTAACAACGAAAACATATAGGTTAACTAAAGTATCTAAAATAAAACAATATTCCAAAATAGATTTATAGATAGAATGTCTGATTATAGGATGAAAAAAACATAGAATCTTCAATATATTAAACAAAAATCATTCAAAGAATGTTTTTTTACGGAATTTTTAATTAAAAAAAAGAAAAAAACATAACAAATGAATAAATTTTAACAAAAAGTGTATCTAATTATTTTTTCATAATTCTTCTAAGATTTGTAACAAACGATTCAAATTTAACAGTAAACGATAATTTTGCTTTTCGATTATAATCAGGTTTTTGTCCAATATCATTGGCTAATTTATCAATAATTATCGATAAATTTTCGTCATATTGTTTCATTTGTCCAAGAAACTGATAAAATTGATTTGAATATGCACATATTAAAGTATAGATCGTTCCAGCAAGTGTATCGAATAAATCAGATAATGTTGTTGTTGTTATTACAGTTTCTTGTAGAAGATAATCAAGAAAATGTTCTAAATATTTCGATTTTTCATTAGTTTGATTTAGTTTTTGCTGTTTTATTGTATATAATGCTAAACTTTGAATGGTTTCTAAACACATTTTACATATTTCATTGTCATAATTATCAAGACCCGATTTTATAGTTGATAAAAATATGGAATACTGATCTTGATTAAGTAAACGAAATAAACATTCCGAATGTTGTTCACATAATGATGATACAAGTTTATAGTAGCATAAACTAATAGAAGGTATTTTCAATAGATTATCTGATTGAATTAATGGTAAACAAATTATTAAACCATATAGAATAACATCACCGACATTAACTTCTCTACAACAAAAATAAATTCATATAATTCAATATCCACGTCAAATATATATTTGATAATCATAAACAAAAAACTGAGAAAATCATAAAGGTAACGACTGGAGACCGAACAATGAATATACTGACGTTAAGGATCAGTTAGAAAACAAAAGAACTTACGGATTGGATGAATTTTCATTGGAAAAATCAATAAAATCTTTTGCTAGAAGATGATTCAAACAATTGAGTAATGTATAAATATGTGCATTGAAATCTTCATCGGCATTAACTTCTCGTGTCTTTTTACCATAATTACATTTGGTAAATATCTCTAATAATCTTAGTACATATGTATAAAAAGCTTTCGTATGATTTTGATTCAAATATACTAAAACATGTTCAGCATATAAGGAAAATAATTCAAGTATAATTTGTACTTGATCACAATAATTGTGATAAAAATCAAATAAATCAAGTATATATTGCAATGTTTGTTGACTATGTTCAAATAAATATGTTATTTGTTCAGATGAGCAACGTGAACCACCTTCAATTAATCCACAATATGAATTAATTAATGTACTTATTTGACTTAAAACATTTTCAGTATAAAATGTTTGTAATGCATTTGTACAATGAGTTTTATTACTAGTATTTAATTTAATTTGCTCAATTAATGTATGAATTGATTCAACAATCGCTTGTAAACGTTGATTAAGAATTTGAAATATTGAACGATCAAAATGTAAACGACATTCATCCGATGTATTATTTAAACATGAACATGTTATACCTTTAATTAATGAACGTTTATATTCTTCATTTATTAATTGTATAGGCATTTGATTTGTTATAACATCATTTGCTAGAGTCCAAAATAAATCATTTCTTATTATGATCAATGATGAATCTTTTTTCATTGACAATGTTACAAATAGATCGGCTAGATAAAATGCAAAGAGGTATTGAATAAAATTGAAATTTTTGTTGTTTTTGCATTCATACCTGTTTCTTTAATAACATCACTTTCAGATGCCCACATTTGTAAATTTATTACTACTTTTGATAGAAAATAATTTGTTAAAAATTCTAACATTTCACTTCCTTTGCCAAGTAACATTGATAAAGTTTGACTGACTAGAACAAAAAAAATATTAATCAAATCTATTGAAATAGTGAAACATGTTCATTGTAATTAATATTATTTGATAGATAATTTTCGTCAATAAAATAAATTTTTGTAAAGAAATTATTAACTGTTGTAAATGTATCTTATCGTTGAGTAAGTATATTTCTGTCAACTATTCAATAATTCAACTAAAGTTTATGAAATAGATATCGAATTTTTTTTTCTTTCTACAGTTGAATTATATATTTTAAAGTAGTTTTATAATATTGACTGGCATTGAAGTTTTTCTAGATTTAACAAATATAACATGTTCTCAAATATAAAATGGTCTTTTCGATCAGATTACTTTTCTTTATCAATAACGATCAAATATTAAGATTTACCATCTTTATATGATTGTTCATCGAAACCTAAATAATTTGCAGCCAATCGTCGAATAAACCAAGTAAGACTAACAGCAACTTGAACACTAATATATTCAAACTGTCCATGACTGGAAAATAATCGTTCAGTTTCCGATAATTTCAATACAGCTACTAAACTAGAAAAATAAAAACAATCGAATTTTATATTTTTGAATGATCTCGCTTTAAGTTCACCATTGTGTAACAGGGCTAACACCACGCATGATTTCTTCACTTAAATCTAATTGTGATTGTTGAAGTACATGTTGAGCTATTTGAACAGATTTATTTAAATCACAGTATTGAACTTGTTGACTAGAGAAACTCATCACAGCTTCCGGTATTGTTTTTTGTTCATCAGAATCATACTCTTCTGTTAAAACATGACCGGATATCAATAGTAACCAATGTAAATCGTCATTGATTTGATCTAAATTATTTGTATTAATATTTGATGAACTATTATTCATTAGGTCGTATAATTTTTTTGTCCGATCCATTAATAAACGTATTAATAATGGTAGCGAATAATCAATTATATGTCGACCAAACAGACCAATACAGATTAATTGTTCACTAAAAGATATAAAAAAAAACTCGTTTCATTTCAAACTAGTAACACTAATTTGTCGAGGTCATTTTCTAAAAGCTCTGATAACTCCAACATATAGCTAAACGTAATTCAACAGAGTTTCTATTAGTCAATAAACACTGTGAGTAGCGTGGAGAATTTTTTTTTCATTTGAAAGAGATGTAAGTTTAAAATTACAATGTAGTCCTGTAGAGAAAATAAGTAACGTCTATTAGAACTGCAAGTCTTATTGAATCTTTTTTTGCACGACAAGGCATTCACGCAATAGTAAAATTCATTCGTGTTTCTATATTGTTCCTTTCTTAATATATACAAAATAAAAACATAGGATATGTAGAGAAATTCAATTCATCCATAATAAAATACAAATGTTTTTTTTTCTTAAATGAAAGTTTCATTTACCTAAATAAATCTCTATCATCTTCGTCATTGTCATTATCAATTAAGTCCAAATCATTTGCTTCATAATTATCATTAATATTTAGATGTGTTTGAAGAAAAGTATCAAATATTTCAATTGCTAATGATCTTAAATTAGCAAATCTTCCGAAATCAATTCCATATAATAATCTTGACCATGCCTGTAATAAACGGTCAAATGTTTCTTTTCCTATGGTTGGATCTTCAATAATTTTATCTAATTGATTATTCGACGATGTTGTTGTTGTTGTACGACATAGAAGTACCGTTATTTGTGACATTAATTGTAAAAACGAATTACATAAATCATTATTCATTGAGCAAAAGCCTTTGACAGTAAATAATGTTATTAAATTTGATATTATATTTGACAGATCAAAACATTCAATTAAATGAATTGTTAATGTTGAATTGATTAGAAATGTTTGAACAAAATAATATGAAAATGTTGTTAAATAACGTAAACGACATTGTTCATCACTAACTAAAGAACCATTTAAACAAGCCAACTGAGAAAGGCATCTGAAAATGAAATATTATGAAAAATAAAATATGCAGAAATAAATGTTTTCCTACCGAAGTATCTGGCAACGACGTTGTAAAATAATTTTAGTTTCATTCTAAAATAATAGAGTTATCCTAATTCTGTTTTCGAATTAAATTAAGATTAATATTACCAAAGATTTGAGTGTAACATAGATATGAAAAAAAAATTCAACAAGTTGCTGATCAAAAACTAATTGTTTCCAACTAACTGGTGGCCTCCAATCAATAGTTTCCACATTATTCGATGATTCCATATGACGACGTGCATTTGGAAATGATGATGAAAAATTCCACAGTAGAATTTTTTCAATCGCTGTTAATATTGATGAAAATAATGAATGGTCAGATGAAGATGAATTGGATATTGATGAAAGATTGCTTTGAAGTTTATTTAATAGTAATTCAAAAACTGTTTTTAATTCATTTTCTTCGAAATCGCGTTTTACGGAATGACGCTGCTCCACAGTTAATCCAGCTTCATTAGCTAAGAAACAAAAATATATACAAAAATTATTTAGATAATGAAAAACAAAACAATTGAACATATTATGTAATTGATGAGACAAAAACAAGATTGTTTTTCTTTTTCAATTATTAATGATGAAAGGTCTTGGAGATCAATATTTTATTGAATATGATAGTAGTGCTTTTAAGAAGATCTTCACATTGTCTATTCTTCGAAACATAGATCTTTATCCTTTCTGAATGTTGAATTATCTCATGGAAAGAAAAATATCTAGATATAATATTAGTTAATCTTTTGGTTGGTCAATGTATTGAAAGTATATACTTCGATTAAGTCACTTTATAATTTCGTATATTCTACAAACTGGTATGACTCATAAATTATTTAGTAATTTAATACTTAATCTCTAATTAAATGTTTGAAGCGTCATTCTACGACAAAATTTTTAGCACAAGCTATTTTAAAACATAATAAAAGTATTCCCTTCGCGAATCCGATTACGACAGAGATGTTGAAGATTAATTCATAAGGTAGCGCGGTAGTACTGAAATTTATCGATTATAAAAGTCCGAAAACAGTAGACGATGTTCACAGGTATCATATTCTATTTTTTTTTCTAATAGTTCTACCTTCATGACATTTATTGATTACATTCCTACTTTAATATGTATATAATATTTCATTGAAACTGAAATTTTCAATTTCGACAAACTCTTAATAACAACTCAGCATATTCTCATTTGACTATACGAGATTCGATTACAACGGTTATTCTCCATAACAGATTATATTCAAATCTAATTTATGCTAAAAATATGAAAAACTCGATTTTAATTTTAATTTCATAATTTTTTACTGGCACGTCAATTCTAGTATATATCTATAAAATAATAAATTATGTCTAACAACACATGTAATTCCTGATTCTTTCATCAAATAGTTTTTTTTTCTTTTGTTTGTTATTGTTAAAGTCTTCAAATTATTTACCATTACTAAAACTATATTCATTAATAAATGCATTAAGTAATGTTAAACCGAATTGAAATTCTTGATTATTGGCTGACTGTAATAAATTGCTCAATGCTAAACTAACAGTAAAACCATTTTTAGCTATTTGTGCACGTTGTGCTTTTCGTCGTTTATTAATAACAACTAATATTTGTAACGCTTGTTCTCGTACATGTCCAGATAATGTTGAATAATGTGTATAAACATATGATAGAAGATATTGTACAACTTGTTCTTTTAATGCATCATCTAATGACGACCATTCTTTGACAATACCTTCACGGAGTGCAGTTAATGTTTGATAAACAACATAACTTGATGATGAATGTTCAATTAAATAACGATACAAATCAAGTGAAAATTGTGAGCGACGAAATTGTAAAAAAACCTGAACAAAAAACAAAGAACATCCTTTCAATTGAAGATATTCCACAAAAAGAAATATTTTAAATGACTTTTTCAGCTTCACGCCGTCTTTCGTTTGTAATTGTGTTTGCAGCTGATAGAAATATTTGAGCAGCATCTTCAAGTACTTGACGAATATTTTCCAGATCCATATTTTTCAATTTTATTTTTTCCTGAATAATAAGTGAATGCAGCGCTTTTAACAGAAATCTAAAACACAGTACATTTAGGTACTTGGCTTCTATTGTCAAAGTGTTAGGTGGTACTTTGTGATGAACAGCAAAGTACCCAAAGTGTCAACAGGAAGAAAGTTAAGAAAAACAAAGAAAAAATATATGCTATTGATCATTTTTAATTAATAAAATGTTTCGGTACAAAAGACTTGTAGATCAAGATAAAATACACATATTCATCTGACAAGCTTAAATAAACATTTTTCTGAATGAACCTTTAGTATTGTGTATACAAAAACAACAAATAAAGTACAATTTACTATTGTTCTTCTTCTTCATGCATGTCGATGCAATCTTCGCAAAACCATGTAGTTGATTCAGTTGAAATTCCTAATTTAATTGTTGATATGAGTGCTCTATTTTCATTAGATAAATCCAGTATAATTTCTGTTTCAACTTCATCAATAATAACTAATTCTTCTTGATCTGAAATTTTGTTATCATTAACAAGTAAATCAGATCGATCATTTTAAAGCTTTTCACTCTGAAAATTATCAATATTAATATTAGCCGTTAATAATCTTTGACTGGATGATTTATCAAGATTTGTTGGTTCCATCATCATCATAAATCGAATCATGCATACTAGATAAAGGAGAGTAAATAATAATATTACTGCACTCACCTAATTTTTTTTTACAATATATTAAATAAATCAGTTCAATAAATAAATATAAATTAAAGAAGAACCAAAGCTAACTAATAAATAAGAACCAGTAAGTTATCTACAAGAGCAAGGTTCAATTCAATATCTAGAAAAAGAAAAGAAATTTCAATAATGAATTCAATCAAATTAAAAAATACTTCTTAGCTTCATCTATAAATACAACAGAATGTATAAACAAAAGGAAAGATAGGAAATTTTAAACAATGGCTATCAAATAAACAAAGTGCTTTTTTATTTTACAGAGTACCACCAGAGTATTTTGTTCGTCCGAGAAAAGTGCAAAGCACAGTACTCTTTCAAAATCGTAAGTACCCCGGGTACTTTGCTTTTCGTTGCGGTACTTAATATTAAAACTACTGAGTGAATACTTGTTTTGTTTTATTAGACAATTAACCATTAACCAATCAAATGGCCGTTTAGCGCCATCTGTCGATTAGTTTTTTTTCTCTATCTGATGATTCATTCTTCTACTCCTACAGACATGGCTCCAAGTGTAAATGGTGAATCAACTGTATTTCACAAATGAGAGTTAAAGTTTATTAAGTTCATCTAAAGATAGAACTATTCAAATTGGGACAGTTCATTCACAAAATTTTCAATTTTCACTTAATCAACATTCAAATCACAGATTCCGGAAATCGCGTTTGAGTCAACACTTGGATTACCCATAACCATTGGATAAGCCTGGTTATTGTGACTTTCAATTTTCTATTATATATTGATACAAATAAAAACTTTAGTCCGTCAATGTAATGAGTGTTTAAACGTGTAATATACCAAGAATGATCGTTGTGTAGCCTATGAAATAAAAATATACATATTGTTTCAAAAGCCTTTTGTAAAAGTAAAAATATCTCTGACACAGTTGAAGTAGTTTCTATTTATTTTTATAAGATGATAGCAAATTTTGTGAACTTTTATTCAGCATACTTCTCGATATATGCTTGTGTCTATACAAATAAGGATTAGAATAATTTCCATGTCGTCTTGATTCGGATCACATACAATCATAAAACCAAAATTCTTCATTGTATCAAACAAAGAAATGAAACTAATATACTCCTGCAGAGATTAATAACGTTCTGAAAAACCTTTACAAATTACAGAAGAAAAAGTGAAAGTAAACGAAAACTGTAGAGTACTGGACTAAATCAATCACGAGAAAGTATTCAACATTTTACAACGTCTGGCTGATTTCCACGAACAATTTATAGAATCGATAGATATATGATGAACAACGAACATGGAAGAATCTAGAAGGTGAAATCTACTTCGACGACGGAAATAGCAGAAGAAGAGAAAATGTACTCATGCACTGAAATCAAGAAAATTGTACGAACGAAAATACTTGAAGTGACCAACTAGAATACAAGAATAAACAATACTCCTTGTCATTAAGGATATATGAACCTACTTTTATACCAATATCAAATGATGCATGTGAAAATCATTTTAATGATTAGTGATGAAACAAAGACATTTAATAATATATATAATTCGTACAAATTTTCCGTTTCATCGATTTCGTTCATTTATAAATGAAAATATTCAACAATTAACTTTATTTTATTCCGTATTAACAAATCGAAATAAATCTTCCTCACTTCTGCAAATCTCTAAACAAATAGCTTCATCATTCAGTGATAGACATCCACTTATACGCCAAACTCAAGCAATTGATCCCACTGAACCAATTAGTCCATAATGCAATAATAAAATATGAAAAAGAACAAGCCTATTAACAATATTCGATAAAAAAAAACTATTGTGCACGAACATTTATGTTTATGGTTATTACGAGATTTATTTCAAAATCGTTTATTACCTTCATTACGAATATTTCAATCAAATAAAAATAGTTTAATATTAGAAAATAATTTTCGAAAAATTTTCCCACAAAAATTAAAACGTTCAATAAAAAAAATTATTAAATTATATGTTATATTTCGTTTAATTAAAGATGATATATCAAATCAAGATATTTATATAAAACTTTAATTAGAATTAGCTTATATATTTCTTGATCAATTATCAATTGATATTAATAATATGAAAATATCTGCAGAAATTTTTGAAAAATTTGCAAAAGATATTATTAAATTAAATAGTACTCCAGGAAAGTAAATTAAAAATACGTTCCGAAAAATTTAGACATTGGATGTGAGTGTGTGTCTTGACTCCACCCGTACCCTCGATGCAGAAATATTTCCCATATTCCGGAAAATAAAATTCAGCACTCTACGACGAAATCGCAAAGCTGAGCTATAAAGGAAATACTGAGACCTATCGCTTTTGTGGCAGAATTAGGCGCACTAGGTCTATGAGTCATGCAAGTATAAACTATATTAGTTTTCATAGATTCATTGATAAAGAACTATTCTGCTCATGGTTTGTTTTACAAGTTGTACGCTGTACTGAACTTTCTGTTTTCTAATTAATAAATGATCTGTGAATATGGACCAACAGATCAAATGTAATAAACAAGTCTTTATCATGGAAACAGTCCAATAAATTATTTGCTCGAAAAAGATATTAAGGTATAACAGATAAAATGCGGAAATAAAGCATATTCTTTTAATCAGATTCGAAGTCGAATATGATCGAATTCAAATGAACATTTTCTTATTCCTTTCGATCTCTGGTTCTTAATGATATGCGTTACTGCTGTCTATCAGAGGTTCTACTTTGTCGCGCAAGGCAAACGGAAAGTTTTTTCATTTTCTTTTTAAATAACATTTTAAATGATAGTGAACTCAAAATCAAAACAAAACAAAATCTTCTTTCACTATGTTCTGAATTTATTATTGAATGATTTGTTAGTTTAAATCGGTCCATCTCCAAACTGTATTATTTATTGGGTTCTTGTACGTTTTTTACATTAAAACGATGTTCATAACTTTTGGTTTCTGACTCTCCTCTACTTTAAGGTATTTTATTAAATTCAACTAAATAGATCAGCTTCAAACTTATGATTAACAATTTATTTATTTGTTATAAAGTTGACTCGTCCATCTGACTCAATATAAAGCGAATGAGACTATAAAACTAGTTATCTGCTGTCCATCAACTCTTTTTAAATGAATGGAGATTATTGGGCATGTGTTTTGAGCCTATCAAGATAACACCAACTCGTTCACAAATTGCAGCTTATATGAAAAGAATTGATCATTCATTCTTTTGCTTTAATTTTGACGAACAAATAAAATTATGAAATATCACAAATTTGACTTATTCTTATGTGACAGTAGACTACTAATTTATCTAAAATCTCTAATTATCAATTCCTGTTGGAAATATATTGTTTCATTGGAAAGAATTCTCTGAAGGAACGTCATTGCAGAATCAATATATTGTGGTGCAGAACATTTGATTTATTTGCCTCGTTGATCCATCCAATAGTACGAACTTCAATTGAATGAAGAAGAAATTTTATTTACAACAACAAAGGAAAATAATGATGAAATTCTTCTGGGCATACCATTGACATTGAACCAAATATAATATGTTGCAACCTGGAACAGTTAGAACGAGCAGCATTATTTGTGAAATTGTCTGTTACGATCACCAAATCTTCATATTTAATATATAATGTATTAAGACACGGTAGATGTGTATTGAAGTCGAGAAGAAATTGTGTCACATAATTGATATAACATCCATAAAGACAGAGTGTCATAAGATGGGAAAACTCAATAATTGAAGATGCTTGTTCATCTTGTTGATGTATTAAGTTCTTTGTTTGCTTGGCTATATTAAATATTGTCAAATTATTTAATAATGGAAAATCTCGAGAGATTCGCCAACAGAAATCATGTTCAAATGGACGGACGAAATCTTGCACATATAAGTAACGAACAGTCAGGGATAAATCACCATGAAATTTACTTGAATGCGTATACATGCGGTCCATAGCGAACGGAAGCGAGTAAATATGACATTGACCATTGTTAAATGCACTATAATCAGTATAACAGTTAACATTGTATTCTCTTTGGATAAGCGCACGTTTAACGTCGTCAGGTGTTGGTAACAGTTCTTCGTCCATTCTAACATTATAGGTGATGATGTTGAAGATAAATGTATGTAGATATGACATTTTACTAAGAATATCATTAACCAGATGAGTTCCATCGATGAATGAAGTTCGACAACGAACAATAAGGGACAATGCATATTTTTCTAATTGTGACATTTGACGAAGGCATGGTACAATTTGATTATCATACTCAATTGTTTGACGAAATGAAATTAACGAGAAACCTTTTTTAATTAGATAGAATTTTCTAAAAAAAATAACATAAATATTAAGTGATGTCAAATTGATTACTTAAACAAGAGTAGATATAACCATTATTGAGATATTCGTCATATTCTCTGTTATTCATCCTTTCATAGAAAACTGATGAAACTGGAAATAGATTCTGATGTCCAAAATCATTTATCATAAGATTAAAGTTTCAGAATTAATTGTCAGAGAAATATTTTTTATCATTCAATACTTTATTTCTTTATTTGATACGCTTTTGCAGTATATATAACAGTAACAGAATGTCAAGTCTTTACTAATATTGACAATTACATAATCTTTTTTCGTCAAAAAGTGATTTCAAAACTTTGTAAAATAGCAAGAAAAAATCAAAATAGTTTACTCTCATATAAACATTGATCAAATTATTTTCTTGATGAAACCAAATGTCAACGAACTCTTTGAAATGAATTGAAGATGGCGAACGACAATATTAGACTCACATACTCTTACAATAAAATATTTCTTCTAATACGTTAAGTCTTTTCTTTCTCTCGAATAATGTCGAATTCATTGAAAAAAGTTTCTAGTCACTGATTTCACATTCAATAAAATAAACTTCATGTTTTTATATTTATTCATACTTTTACCACACTATTTTCACTCATACAAGTGATTCATCAATCTATCGAAAATCGACATGAACGAAGCATTTCACTGTGATTTAAAATATTGTACCGTATAATTGATAATCATTGATGTATTATAAATGTAATCAACTTCGACAATAAAGGTTAATAGTTGACTAAGACGTTCATCAAGTAAAGAAAGGCAATCACCAAAGTCGCGCACTCTAACATTCAAATGAGCAATACTTGACGAATAACATGTTGTAGATGGTAAATACCGGCAAATGTCTTGTAAACCAATGTGAAGATAAGTCAAATTTGTAAACATTATAAAAATAGCGGCAAAAACATTTGTCGATAATATCCTTATATGCTCACCTGTACTGCCATCATTAATTATAATAGTAAGATGTGAAATCTGATGTTTAAATATGTCAATAATTGATGACTTCTCTAAATATATACACTACATTAATTAATTGTCTTGCTTTTCTCTATTAGTAGTTTTAAAAAATGAGAAAAAAAAGAGGGCAACATACCATTGAAAATATGCGACACCGCTTTAAGTTGAATATTAACAAGAATAAACTTATGGAGTTTAGGATAATTTCCAATGCGAAGAACACGATCTATTGGTAATGAATCAAGAGTAAAACATTCAATATTGTGTTGAATTCGTGGATTATATCAACATAAAGTCGATCCAGTATTGACTTATTTCTTGTGTCGTTATGCTCATTTGATGATATTGTCACTAAATCAACAGATTGTGTACACGTAATGTCTCGAGCCAATCTATCGAGTTTTTGATTGACTCCTATGAGTGAATATAATACATCAATATTATTGAGTTTGTTGAAAATAGCAAGCAACATCTCGTCGCATAAACTAAGGATATTAACAGTTGAATGGTGCATATTCAATTATAAATGGCAAATATTCCGTATCCATTCTTACATATATATATCTTTATGTTCATTCTGTGTCATATCTGTCGTCGTCAACAATGACAAGCATCAAAAATGGCTAACGGTCAACCAACATGGTTGAAGTAGAAGTTGTTCTGTTTTCAAAACAAACTATACCATCTTGCAAAACACACTTTTCTGCATAAGAAACTCTATTTTGATTGGTTCGACAGCATAAGTGAGGCTGGAAAATATGACCGAAACGGATTACTGGTCACCAGGATCTAGGCTTGATTTGGAAGTGCTTGTCAAAATGTAAATGAGAGACACGAAAAGAAAGGAGTAAACATGAAGTGTCACGTAGTATTTTGTAGAAAAATGTTAGGACTTTCTTTATGGCTGCATCGAATTTTTCCAGATCAATGTTTTGTTTCGAAAAAACGAACTAAAAACCTTCATATTTTTCATGTCTGTGCGTTACCAGAAAGGGCTCTTAGTTTATCGCATCATGAGATTAAAACAGTTTTCTTAATTTTGATCAATGGCCTATCGTCAACTTTTTACGAGCCATCCGATGAGCCAATTGGTTTCATTTCATCTCTCTTCTTTGACTCTGCAAATTGGGTAACACACAGACATTTTTCCTGTTGCCACTCAACATAATCAATATGCACCTCGTAAAACTTCATATTCTACTATGAATTACTTTTTTCGAATGAATACGTGGGTAATTTGGTGTGCTATACACAATAGTGTCCTCAGAATTATCTGGATCGAAAATCTTCGATTGGTCTTCTTTGGGTCTGATATTCAAATTTCCAACCCAAACGTGAGTTCCAAGCAAAATAAACCCTTGAATCATGATCAGCGTATCCGATTACCCATGATCAACTATTTTTAATAAATAAATAGTTTGATTGATATAAAATTCGCTCGGAACAGACATTTTTTTCCAAAAAGATATGTCTGTGTGTTACTTCCAATTTTGTTAATAGCTCACTCATTTTTCAATGTATTCATATTTTCTCTTCAGTCAAAGATACTCCTGAATCTAAGCTACAAAACTCTTGTTTGCAAAATTCATTAGCGCGAAGCAATTCGCAGGATTTATCAGTAATTACACACCTACTAGAAACCGAGGGCTTTTTTGTCTGTGCGTTTCAGGCTAGTATTTTACTCATAAAATCTGAACAGTTATACGGTTAAGGCTCAAACTTTGAACTACTACAGAACTTGTTTACGTAAGTATTTGTTAAAAATAACAACTGTTTTACTCTAACCATTCTGTAGATACACTTGTTCAAAGTTGAAAAAATGTCTGTGCGTTACCTGCGTTTCAGCTGCAATATTAAATAGCTCGATGTTGAATATTGTGACCGCTGATAACAGTCAAGTTTGTTCATAAATGAATAATGATGTTTCGAGAAAAGAGCTTATTCATTTTTTTTTCAATATGCGTTTTATTCGTTATCAACCCGTTCCTATGAATTATAATTATTATCTACAGTCAATTCATTAAGCGAAGCATTATTATCTTCGTTAAATGTCAATATAAATGGCTTTATTGTTTTGTTTTAGTAACATAAGCTATCAAAAACAATTTGTCAAAACTGCGGAATTAAAAACGTTTTTTGAGGGTTTTTGACGTTTTACTGCTTAAACTATTTTGAGTCTATCTTCACCAAAACCAAAGGTTTTCAAAAAAAGTTTCTTTATCAAATTGCTAAAAACTGAAAATCTCATCGAAATCGGAGATCTATTTTGTATGCTATGGTTGAGATAAATGTCCATGCAAATATTCACCATTGTCCGTTTAGAGCACAGTCAAAATGGTGAAGAATAACTTTTATTTCTCTTATTAATAATTTTAATTTGTTCCCAAGATTGATAATGATTTACTAGTCAAACACAAAAAGATTAGATACAAATATTAACTAGGCTGATTTTCAATTTCGCATACTCTATTTAGCGTAGAAGAGTCGAAAAATCATCTATTCTCATGAAATTCAATGAGCTAAAAGTTATACTAGGTACATCTATCGGCAATTCTATGACATATACATGCATATCGGTAAAGTATGGACTACACTCTGCATTCTTTTTGGTTTAATGGCACAAGTTACCTGCTGTCAAATTCGGGGGAAAAGTCCAAGTAAACAATATTTTTTTTTTCTTTTGGACTTATTTATATAATATTTAAATATTTAGATGACCTTGACATTATATTGAAGAATTTACATGAAGAATTAAATTCGTTAAATATAGGAAGAAAAGATTCCAATAAAATTGAAAATATTCGAGAATCCATTGCACATGTACATATTGTTCAAAATCAAACAATAAAAGAAAATTTAAGAGAATTTTATCATGGAGAAAAATATAAACCAAAAGATTTAAGACGAAAGCAAACACGAGCAATGAGACGTTCATTAACACCTAAAGAAGAATCAATAAGTTTAGCTAAAACACAAAAAAAGAAGCGAACTTTTCCTAAACGTACATTTGCTGTTAAAGATTAAGATTTAATAAAAATATGCTATAATCTAATAAACCAAAAAAGAGAAAAAGAAATTTAAATGTTTTTTTATACATTCTAGATATTACGTTATGCCAAAAAAGAAGGAAGTTTCCCTTCAAAGTAATATTCCAGGAAAATTTATTCCACGAGATGATACACCATCAGCATCTGGTTTGTATTCAAATTATAGTAGATATATTTGATAAAGCTAGAGAAACTAGAGTTCTTTTTTTTTTTGAAAGTTCACATAGATTATATAGTAATAATAATTATAATAATATTTAACGTAAATAATAGTTCGAATAAATCTCTATATCAAATAGGCTTTCGATCTGGTACTAATAAAAATAGATTTAATTCTAAAATGGTTGAATTACTTGCTTCTTCCGAATCATCAATAACATCTTTGCCAACACCAATGAACAATGGCAATGAACATATTTCAAATGTAACAAAACCATCAACAAATGATCCAACACAATTAAATTCATCTGAAGTGACAGCTATCGATTCATCACGTATTCATTCAAGATTATTTCATCGACGCATTGTAACAATGCTTGAAACATTAAAAATACGAGGTGGCAATACTGGAGCTGCATCACCTCCAACAGCACCGAAACCTTTACCATCATATATTGAACCTATATCACAGCCAATTACATTTGGTCAATTACGACAGGCAACAACATCATCTACATCACATCAAATGCATGCTCCAACAGTGACTGAAGAAATTGTATCTCCGAGAGTTCTATCAACTCGATCGTATACAAATTTAACATCAACACATGCTAATGATGATAAACAATCTTATCATACAAACGTTAAATCCTTGATTATTGATGCACAATCAGATTTAAAACCAGTGGCATCTTCAGTACCAATAAATAAATCGACTTCTAAACATCAAGCAAATAAAGAACGTCTTTATTATTCACCGTCACTTGAACAATTGCTCGAGCAACATAATGTTGTTCCAAAAGTACAACAACGCGATGAATCTAAACAAGAACCAAAGATACAAGATCATCATTATCATCATCATCATCATCATCAACAACAACAACAACAACAAAATTCAAAATCACCATTAACAGTCGATGAAATTCTAGCAACTTATTATTCTAAAATTAAAGTATCAACAACTATCGAAACACAACCGCCACCAGAAGAAACATCGGTTCATTCAAGTAATAATAATAATAATAATAATAATAATAATATGAGTTTTTATATGCACCCATCACCATTAATATGGAATACTTCTCAAACTAATCAACTACTTATGTCTCCATCTTCAGCTCCACCGCCGCTTCTATTAAATGAACAAAGTAGAAATCGGCCACCGCCTCCATCTTATTCAGTTAGCGTTGCTAGTGGTCATCGACCACCACCATCAGGTATGAATAAGTTATTCATTCCTGAAAATATGTATTCTTTCTGTATTAGCAAATAGTCTAGGTCAACATTTGCTTCGTCCTTCTGCACCCTCGTTGATAACGAAACAGATGTATACCGAATCTCAGATGACTCAACATCTGTTACCAGTGAATTCATATGGGACTCTTCCAACACCTCTTTCATCGATTATGGCGAATACTTCAGTTCGACCACCTCCTCCATCTTATGAACTACCAACATCAAATATTGAACGTTCACGTTCAGCAGTATCATCAATGAATCGTCCAAATTATTCTCCCATGAGTCCACCACAAGCTGGTTTTGATCGTGAATTTTCTCGTCTACTTTATGGTAAAGATGGTGGGAGACGTCGAAATCAAAAGCGTAAAGCATTCAGTGATCCTGTTAAGTAAGAATACGTACATAAAATTTTCGATGAGCCTAACATAGATTTTCGAAGGCAACACTGAGTAGACATCTTATATGATTTTCGTTCTTCTATCGTATGAATGTGTAAACTGTAAGTTCAAATTCATTGAAAAAGCTCTCATAGCAATTACAAGTACAGATCAGTTGTTTAAATATTGTTATCAATCACAATTACGCTATTTTGTTTTATACATTAAACAGTTTATAACAATTTGATTATATTGGAAAAGGATTAGAAGAAAACAAGAAAATTTTTATTGTCGTATTTGACATATTTCAAATAATAAATAATATTTTCTACCTCATGCGGAATACGTGAGTCTCATATGTCAATCATAAAGAGCCGATGTTAATAATGTTCAGTCAATTACATGTTCTACTTTTTTTTACTAGAAAAAGTGTTGAAGAAGCAGGCCAATCAATGGAAAAAATGCATCGTCGACTAAAGACTCATCTAAATACAACTGATACGGTTAATGAAGAAGAAGAAAGTTCTAATGATTCAGCTGATACTGATAAACGAGAAAAATATTTACGTAAACAAACACGGCTTCAACGACAATCAGAGTAAATTTAAGAGAAACATTAAAAACGAAACAATGGTTAACGTTTTTTCTTTTCTTTTAGTTTTCCTGTAAGTAACCGCGAGTCGGCGAAACAACCTATTGTTCCTCCAAATCCATTATTAAAACGGCCAATTCCATCATTTTTGCAAGTTTACTCGCAAGCAGCATCAAATAAGGATATGATTCTTCAATGGAATCTATTCAGCTTACCTGAACTTGAGTCGTTCGATACTATGATGACTAAATTGTATAGAGATGAAAATTTTGTTCGTGTGCAGTTATTTGAAAATTACCGAGCATTATTAACATTAATATTAGAATCGAAGAAACGATACAATAGAGTTCATAGCGATGAAGATGAAGATGATAGTGTAATAACAACAACCGCTCTGTAATTATGAAAACTTCGTCCGGTGCTCTAATATTTTTTTATCGCTGTGTTTTTATAGTGAAAAAATTATATCGTAATAATTATTTTGTAATTTTTTTGATTTGTTTTTCTAGATAAATGAATTTTATTGAAAATCTCCTTAAAAATAATTCACATGTTCATGTGCATAATGATAAACTCGCTTATGTTGAACAAACTATTCGCTCATTAATCAGTGATGGACGAAAAATGCTACATGTTGTAGCTGACTTTGATTATACATTAACTATGTATGAAAAAGATGCAGTTATTTTACCATCGACGTTTGCTGTTATTGAAAGTGATGATCGAGTTAAAGTAAGAGTTTAATTACATTTTTGTTTTAATATGCATTTACTATTTCAATAGTGCTAATAAGATGATATCATCTGAAAGAGAAAGTTTCATCAAGATTTCTTTTGCATCATATGAATAGCAGAATATTCGTTCAAAATTCTACAATGAAGTATGCATTTCATTTTCTCTTTCGAAAATATTTATTGACCGATTCAAAAGCAAATAAAAGATAAATAAACGTATCTAGCAGATATTGATAAGAGAGTGAATATAAAATTCCATCTTCTAGATTTCTACTCATTTTGTAGATATAAATCAATTTGAGCTAAAGTAACACGATGACGAAATGTGACAAATATTTAGTACTGTTTAGACGATCACTCTATATATACAACCATTACGAGTACAATATGTTTGAAATAAAAACAATATGAATTCTTCGTTGTCAAATATTTATTTTTGAAAGCGCTTGAATGAACTAGATATATCAGCTACTCAATCGAAGAAAGTGTCAAGCAAATCTCATTGATTTTCCCTTCATTTCAATTGATTAATCGTATTTTAAGTTTTTAGTGAATATATTTCAAGCTTTTTGCTTATTATTTTTTATACAAATACCGGTGCTGATTATATGCCAATGATTAGAAAGAGACAAAATTCGTTTTGCAACATCGATAGTTAAATTTTAGTGAAGAACGAATTAATCAATAAAATAATCTTAAGTTTGATTTTATTTAGTTACCTGATGGTTCATTACTGCGTGTTCAAGCAGATCAATTGCGTTCATATTATCAGTCAATCGAACATGATGTCTGTATGAATATTGATGAAAAAATTCCTCATATGATTGAATGGTGGCGGAAAGCACAAGCTCTGCTTTTGTTATCAAATCTAAATCAACCAATGATACGCGCTCTAGTTTATAAATCAAAATTGGAATTGAAAAAAGGAGTAAAAGAATTTATTACAGAACTATTACGTAGTGAAACGCCGATTCTTGTTTTCTCAGCTGGTTTAGGTAAATATATTCTTTTTGATTGATGATTCTGATAGATAATTATTCTGTTTTAGGCGACGTTATTGAAATTTTTCTTGAAAAAGAAATCCCTGAATTTGCACTTAATCATGAATTATCACAAATTATTTCAAATTTTATTCAATACGATACCAATGGAAATTTAGTAGCGTTCAGTAAAAAACTTATTCATTCATTTAATAAAAATGAACATGAAATTCATGATACGCCGTACTTCAAATCTATTTTAAATCGGCCAAATGTTATTCTATTAGGTGATACACTTGGCGATGTTGGCATGATCGCTGGTATGAAAAATTTAAAACAAATACTCAAAATTGGATTTTTAAACCGTAGTACACCTGAAAAATTAGAAGTTTATAAGAGTGCTTATGATATTGTTGTCAGCGATGATCAAACCTTTGACATACCTAATTTTATTTTAAAAGCAATTTAGAAGAAATCTATGTTTTTAGTCATATTTTTAGTAAAAATATTAATAAAAATTGGTTTTCGGAAAACAGTATTTAATTAACCTTCCTTTTTTTTCTAGATCAATGCATGTAGAAAAAAATGTTCGCACGCCGACATTGTCGCTGTTGATAAAAATGTAAAACAATAAATGTTTACGTGTTTCTTAGCTTTTCTAATATTCGTTTTTTATCCAGTTTCAAACGATGGATTGTTACGATGATTATTGTGATAGCTTCGTTGATTTCACTAAGTCCGGTTATTCTTCGTTTATATGGAGATGTTATTTTAACTAAAATGTTTTTTCAAACTTGGTGTAAATATTATCATTATTTCGTTGAATTTTAACTATATTTAGCTCTTTTGAATAGCTCGATATTATCCATGGATTGATTTGACGAAACCAGATGCATTCCAATTGAATGCTGTCAATGTTTATGAACAAACAGACTCGAATGTTAAAGTTGGAATATGGTAAGTTCGGTTCAAAGCTCCGAATGGAAAGAGATGGGAATATCTCATCCTATTTGGAGCTAAGATTGGGTCTAGTTTATATTTAGACTACCAAGATCAAGAATCGGCGTTTTTTTCTATGTACAACATAAATAGGAGCTAGATATAGGCCATTTAATTAGCATTTAAATCTTTTCTTTTCTCAAGACAAATATATGCTTTGTACACATATGGTAATGTAAAAACATATTCATTCGTAAACGAAACAAATATAGACCAATTTGAATATAGTAATTGATTCAATTGTTTAAAAACAGAGCAAAAAAGAATTTATCAGTCAAAAATATGATTAATCTACTTCTGACTAGATCAGACAACGAGTATGACTCACGCTAATGCATAAGCATGTTTTAAGAATTTTTCGAAATCTTAACTTCAAAGTCAATTTCAATGCCGATTTCTCTATTATCTAGGTATATATTACCATCCACTGTCGCAATTGATCATAGTTTACCAACACTTGCTGATCATCTCAAACAATATATAAAATCCACTGACTTTCCTATCATTATATATTTGCATGGACAAGATGGTACAAGGTGAATGAATATTAGAATCAAAAAATTAAATTAAATAAAACATCGATTTTAGAGCAACACATTATCGCTCAAATCATTATCGAGTTATGAGCGCTTTTGGTAATCACATAATCACTCTTGATTATCGTGGTTATGGAGATTCAACTGGCACACCAAGTGTACACGGTTTTATTCATGATGTAATACATGTTTTTAATGTAATTCGACAAGTTTGTCCTGAAAATCCGATAACTCTATGGGGTCACTCGATGGGTACTGGTGTTGCATTATGGACGATGCGTACTTTACTTCAAAATAACCCTCGTATAGAAAATTCTTTCTTTTAAGAATGAAATTTTTATCTGCTTTAAATATTACAGCTTTAAAACAACCATCAGGTTTAGTACTCGAGGCACCATTTTACAATACTGTTGAAGCTCTTGTTTCGTATCCGATTACGAGAGTACGTATTTTGTTGATTTAGCTACAAATTTGAATGACGTTCTTTTTAGGTATTAAAAATGAATCCGTATTTTATGCAAGCTGCGCTTGATTCTTTAGCAGCGGTGAAAATCAATTTTCCAAATAATGAAATGTATATAAATAATAAAAATTTACCCATGCATTAATGAAATTTTTCTTACTTCAAGTATTTCATTGCTTCCGTTGCCAATTATAATCATTCATTCTGAAGATGATGCTATTATACCTTACCATCATGTTCAATTGGTACGTATATTGATAGCCATTTTCTTTTGTCAAAGCAAGTCCATCATGTTTTTTCTTTGTATTCAGATTGAAGATTATATCAGCATTCATCGTGATAAAAACTTTCCTGCCATTCGTTTCATAACTGTTCCACGTTCAGCAAATTGTGGACATAATCATATTTATTCATATCCAAAGTTTGAAGAACTAGTTAGGTAAATGAAGAAAGAAAGTGATCGTCCTATTAAGATGAAATATGTTTGTTTTTCGTTTTAGTGACATTTCATTCCTGAGAGCTTTATCATTATCTTAAAAATCTGAACTAAAATTATCAAATATTTTGTAAAGCATAACTCAACTAATTGAAGAATCTCTTTGTCTTTTTCTATTAACTATTTTTTTAATGAAAATTCATGTCTATTTAGTTTTTGTCTTAAATTCGAAACATTAAAAAGTATTTTTTTGTATTGTAGATTCTTTTGTCAAATATGACTGAACAAAGTCCGAGTCGTAGGTGGCCAAAATTTCGGTAAACTACTTGAAGCAAATGTTGATAGATTTTTATGTTTTATTTATTTTCGTTTTCAATTAGTACAATTTTCACTAAAATCAGTCTTAGCATAGCTGGATTATATATACTAGTTTCATTGATTTTACCAATCATTCTTATTGTTCATCCAACGAGTATTGGTCATATTGTATTTTTGAATTTTCGTAAGATATAACATAATTCTATATAAATACTGACGATTTGTTTTCTGTCTAGTTAAGCCAGGTATTAATTTCACTCAACCAGAAAAGTTTGGTCTTGATCGTGTGTTCAACTTTTATTTGAATGTTGAACCTACAGTCCGCGTTGGCGTTTGGTAGGCTATTTAACTTGAAGGAAACAATTATTGCAGCTCAATGATATCGTTTTCTTTCTTCTAAATGTTTTATCCATAATAGAGATTGAAGTGTTGATGCTACTTCAAAGATTGGTTCCATTTAAAACTTTAACTCGCATTAGACTTTTACTCTCTCGACATCAGAAATATGATATTTCAGTGTTTTAAATCGATCGCCTAGAAAATTAACTCTAGATAAAATATTGGTTGTCTTATTTTCTCTATGATAATTTCGCATTCTGTGCGCAAAATAATAGATTAGACTTTGCGAATAGATTGAACAGTTTCAGAGAGGCTATTGAGATCAAAGAAATTTTGTAAAGCACATTTGAAGCAACGGGACCAATAGGTAGTAGACAAAAATCTATGGTACATAACTCAGAACAACAGAATTTGTAAAAGGGTTTCTCCAAAATCGTTCATTCAATACGCGAAAACTGATGAATAGAACTATTTAATATATTTCTATATTTTTTTGTTAACAATTTCTATACTGTTAGGCATTATCGTTCTCCACTTGTCGAAGATCAATCATATACTACAGATCAAGATTATTTTCAAAAGCATTTTGCATCACAACCATCCACTATTCCAATAATTATTTATTTTCATGGCAATGCTTTTGATCGGTATTAAAATAAAAGAATTTATTCAGGAAAAATTAATTTCTTTTTTGGTTCTGGTAGTTCATTATTTACTCGACGTGGAATATGTGAAAAACTACGTAAAGAATTGAAATATGATGTCTTTACGTTTGATTATCGCGGTTATGGCGATTCGACTGGTGAACCAACAGAAGAAGGTTTGATCAAAGATGCCCGTTATGTTTACGATTGGATACATAATATAACTAATGGCCAAAGAAAAATTTACATTTGGGGTCAATCATTGGGTTCAGCCGTTGCTTGCCAATTAGCAGCACGATTATCAGATGATGAAAGTATGCACTTACTCATCTGTAGATTGTTTCTTAACGTTCATTTTGTCTTTTAGGTAAAACTCTTGCTGGTATTGTGATGGAAGCACCATTTATAAATATTCATCAAGCTTTACAAACACATTATCTTGCACTAGTAAACGAGTCTTTTAAAACACCTACTTTTTGATTTAATATTGTTTTCTTTTTCAAATTCTTGCAGTTATTTCGTTGGCAACCATGGTACTATGGACTAACTGAAAAAGCTTTAGCTAAAAGTAAACTCGCATTTCACACACGTGGTCATTTATCAAATCTTAATTGTCCATGCGTACTTTTACATTCCGACGATGATTATACGATACCTTATGCACATAGTAAACAATTATTGCAAGCTGGTTTAACTGCTCGTGATCATAATAAAAAAGAGAAGAAATTATTTCATTTTACAATTGATATGGTTTCATTCCATAGTAAGGGTTATGGACATTCACTCATTTATCAAGAACCGAAACTAATACCTGCATTAAAGTAAGAATGACGTTTTTCTATTCACTGTTAAAAATTATTCATATTACAATTTATTTAGACATATTATATTCGATAACAAGCTATGAACTGTCAGATACTACTAGGCACTAATTTTGCCAGCAAAATTAATATTGAAAAACACATATCTACGTAGAAGATTAAAGAATAGAATTCTTCATTATCTAATTTAGGCTTTTTTTTCTATGATGTGTGAATATCTGTCATATATATGATTTATTAAATAAATTAAGTTCTAACCATTGATATGCTTAATTAAATTATCTAAATGTCATTTTTTCTGACTCAAGAAACAGAATGTGTAAGGCGTAGGAGTAGGAGTAGATATACATATTAGATACTTTGTAAAAATGATATCATGAAATATACACAAAGGATGTGTACATCGTGTAGAAGCACCAAATATCAGATAAACGATTTGTTTTTACATAATTTTATCAGAAAATGTTTTTTATTTGAACTTAATAATAACAAATACATATAAAAAATATGTTTTTGAATCTAAATAGAACAATATATACCTTGGAAGCTTTATGATACTTTTTCTATTAGATATGTTGAACTTGGTCTTATTCTTCGTTAAGTTTTTCTAGATCTCTTAATATGTCAGATAAAAATGAATCTCGTTCCTCTCCATCATCATCTGCTAGTAATGGACCAAATGTCTGAACTGGGCGTCAGTTGCAGAACTTAACAAGCAGTATTGAACAATTAACTGCTACTGTTACTGTTTTAAAAGTATGGGCATCAATGATGTACATTCTGATATTAATGATATAAAGAAAGGACTCGTTGGCTGCCTTGTAAGTATATGACTATTAATTATTTAAAAGGAATTGAATTCTTTCTTTCGTAGATCGTCGTTGGTGTTTCAATGACTATCTACAGAAAACAAAGATGATTCTATTATTTATGTATATATATATAGAAAGATAAAAAGAAATGCTGATGTACTTTTAAAATATGTTAATCACAGCCTAATCGAGTTTGTAAAAAAAAAACGATCAACTTACCTGAATAATTAATTGACTCCTGTGCGAGATTCACATTAATAAACCTATTTTTGCCTTTACTTTTTTATTGATAATTACGTTTCTGTAATTTGCTTCCATATAAGTTGATGACTCGTACTAATAATTCTTCATCTCTATAAATAGTTCGAAAGGCTATCAACTAAAGACTAGCACATGAATTCCATTAAATTAACAAGCTTTAACTGTATTTTTTGAATTTTATTTTATGGTATTATTAATAATATACGAAAAAATTGTGCAAAACGATGTGTGGTGTGAAAGGTATTTCGTTTAAAATTTCTTTTCTACTCTGATCAAGTTCTAAGTAAGAACGTCGAATATAAAACAACTCGACAACTAAATTCGACTAAGAAAACACTAAAATATTAATAACAGATTTTATTTAGATCTATTTTGCGAACATTGGCCATTTTTAATATTCTTACCAAAAACACGTAGAAACCATTATCAGATATTGAATACAATTCAACAATTTCTATTTCAAGTTTTATTCTTGAAATTAATCACTTATTTGTACAAGCTATTTCTCCAAATGAAACAGATCTGTAAATTATCAAATCTGATGAAAATTTGTTTTCATCGATAATACAAAATAATAACTCTTATGAGATCAAAACACGATAAATATTTTTTATGAAGATGTTGTCAATGTGTGGGACCAGGCTTGTATTCGTATCTGATCAAAAACAAATTGGTATCAGATTTGCGAAAAAGCATTTTGAAGATAAGAATTCCATTTTCATAATCATAAATATACATTTACCAAACCCGAGCACAAGTTCAAATTTCGATACCAATTTTTAATGATATTATGTTGAATAGTAGAGCAAATAATATCAGAAAGTTTTTTATTATTATTGTAGAAGAGTTTCATGCTAAAATAAATATTCAACACTAATTGGCTTAAGAACTATTTTTCTTACTTCGGAATTACTTCGAGGTAAAATTTGCTCACAACGTCGATGAAGAACTTCATTATGTGATTATAAAAATCAGGTAATCGTGTTTTCGTTGAGTTACTCAAGGATTTCAATATTATTTGTTTTTAATATGTCCATGTTCATCAATTATTAATAAGTCGTCTGTTTTAATTTAGGTGTTCGTTATTTTTGTTTTGTTTTGGAAAACTTGCAATATGCATATTGAAATTTGATTTTGAACTCTAATTATGCAGTTATCCCAGCTACTTCTGAAAATTCAATATTGATTTTATCAAACCATTACAAACAAATTGTTAAAATATACCGTTTGTTTCTCCTTTTCCCCAATTATTCAAATGAACCACTTTTATATGCCGGTAAGGATTAATGCATTTCAATTGAATATCAACAATATGCTTATGCAAAAATACACGATGAAAATTATTATAACAGAAATGTATATTTACTTGCAGCCATCTGTAGAGTGACAAGCTAACATTAAATTATAGTTACACAGAAAACTAAAATCATCTTATCATAAAACAGAATCATTTTTTAAATAGCTATAGAATCATCTTCATTCTTACCTTTAGATCGTCTCGTCGTTTTTTCTCTATCGGTTAAGAACAAAACAAAAATGGATCATATACAAATAAGCGTGTTATGGAAGATTATTATGAGCAAAATGTATTCAAACTGAACTGTACACGATAATTATCTACGAGCAATAAGATCATCACTTGAATTACAAGTTATAGCTTATTATTGGATTGCTTTTCTAGAATAGAGTCGATATAGTTTTTCAGTGGCTTTCGCTTATGCTATTTTCAAGCACACTATGTACTCAATCTGCGCGTTTTTTTAATAACAACTGAATTGATAAATTAACTACATTTTGTAGTGTTGATTTTGGATTTATTAATTCGGTATTGCTATATTTCAAAAGTATGAATTTCGAAAGATAGTTAACCATAAAAAAAGATTTTTCGTAGCAGATCCAGTTTCGTTTTGTCCACAACTTTTTTCCTTTCACACATCGCAATTTTTATTATTATTATGCTCATAAATGTAACACTCGGAAGTGCTTACATGTAAAAAAAAAGAGAAATATAGATGTATAAGCGAAAAACTACATCATTTTAAGCAACGCGTTACAATTTGTGGCAATAATATATTATGCTGCATACCAATTTTCGCTTGAAGGGATATTTGGAGAGTAAATAAATGAAAAATCGATTAAAATGTGAAAAAAAAAGAACAAACTAAAAGAACGAACGAGAGAAAAAAAGGAAGAAGAAATTTGCGTAATGCAGTACATTTATGCATCTTTCTATGATATCAATTAGCATCAACAAAAGTCAACCACGTTAAAAGGAACGACTGGTGTCGATCTTTCAATTGCCGTACACGACGTGTGCGAAAAATCTTCATAGAAGGCAGAAGAACCAAGTTCAGTTATGAACATGGTTTTCAATCTGCGTTGAATATATTTTTTAACGTAAAATTGTAAGGGCTGTTCAGGAGTGACTTTTAGCAGATTATGCGCAGAAATGAAGGGGCAGCGATGCACCAACCGAAGACCAACAAGAAATGTTTGTTCTAATACATGTTTTTGAGATACTGAGAGGAGAGGAAAAAGGGGAAATAGCCACGCGAAATGTGGGAAAGTGTACGCGAAGAAACATTGACGAAGCGCTTTACATGACATTTTGCGACCAGACTTTATCCATTTTAGTTTTCCTAGCGATCTCTGAATATTTCCTATGATTTTATCGACTGTTGGTTTCAACGAAAGTTTATCCGTCCAAGTAAATCCTAGGTATTTGAATTCTTTGACTAACTCGATTTTGTTACCGTCTATTGTTACGTTTACGATCGGTCTGTTAACTTGTGTATGAAATAATTGTACTACAGTTTTAGAAACATTTAACGGTTGTTTACACTTTTTTGAGTACATAAAAACCTGATTACAAACTCGTGCACCTTCTTTTTCTAAGTAGTCAATCATCGAGCCTAATTTTTTCATTATTGGCGGTTTAATTAATACACACAGGTCATCTGCAAATAAATGACATGAATGAGCTCCTTGATAATTTGTTAGATCTGAGTGAAACACTATAAATAAATACGAACTAAGACTACTATCCTGCGGCAGCCTATATTTATACTAAATATTTTCAAAGTTATTTCACCATATTCTACGTAAGCTTTTCTATCTTTTAGCCAACTATTAGTCATTTATAGGGAAAGCGTCGGAATATTAGCTGCCATGTTGTTTTTCACTTCCTGATATATCGAGAATACTCGAGTTGGTAGAAGACATTTTGGGCGGAAACCAGATTGTTCTGGCGGTACTAAACGATTTGTTTCAGCCCAGTGTCTAATTCTTAGTAAGAGCACTTTTTCAAACAGCTTTGAATGTGTAGCTAACAAGGAAATTGGTCGAGTTTGCTCACACTTTGGGATACCCGATTTCAACTTATTTAGAGTAATGATTTTTGCAATTTTCCAGTCATCTGGATAACGACACTCGTTTAACCATGTATTGAAGCAGTTAGCTAAGCACTCGATGTAACTTGGAGGAAGTTTTTTAATTATAAAGTTTGACACGGAGTCAAAGCCTGCTGATTTCTTAGGCTTTAAGGTTTTAATTATACGAGTAATTTCAGTAGTGCTAGTTTTTTCTACTCTATCATTCAACACTGATAATCTATTCATCAGCTCTTTATACTTCCTATCAATCTGGTCTTCGTGTTCATTAGAAGAATCCACTGCAGGTACTTTGAATTGTTCACTGTAGTACTGGAATAATTCATTTGTAATTCCTTCTTGAGTTGATATTATTTTAGTGCCCTCCGATAGTTTATAGAAAGGCATCGAATGCGATTTGTATATGCGAGATAAGCGTGTCCAAAACGCTTTATCTGATTTATCGTATGATGTTTGAATGTTAGATAAAAAATTTTGCCATTGAGTATTTTTATGTTTTGCTATATCAACTCTCTTTCCAATGAGTCACTCTGTTTTTGACTGCCGCGATGAAACGAATATATTGCTTATACCACTCATCTGCACTATTTTTCTTTTGTTCTTCCATCCAGAATATTTGTAATAGAGCTAATACTGCTTCAAATATCTTCCAATTTGTATGAGGAAAAAAAACGTTTGTGTCGAAAAAAATGTTCTCGCATGATAGCAAAATTGGCCAATAATCACTAGTGCCAAAACATAATGTTTCACTTGAAATAGTACTCATATTAGAGAACGACAACTCTATATTACGTAGGGAGCGCTTAGACGTGTTGGTCATTGACGTAATATCATTGAGATTGTTTTTCATTTATCCATTCTCTCACGCTCGCACCTCTCCTATCAGTTATTGGACTATTCCATTCTTTCACTGTTGCATTAAAGTCTCCTGATAGAATGGTACCTTCTACTCCTCCATTATTGTTAGCACCTTTTTGATGGAACGTGTTAAAATGTGGTAATCGACATGTGTTCCATAACTCTCCTACTTCTGTAAAAATACAAACAGACGCTTGAACTTCACACACTAAATCAATAGCTTCAACTGCGCGAGTGCCCCAACCTTCGACATTATAGCATAAAATCTTTATATATTCTTTTTGGTTTCGTAAGGATGCTATTCAAACCTTTTCCCATTCTTCTAAGACTGTATTCAAGGTTCTACCCGTGTAGCATTCATCTAACAGAGATAATACTAATTTCTGATCTTTAGTTGCAAAAGTCCAAGTTTTTAGCCGGTGCATAGCTTCATCTCTAGGATTAAATAAATAAATTATCTGAAGCAGGAAAGACAGCTTTAGCGTGTACATTAAGATTTGATGTTTTACTTAGCGTTCTGTGTTGATCGGTTTTAATGATGTTATTATTATGCGAAGTTGGAATCAATTGAACCTGGTGTTTTAATTGGAAGCCATTTATTAATCTTGAGGACGCAAAATGAAAGCGACTGTAGTATTCGTTCGCCACTGGCACCCACGATATTCTTTCACTTTTGCCAGAAGTTAACGTTACTGGCATAAAGATCGATAAGCTTTACCAGATTATCATTGATAGATTCGAATGCTTTTTCTGTATCGGATGAACGTAAAAAATTCGACTCGACAGTTGTACGTGGTTGCGCAATATTCCATCGTTTGTTAGAATGATTATCACTTGTTGTTAATGGTGGAAAATCTTGATCACGAAATTCGAACATAGGTGATTTTTCTTGCAGTGATAATCGCTGTAATAATCCTTTTTGTATCGCATCTTCAACATCCTCTTTTAATTGATCTTTATATTCTTTTATAACTTGACATTGATTATCTAATGAGTGATGATTACCATCACATTGAGCACATTTCGGTTCATTTCTACACATATGCGGAGTATCTACCCTCATATTCTCAAGACATATTCGCCATTTGTTTTCTGAATTGCATTTATTTCTTAAATGACTTATGCACCAACATTTCGTGCAGTACGTTAGATGATTTCCAGAGTAAAACTTGGTGATCGATAACCACGAATGACCTATTGCTATTCGACCCAGTTGGAGCACGGCATGATATTCACTATAATTCTTTACATCGAATCGGTAATCATCTGTTCTTCTTTGGTAGGAATAATGAATACGTTTAATTCTGTCTGCAGAGGCAATCGTTCTCTGTATTTCATTATAGACAAAATTTTCTTCTAATTCTCTAGGAACATATCTAACTACAAGAGCAAATGAATCAGGTACATATTTAGGTTTCGCAACGACAATATCAATTCCATTTATCTTTGTAGGTCATTTATCCAAACCAACGAGCGTGGCGTACTCTTCTTTATTATTAACACCTAATTTGAGCATTTTCCCTGAGCATCCTACTAATGTAAACTTATTAATTAAAACGCTCTTCGATTGTAATTCTTTAAGTATAAGATCACTCACATGAAGAGCGGTTGGAATACTATGGCGATCAGCATCCGAGGTGAATTCAATAAAAAAAAAACATGGCAGATTAGAAGAAACCGCGTGCTTCAATTGATTAAAAGAAATTCTTTTACGATTCGTAGAAGCTTGATTTATCACTTGCTGTTGTCTTTTACCTGACAGCGATGATGACGATGGTTGTTGTGGTTGTAAATTAATCTCCTGTTGTACATATTGCGATTGCTTATTTGCGTTGCTGTCGATACCTTTTCGAGGATATTTACGACGACCCCTTCCATTATTGATCGAACTTCTACTTTCGTCTAGCGGATGTCCACGCTTGCGAGTTGAATTCACTGGTTGCACTATTTGTTGTTGTTGATTTGACTTGGAATAATTTGTTTGCAGAAACTTGTGTACGCTTAAAGCTGCTTCCGGACATTCCGATAGAAATCTTGATATAGATTCAACTTGAATATTTGATATAGACCCCTGTTCCAGTATCTCATATTCGTTTCCGGAAAGATGATCATTATTATGACCATTATTATGATTATTAACCCCCTCTGACATCATTCTTCTCTTATCGACTTAGAGAGGCAGATGCACAAGGAATGTAACAATATCAAAAAGAAAAATGCGACTATACTTCACGAATCAAAATGATGGAATGACCTGATGATTCATTGATTCTTTCATAGTGTAGACTAAGAAGAAATACAGTTGGAGTAGGTAAAAAAATTTAAAATATTTCGCCCAATGTTTTGCCCGCAGTAATAATATAGATAGTTAATTAATGACAGAGGTTTGAAATCGATAGCAATAAAACAAATCACAGCGTGCATACAATTTTCACTAAGAACATTTTCAAGAGTTTCAAACTCATTCTTCTCCTAGCAGTATAAATAATTATCAAATAGATGAAAACATTGTTTTACTGAAAGAAAATTCTTTATTTTGATATTAATTCGAAGCTATTTTTCTATGTGACTCCTAATCAACAGTCTTTTTGTGTGTTGAATTTTCATCAATATTATTGTCTTGTATTAATATAAATTTGGATTGATCATTACGAAAACTGATATTTTCATCATGTTTTCATGTTTCGAATAGTATAGTCTTCCATGAAAAATTTCACAGTTCTTCATTTCATAATTATTCAGACAAGTTAACTATCTTGAAAGAACTATTTCTTAAAAAACATGCTGACTTCGTTTGTGTTAAAATCTAATGTATGTTGACAATTTCTTTCGAGATACTTGATTTTTTTGAGGTGTGGGTGTGGGTGTCGGGGTGTATTCAGAAATGGTCAATACACCCACATCCTCCCACTCGTCATTTTTCGTTGCATCGTACAATTAGAATGTGTTAAATCGACAAATCATCATGTCGCAAGTCTTATATATACGCGTATATATATGTTCAGTTTATCTTCGGTAGCAGGGCTCCTAATGGGATGGGATAACCCCATCCCATCCCATCCCATCCCATCCCATCCCATCCCATGGGACAATTTGTTTTTATGAGATATCTCATGGGATGGGATGGGATGGGATGAGTTCCTAATCCCATGGGAAATGTGATTATTTTTTTAGAGAAAAAATATTATTCATTTATGTCACACTTGACAATAGGTGAAAAGTGTGAATACTATCATTCTTTTTCTGTACTGACCATTAACCCATCTCCGAGCTCTATTCGAACAATTGAATAAAAAATACGATAAAACATAGAAAACAGAAATAAACATAAATGTTCTTTTTGTTTGAATGTTTTAATAAAATATCATCATCTTTTGTTTTATAGATTGTTCAGTATCACCTTCTATAATTATTTCTTCCTCATTATCGTCCTTAGTTTCGGATAAACAGGAATATTCAGTTGAGAAAGTCAAATTTCGTTTACAACATCACAAGCAGAATTAAAAGGTATTGATAATGATATTCCAACCAGGAATGCACCAATTTCTAGTACGTGGTACAATAGATACAAATTTTGCCTAATGTAGGAGGCAGGCGTCCTCTGATTCCGCTCCAGATATCAGCCAAGATCATCTTTTTCGATCTATGAAAAACTATGATCCAAATTTATTAAAGATGAAAAAGCGTTTTTGGATTTGAATCCCAATTCCAATTTTTAAGTCGTTTCCCGTCAAATTCTGCCAAATCCAGCCTAGTTTCAAACTTTCAATTTGCATTACACAAATTCTATGAATAGATTTGAAAAAGAGTTCAAAACTGAACAGAAAAATATGAAGAAAGAGATGTTCAATCGATAATTCTCACTACCGGGCGCGTCATTTTTAAGTAGGGAAAAGATCCTATCCAGTCAATTTCTTGAATTTTTTATCCAATGTTTACATGTTCTCAGCATTGGGAGTTATGGATTAAGCCTTTTTACTTATTTTTTTCTGCTCAGTTTTGAACGTTCTTTTCAAATCTATTCTTAGACTTTGTGTAATGCAAACTGCAGGTCTGAAACTGAATTGGATTTGACCGAAAACGACTTGAAAATTCAAATTCTGAGTCAAATCCGAAAACTTTTTTTAATCTTTCATAAATCTCAACTATCGTTTTACACATAGAGCAAAAAAAATGGTCTTGGCTGATACATGGAATCAGAAGACCGCTCCACTCTACATCAGGCAAAAATGTCATCTTTCTTGCAATGTACTAGGAATTGGTGCATCCCTAATTCCAATATTCAAATCGGGATGCTGGAAAACTTCGAATTTCCAGTTACAAATAAAAGAAACCTTGATTTTCAGTAAGATTTTTCGTAATATAGCGAATCCCATGGGAGCCCATGGGATGGGATGGGACGACTTGCAT